CCTAAACAAGGCCATTGTGAATCCCAAGTACCGTACTTTATTCTTTGGACTATGGTAAGATACCACAGGCTATGTATGGTACCTGTTATGGAAGCCTTGCCTTTGTGTGTCATATTGCCTCTGTAAGAATTCACAGACACAGAAAGGTAGAGTACCCATAAGAAATAGCATGAGGCTATGACTTTGGTAGGCCGTTTTGGAAAGTTCCTTTATGGCAGGTATGGGGAGCCTTTGACTCTCCAAATATTAGTGAGCTACAAATCTAATCAGCCCCAGCAAGCATGGTCAATGGGCAAGGTTGATGGGAGTTGTAATTCAGCAATATATGGTGGGCCTGATACCACTTCAGAAGAGAGGCTTTGTTGCTTAAGCCCTTGATTGGCTGTGAACCGTCCTTTTTCCAGTTACTGCTTTGTGGACTATACTGGTTTGCACTGGTGCTGGGAATGTCTATTCATCCTGCACTTGGAACTTGAGACTTACCCAGCTGCAGCACCACCAGATTCTGATGCTGGCATGCCAACTCCTTTATTTCCTGTCAAAAAAGAAATGTTTTACCTCCTTGATTAAACTGGAACTACTCACCAAGAGCCTTAGAACTGGATGCTGAAAATGCTTAGTAGAGTCTGATAGAAACTCAAGAATCTCACATAGAACAGTGCCTTGCAAGGAGAACACCTTCCTCTTTAATATTAATAGGCAGTGCTTTTTCGGGGGGCGGGGATGCAGGGGTACACATACCTCTAAACATTTTGTTAATCTTTTTACATTTGCCCATTTACTGTATTTATTTTCCCAATTTGAACTATAAAATGATGATTTTTCTGTAGTCAAAATGAGAGTACCCCTAAATATTTTTTTAAGAGGAAAAAAGCACTGTTAATAGGTGAGTACGTTATGAACAGAAAACCTTGTACATGGAAAAATGGTTAGCAGTCTGAAAGGCCTCCCCACCTCCCCCTTTGTAATTCTCCCAAGACCACAGCCTCTTTCTCACCACATCATACTCTCATTGGCATTGCTCTATACACTCAAAAAATGCTTCTGCCTGGCTAGAATATGTCCTTGTACTGTAACAGTGCCTTTTACTTGTTCAGATGGAGGATGGAGAGAAAGGTGTATGTAGAAACTAGTGACTTTTGCATCAGTGGCACGTAGCCTATTATACAAGGACAGCAGCCATATCTGTTGCTTGGCCCATTTTGGCTTCTGGCCCCCTACACCACTGGCATGTGGCCCCCAGAAAGTTGCCCACAGGGGAATGTACTGAAAGGAAACTGTGGAAGACCTAAGGGTAAGTTGAACACTATTACAAAGTTACTTTGAAGGAACTAGACTGTTAAAAGAGATAAAAATCATGCATGGTGTTGACTTGGGGTTTAAGGGATTAATTTATTTCCTGACAGCCAATACTCTCCTTTCCTGGTAAACGGCTTAAAAAGGTGTTGAAACTTGATTCAGCAAAATGATAATTGCTGGACAAACCAGTCTACAGGTGGAATTAGAGTGAAAGAGATCTTCTTTTATGTCCCTCCCCATTAATCTATGCTGTAATTTTCTAAGACTATTATCGTATCGCAGCTCAACTGGCCGCTAACAGGCAGCACTGTGAACTACAGCTTTTTGGCAGCCTTGGGAGAGCTGCTGGCCCATCACAGCAGTGTTGAGAGCAGCAGAGAAGGCAGGCAGTGGACAACTCAGATGAGCCACTGAAAACAGTCACACCAGAGCAGGGCAGCTGCTGGTGAAACCAAAGCCCCAACAGCATTCTCTCCAACCGGGCACCCTCCAGATGTTTCGGACTACAACTCCCATCAACCCCATCCAGCCCGCAAAGCTGACATTACATTCTTACAATGTAGTAACATCACTACTCTCTTATGCTACCTTCCTGGTCCTCACCTTGGTTTTTGGTCCATCCATGTCTAGGGTAGTAGCAAAGACCCACTGAGGTGGAGTTGGCAGCCTCAGAAACTGCTTCACCAGACCCAGGCCAATTCCCGAATTGGATCCTGTCACCAGAACACTCTGAACAGGGAAATCTGTCGCCATCCCCTTGGAGCTGCAGCCTTTGGCTTCCATGCTTGTAACGCTTGCTTCAAAGAACATCAGGTCGTCACATGAGATGCTTTTATGGGAAGTAGGCACCTCCTTTAATCTTCACATAATCTTATGCTGGATGCTACACCTCATTTGCTGACTAGCTCGTTGGCCACCTCTGTTTTTTAACAACAACATCATCATTAGCAATGGAAAAACAAAGAAGCATTATGGCATTATGGTATAGAGGACAGACAGTTCCAAATTAAAATCTTCAGTCAGTCTCTCAGCCTGTTTGGCTTTGCAGGGTTGTTATGAAAATTTAAAAACGGGGTGAAGCAAATCACTATGTATCCTGAGTTCATTAGTGAAAAAGTACTAAAAAAGCATACTGTGTCACTAGGGAATAAAATAACCAGGATATAAAAACTAACCAGAGGGGGAATGGCATAAGCAGTGGCATAGGAAGGTGGGTGTGGTGGGTGTGGGCCACCTCGTGTGTCATCACTGGGGTGTGTGTGTGACAAAATGGCAGAAATGTGAGTTTTAAAAATGTGGCTGGGTGCAAACAGGCGCCCCCACAGCGGACTCCTTCATCAGAGCCTGGCTCCGTGCCAGAAGTTGCTGTGGCTTGGCTGTAGCACTTGTGCCTGGCGCAGCTGCGCCCTGAATCGGGAGAAGAGCAGGCGAGTGGACGGCAGTGCTGCTGCTCACCTTCCTCACTGCGGGATGCCCAGCAACTCTCCTGACCCAGTAGCAGATAGCAGGAGGGTCAGCGGCAATGCTGCCAGCCACCCTCCTTGGCGTGGTGCCTTGCACCCAGCTGCAGTAGCTCCGTCACCAGGTCATGTCTGACCTGGTAGCAGAAAGCAGGGGGAGCGTGAACAGCAGCTACCCTGCCCCTCTTCTACCCTGAACTGTGGCACGTGAGAAGAAGAAGAAGAAGAAGAAGAAGAGGAGTTTGGATTTGATATCCCGCTTTATCACTACCTGAAGGAGTCTCACAGCGGCTAACATTCTCCTTTCCCTTCCTCCCCCACAACAAACACTCTGTGAGGTGAGTGAGGCTGAGAGACTTCAAAGAAGTGTGACTGGCCCAAGGTCACCCAGCAGCTGCATGTGGAGGAGCGGAGACACAAACCCGGTTCCCCAGATTACGAGTCTACCCCTCTTAACCACTACACCACACTGGCTCCCTTCCCTTCGAAGGCACCCTTCGCGCTCCGCCCTCCTCGGGCACACCCCATGCAGCCACCCAGGGAAGCATGGGCACATGCTCCACCGCTGGGCAGAAGAGGCCCTCAGTACTCTCTCTGAGCACACCCGTCCCTAACTCTGCTTTACAACCTCCTCAAGAGCTTTTGCGTGGCTGCAACATGTCCTTGTGCAGTGATGATAGGTACCCCTTGCTTGGACAGAGGAAGTGTGTGTTACATGAATCCCAATCTCAGACCAGTGAGAGACTTCATGGCAGCTGCGCCATCCTTGTGGGGTCATGAGTGCCCAAGCACACACAAAATTCCCCATGAGGGGATTGGGCCCTCAATATTACGCAGCTGGGCAAGCTCCAATGGGCCCTACACTGGGCCCAACGGAACCCGGCACACCTGGGACATGGGTTCTATTGCTTCTCTTGGGCCCAGGTTCTTTGGAATAGTATCACTGAAGAATGTATCTTTTTGACAATGGTTTTATTTACACATACATCTGAGTGTCCCTATTTTCCAGGGACAGTCCCAGATTTACAGAAGCCATTGTTGTTTCTGATTTGATCCTGGACCAGAATGTCCTACCTTGCCTTAGGCTATCCCTATTTTCCTCAGAAAAATGCTGGGAGAGTATGGAGTTATGCGACCCCTGAGCCAAGGAAATAGGTAACTATACAGTACAACCTTTAGAAGACAACAACTAGAAGACAGCCCTGTGTAGGGAAGTATTTTTTTAATGTTTAATGTTTTATTATGTTTTTATATATGTTGGAAGCCGCCCAGAATGGCTGGAGCAACCAGGTCAGATGGGCAGGGTATAACTAATTAGTAGTAGTAGTATGGAATAGGATGTCTCGATTTTCATCAGATAAATGTTGGAGGGTATGCACATATACACAACCAGAGCACAAGATGAAGGGCTCACAGCATCACTGCTACATCAGATCTTGCTCCTCCATTAGGTCCCTAGGGAGATCCCCCAAAGGTGTGGTTTCAGCTCTGAGAGGAAGTCAAGCCTCTGTGTCTTCCCAGCTGCAGACAAGACAGAGGCCAGCCTCTGACCTACTGTTCTCTTGCCTCCAGGGTGATGAGTCTAGCCATGTGTGTGAGATCTGGCTACCCTTCCTTGTAGAGACAGTACTAGCTCGTTTTTCTATGACAACACGCCCATACTTGCTCAAGTCTTTAGGCATATAAAAGGATGTGAGCAGGGTCAGCTTGACCTTTTACAAAGAAACTGGTTCAGGCACTTCAGCTCCTACTACAAACTCCCAGCGTCCAGATAAAGAACCACAGGCTTTGGAGGGACCCAAACACATAATCCAAACCAACCCCCTGGTCCTACAACAGCAAGTTGCACGCACTAAATACCTCTGGCTTTTGTATGTAGCCTTCTTTACCAGAGATGGGGAATCTGTGGCCCTCCATCCTGTTCCATGGAAAGGTAATATTCACAACCTTGCCCTGCCCACTTTTGCCTTTGTCTCACCAGTGCCACCCACCCCCACCTGGCATTGGCATCCAGCCCCCATAAGGGGGCTCATGAGGGAATGTCACCCTCAGACTGAAAGATCTTTCAATCCATGGCTAGTCCTTAAAAACAATTCTGCATGAAAACTAGTCTTCAATGGAACCTTCTGAAGGAAGAAAAGAGTCAAAAACATTTTTTCCTTGAATCCCAGGTGGTTTATTGGATGCTCTCTAGGCAGAATCCTAGAGTGGTAAACCCCCTGGCATCGTGAAACAAATCCCTCACCAGGGTACTCTGCGTCCTTCCCAGTCCACAAAGGTACCGTTATCCACCTCAGAAAGTGTGGAGAGAACATGAATTATTCCTCGTGTACTCTCTTCTACAGTCAGGTCCGCCTCCTGTGAAGCAAAATATTGTAAGTGAAGGATTTCTTAAGTTCGGAAAAAGTCATTCTTGAGCATCAAATAGCAGAAGGCCTAGATGCTGTTAGATGTCTTGGTTATAAGATTTCAGTCTGCACATTAAACATTGCTTTATGAAAGACAACCAAGTGGCCATGCATGCCAAAGGATAGCAGTTCACTGCAAGGCCTCAGAGGACTATGCTTGCTTTTCCAGGAGCAATTTTGGATATTAGAAGTACCAACTCATAGATGCTGCCTTCATTGCCTTGCTCTTGTGCTTTTAATACCTCCAGCCAGTGAAGGATGGGGCACTGGAGCTACTCAGGCACCACCAGCCAACTAAAAATGTCAAGCAATTTGTTAAAAGAAATATCATCCTATAGGCTGCCCACATTTCCATGATTACCAAAAGCCTTGAGCACTTACTTGCATGCCTTGAGTTTTTACCCAGCCAGGATGGATGCAAACACACAGAATCCCATAAGCTGGATACGTGAGTGACTGGCACTTGGTGAGCATGTTTAAAGCAGCCTACAGGGGAGAAAAAACAAACCATGAGCAGGGGGTGCATTGAACTGTGGGGAGCTGCTTAATATGGATAGCAAGGTGGCTAGAAAGGATTTGGAGACAGAGAGGTTTGTAAGAGAAATTAGACATCATTGAGCATTCCTGACACAAAAACTAGCAACTTGGAAGTTATCTATCATGGACACCACTCTTGAACAAGATTTTTGACAGGCATTTGTGAGTGTTCCCCATGCTTGTTGGCTGCATCATTTTGCTAACTGATTTGTAGCTTTAAATGTTTGTTCTAGGTTCCGCAAGAAGAAAAGGACTGTACACATGCTATTTATTTGTAGAAAACATCCTGCTATCTTCCCTTAATGCCATCCACTGTTTTAGAAAATGCAACATCCTCACAACAGAAGTTTGTCTCTCAACATTTATCTGTGGGCAATGCATGATTATTGCGCAGATGCACACATACAGCTATCATTTGGAAAGATAGTCACAGCTGGGCAGGGGAGGGAGCAGACAGTTTCACATGGATTTCACATAAGGTACCTTACTGCAGCGATAGGCAACAACCTTCCTGCTTTCCCATAAATGCATAACTTCCATGGAGCCTGCAGCACTGGAGGTATTGACAATGGCTGCCTTGCAGCAGCTCAGCCCTTCCTGGGGATATCTCTGAGCTGCCATCTTCAGCAGGGGCAGAAATGCCTAAAAGAGAATAGAGATCATGGCTGTTGTTAGGTCAATGAATGCAGCTATCTTAGGGCAGTGATACCGGAGGAAAGCACTGGATGCACTGTATAAAGTTAAAGGTATATATAAACAATGCTCGTAGCAGAATTAGGATTTCTGATCCAAAAATACTTTCTATAAACTTTTGCACAAGGAGTCCCGTAAGACTTAGCATACATTTAGAATTGTTTGAACACACAGCTGGGCAACCTGTGCCCTGGCCTCATTTTATGCAGCCCCCCACAGGTCCTGAAGCTCCTATATTCTAAGGTCTCACCCATGTTTCTTCCTTCTAGTTCGGTTCTTGGCATTTTAAAGTTGTCCTTCTCCCACAACTTCTGCAATCTCTCTCTTTTACTATGTGTGTGCATAGCACACTAAGATAGGAAAGGCATTCATGTCATCTGTTTTCCAGAAAGTAGCCATATTGATCCTTTCTATTAAAAAAAATTGTCTGCATGTTCATGAGAGCAGCCCCATTAAACGTCTGGGGAAGGAAAGGTAGAAAGCATTCCTATTTTTATGCCAGGCTGATGTTCAGCGACTGGTGGATCTATCAGTGTTGGTTTATCATTTCCCCTACCTTAAGCTCAATTCTCTGAATTTCCATATCAGTTTGCAATTCTTTTTTTAAAGTGCTCATGAAAGTTAATTGCTCAAACAAATACTGCTTTTCTCCTACCCAGTTGGTTGCTTTTGTTTAATTCTCCCAAAGGGCCAGAACATCACAGTTATTACCAGGGCAATAGGTAGTGAGTAAAGGGTTTTGCAGCCCCATGAAAAGCGAAAACTTACCTGGCTCACCTGAAGTGGCCCAATAGTATTGACGGCATATACATCTGCCATGTCCTTTGCATTTTCTTCCTCCAGGTCGTATCCAGAAATAACACCAGCATTGTTCATCAGGAGGTTCAATCCACATTCTCCAACACACCTTTGCACTTGCTCCACAGCTGCCTTGATGCTCTGGAGGTCTGTGACATCTGCAGAATGACATTTCTTTTTTCCCCCGCCCTAATATTTTATTAAGGATTTTCTTGTTTTACCGAAGTAAGTGTAATGCCTCGTATTTTTTTTTCCATATAACATTTTTACAAATCCATTTCATTTGTTGAGGCATTAGGGGGAGAAGAAGAAAAAAAGAAAGAAAGGAAAAAGAAAGGGGGAGTAGGGGAAGGGAAGATGGATGGGGGTGGGGTCGGGTGGCGATGTTTCTATTATGCTTAATGTATGTAGAGTTTGGTGTCAGCGTTACTTGTGTTCCTTTGGTGGTGAGAGGGGTTGGGGTTGGCCTAGGGTGTGATTGTTTGCTTGTGATTGGCTGTGGTGATCTTTGTTTTCGTGTGTGAGTGAGGTGGGTGGGTGTTTTGGATCAGGTTAGCCATATTGATTTGTATGCTGTTGGTGGATTATTGTCATTGTCTTGTTGGGCTGTGTATGTGATAAAGGGGAGCCATACCGGGGTGAAGGCGTCTTCTTCTGTTTGTCCCTGTGTCAGTTTCAGTTTATTAGTTAATTTTTCTAGTAGGGCTGTTTCCCATACTATTTGGTACCATTGGTCCATGCTTACTCCTGACAGGTCTACATTTCTAAGCCCTTAAGAACTGGCTGGTGTGGGGATGCCCAAGGGACTAATAAAAAGGCCCTTTTAAAACTACCAAGGCGGATAGCTTTAGGGGATCTTACAGATTAAGTCCATTCAAGGATGAGAGGTGCTTTTCGGTCTACTTATTTTTCACCTTGGCCTGTCAGCTCTTTTTGTTAGCGTAGCAGCTACCACAGTCCACTTGAGGAGGAAGAACAAGTGCTTCTCTGAATCATGGAGGTATGTGTGTGTTTACAGGGAACACAGTGAAGGCCTGGCTTTTAAAAATGTTTGCACCACATTTATATCGCTCCATCAGAAAATGAGCTCAAAGCAAGGCAATTGTAAGGCCAAAGTACTTAATGTAGGTGGAATTCAGAGAGAAAAATTTGGCAACACTTTACTGTGTGTAATTTAGGGAGAAAGCTGTAGGGATATTTTGTCTCTCTCAGTTCAGGCCTTGCATATACTGTAGCAAGAAGACATTCAGCCAAAGGTACATATAGAAGAAAACTGCTTATGCTGCTTTGCATGCTTGCTAATCAACACCTCCACCCAGCCGGTTCATAACTGACTTCAACACTAACATAAGGTTACCAGACGTCCCTGTTTCCTGGGGCAGTCCCTGGATTTACAATCAGTCCCCTGACAAAATCCTATCATTCCTATTGAAGTTGAAAAGTGTCCCTGGATTCATTGAAAAAAATCTGGTAACCTTACACTAACATAATTACACTGAATGATCCGTGCAGTTTCACTTCCAACGTTTTATTCTTTACTTTTTATGAAATATTTGGGACAATTAGACACATAGAAGGTAAAGCTGAGCCCTAAACAAGGCCACTGGGAGTCTCAAGTACAATAGTACTTCAGGTTAAGTACTTAATTCGTTCCAGAGGCCCATTCTTAACCTGAAACTGTTCTTAACCTGAGGTACCACTTTAGCTAATGGGGCCTCCCACTGCTGCTGCGCCACAGGGGCGTGATTTCTGTTCTCATCCTGAAGCAAAGTTCTTAACCTGAGGTAATATTTCTGGGTTAGCGGAGTCTGTAACCTGAAGCGTATGTAACCTGAAGCGTATGTAACCCGAGGTACCACTGTACACTGGAATCCCCACATATGTATGGGTTTTGCAGAAGCACTTGTGCAAGTCCACCCTGTTCTGCCTCTGACCCATTCTGCCCCCCTTCTGCCCTGTTCTGCCCCCTCCCTGCCCCTTGAGGTGACAAAAATGATGTGTAAATAAGTGGTTGTGCAGCAGTGGGTGGTGCCTGAACTTTATTCTGTGGACTATGGTAACATACAACAGGTTGTGGTACCTGTTCTGGAAGCCTTGCCTTTGTGTGTCATATTGCCTCTGTAAGAATTCACAGACACAGAAAGGTAGAGTACCCATAAGAGATTGCATTAGCTCATGTCTTTGGTAAGCCATTTTGGAAAGTTCCTTTATGGCTCTCCAGTTGTTGCTGAACTACAACTCTCATCAGTCCCAGAAAACATGGTCAATGGCCAAGGATGATGGGAGTTGTAGTTCCGCAACATATGGTGGGCCAAACATTCCCCACACATCTATTATGTGACGATATGGACAGAGACTACATATAGGTGCATCTCATTTCAAAGCTTCATTGAAGTTGTGGGAAGAATCAAAAGTACTTATCACTGATATTCTGTAACGGGAGCAAATCATCTTGTTTTCCAGTTACTGCTTTGTGGACTATACTGGTTTGCACTGGTGCTGGGAATGTCTATTCATCCTGCACTTGGAACTTGAGACTTACCCAGCTGCAGCACCACCAGATTCTGATGCTGGCATGCCAACTCCTTTATTTCCTGTCAAAAAAGAAACGTTTTACCTCCTTGATTAAACTGGAACTAGGCAGCAAGAGAGACCCAGAGCCTTAGAGCTGGTTCCTAAAATGCTTAGCAGAGTAACAGACACTTAGGAATCTCACTCAGAGCAAACCCTTGCCAGGATAACATCCTCCTCTCCAATATTAATAGGGGGAGCACACCTCTATGCAGGCTTCGTAACTCTCCCAAGACCACAGCCTCTTTCTCACCAGGTCATACCCCTCACTGGCATTGCTCTACACCCTCCTCAATGCTTTTGCCTGGCGGAAATATGCCCTTGTACTGTAACAGTGCCTTTTACTTGTTCTGATGGAGGATGGAGAGAGGTGTATGTAGACTTTTGCATCAGTGGAATGTAGCCTATTATACCAGGGCAGCAGCCATATCTGTTGCCTGGCCCACTTTTGCTTCTGACCCCCCACACCACTAGCATGTGGCCCCCAGAAAGTTGTCCTTAAGGTAAGGTTACCAGATTTTTTTCAAAGAATCTGGGGAAACTTTTTTTTTTTAAAGAGGGGGTGAAAGTTATTTTTTTTAAAAAAGGTATTAACAAAAATTCTCTTCTTTGGTCTCTGTCGCGCGGCCTTCCTCTGCGCCCCGGCCTGCTCTCTTGGAGCGCTAGCCACTGTGGAGTACACTCTGGTCGGGCCTGGGCTTGGCCACGTGTCCTTGCCCCCCCCCCCCGGTGCTCTCCTACCTGTCTTCCTCAGCAGCGGCAGCAGCGTTGCAAGGTCAGGGCTCCCCTCTTTTTTCTCCTTTCTCTTTCTCTTCCTTCTTCTCCTCTCCTCCTTCTCCCTGCATTGTCTCCGGGGTTTTCCTGGCCCCAGAGCGCCGATGGGCAATCGGCCGGGTGCTCCCGCTCCTGGCTTGATTTGGGTCACCAGGGTGTGGGTGTGGGTGTCATTGGTTTCCCCAGTTGACAGCCGGGCATCCCTGGTTTCCTCTTGGCAGTGGCAGCGGCAGCAGCAGTCTCAGCAGCCCAGAGCCAGCCTGGTAGCGCAGTAGGCTCTGGCTGGCTTCAGGAGCTGCTCGCTGCTGTGGCACCCGCCATTTTGCCTCACCAGAAGTCCCCATATGATGTGTCTTGTGCCGTTGAACCATTCACGCAACATTCATTCCCTACTAATAAATCTACAACATTTAAAATATAAATCCAGGGACATTAAATGAAATCTAGGACATTCTGTGGACGGATTTTGTCCGGGGACAGATTTGTAAATCTGGGGACTGTCCCCAGGAAACGGGGATATCTGGTAACCGTACCTTAAGGTCTCTATTATTATACCCAGCCTACACTACAAAGAAATGTTATTGAGGAGGCATAAGGGAGTGTTAGGCAGCCCGGTAGAAATAGACACTGATCTATTTCTGGCATTATTACAAAGTTAGTTTGAAGGAACTAGACTGTTAAAAGAGATAAAAATTCTGCATGGAGTTGACTTAGGGTTTAAGGGATTAATTTATTTACTGACAGCCAATACTCTCCTCTGCTGGTAAACAGCTTAAAAAGGTGTTGAAACTTAATTCAGCAAAATGATAATTGCTGGACAAACCAGTCTACAGGTGGAATTAGAGTGATAGAGATCTTCTTTTATGTCCCTCCCCATTAATCTATGCTGTAATTTTCTAAGACTATTATCATATCGCAGCTCAGCTGGCCGCTAAGAGACAGCACTGTGAACTACAGCTTTTTGGCAGCCTTGGGAGAGCTGCTGGCCCATCACAGCAGTGTTGAGAGCAGCAGAGAAGGCAGGCAGTGGACAACACAGATGAGCCACTGAAAACAGTCACACCAGAGCAGGGCAGCTGCTGGTGAAACCAAAGGCCCAATAGCATTCTCTCCAACCGGGCACCCTCCAGATGTTTCGGACTACAACTCCCATCAACCCCATCCAGCCCGCAAAGCTGACATTACATTCTTACAATGTAGTAACATCACTACTCTCTTATGCTACCTTCCTGGTCCTCACCTTGGTTTTTGGTCCATCCATGTCTAGGGTAGTAGCAAAGACCCACTGAGGTGGAGTTGCCAGCCTCAGAAACTGCTTCACCAGACCCAGGCCAATTCCCGAATTGGATCCTGTCACCAGAACACTCTGAACAGGGAAATCTGTCGCCATCCCCTTGGAGCTGCAGCCTTTGGCTTCCATGCTTGTAACGCTTGCTTCAAAGAACATCGGTTCGTCACATGAGATGCTTTTATGGGAACTAGGCACCTCCTTTGATCTTCAGATAATCTTCTGTTGGACGCAACACCTCATTTGCTGACTAGCTCGTTGGCCACCTCTGTTTTTTAACAACAACATCATCATTAGCAATGGAAAAATGAAGAAGCATTATGGCATTATGGTATAGAGGACAGACAGTTCCAAATTAAAATCTTCAGTCAGTCTCTCAGCCTGTTTGGCTTTGCAGGGTTGTTATGAAAATTTAAAAATGGGGTGAAGCAAATCACTATGTATCTTGAGTTCATTAGTGAAAAAATACTAAAAAAAATACTGTGTCACTAGGGAATAAAATAACCAGGATATAAAAACTAACCAGAGGGGGAATGGCATAAGCAGTGGCATAGGAAGGAGGGTGTGGTGGGTGTGGGCCACCCTGTGTGTCATCACTGAGGGGGAGGTGACAAAATGGCAAAAATGTGAGGGCGATCTGGCTGCGACATCTGTCACCCCATTGATCGCCAGGGTTGATTCGGCTGATCTGGCTGGCTAGGCGGGTGTCCCCTTCCTCCCTCACCGCTCCATGTGCGTCCCTCCCGAAGCTGCGCGCTCGGTGGAAGAGGACGACCATCCCAGATAGAAGGAGTGTACCGTTCTTCGGTCAAGGGCAAAAATGTGAGTTTTAAAAACATGGCTGGGGGCAAACAGGAGCCCCCACAGCAGACTCCTTCATCAGAGCCTGGCTCCGCACCAGAAGATGCTTTGGCTTGGCTGTAGCACTTGTGCCTGGCGCAGCTGCGCCCTGAATCAGGGGAAGCGAGTGGACAGCAGCGCTGCTGCTCACCTTCCTCGCTGCGGCACGCCCAGCAGCTCTCCTGACCCAGCAGTAGAGAGCAGCCCTCCTCAGCTGTGGCAAGGTGCACCCGGCTGCAGCAGCTCCATTGCCAGGTCAGATTTGACCCAGTAGCAGATAGCAGGAGGGTCAGCGGCAGTGCTGCCACCCACCCTCCTTGACGTGGCGCCTTGCGCCCAGCTGCAGTAGCTCCGTCACCGGGTCATGTCTGACCTGGTAGCGGAGAGCAGGGGGAGCGTGAACAGCAGCTTCCCTGCCCCTCTCCTACCCTGAACTGTGGCACGTGAGAAGAAGAAGAAGAAGAAGAAGAAGAGGAGGAGGAGTTTGGATTTGATATCCCGCTTAATCACTACCCGAAGGAGTCTCACAGCAGCTAACATTCTCCTTTCCCTTCCTCCCCCACAACAAACACTCTGTGAGGTGAGTGAGGCTGAGAGACTTCAAAGAAGTGTGACTGGCCCAAGGTCACCCAGCAGCTGCAGGTGGAGGAGCGGAGACACGAACCCGGTTCCCCAGATTACGAGTCTACCACTCTTATCCACTACACCACACTGGCTCCCTTCCCTTCGAAGGCACCCTTCGCGCTCCGCCCTCCTCGGGCACACCCCATGCACCCAACCAGGGCAGCACAGGCACCGCTGGGCAGAAGAGGCCCTCAATACTCTCTCTGACCACACCCTTCTCTAACTCTTCTTTACAACCTCCTCAAGAGCTTTTGCGTGGCTGCAACATGTCCTTAAGCAGTGATGATAGGTCCCCTTGCTTGGACAGAGGAAGTGTGTGTTACGTGAATCCCAATCTCAGACCAGTGAGAGACTTCATGGCAGGTGCGCCATCCTTGTGGGGTCATGGGCAGACTCCAATGGACCCTACAATGGGCCCAAAGGGAACCCGGCACACCTGGGTCATGGGTGCTATTGCTTCCCTTTGGAATAGTATCACTGAAGAATGTGGTATCTTTTTGACAATGGTTTTATTTACACATACAAACCCTCTGAGTGTCCCTATTTTCCAGAGACAGTCCCAGATTTACAGAAGCCATTGTTGTTTCTGATTTGATCCTGGACCACAATGCCCCTCCTTTGCTTAGGCTATCCCTATTTTCAACAGAGAAATGCTGGGAGAGTTTGGAGTTATGCAACCCCCGAGCCAAGGTAACTATACAGTACAACCTATAGAAGACAACAACTAGAAGACAGCCCTGTGTAGGGAAGTATTTTTTTAATGTTTAATGTTTTATTATGTTTTTATATATGTTGGAAGCTGCCCAGAGTGGCTGGAGAAACCAGGTCAGATGGGCAGGGTATAGGTAACTAATTAGTAGTAGTAGTAGTAGTATGGAATAGGACGTCTCTATTTTCATCAGATAAATGTTGGAGGGTGTGCATATATACACAACCAGGGCACAAGATGAAGGGCTCACAGCATCACTGCTACATCAGATCTTGCTCCTCCATTAGGTCCCTAGGGAGATCCCCCAAAGGTTTGGTTTCAGCTCTGAGAGGAAGTCAAGCCTCTGTGTCTTCCCAGCTGCAGACAAGACAAAGGCCAGCCTCTGACCTACTGTTCTCTTGCCTCCAGGATGATGAGTCTAGCCATGTGTGTGAGATCTGGCTACCCTTCCTTGTAGAGACAGTAGTAGCTCGTTTTTCTATGACAACACGCCTATACTTGCTCAAGTCTTTAGGCATATAAAAGGATGCTGAGCAGGGTCAGCTTGACCTTTTACAAAGAAACTGGTTCAGGCACTTCAGCTCCTACTACAGGCTCCCATCGTCCAGATAAAGAACCACAGGCTTTGGAGGGACCCAAACACATAATCCAGACCAACCCCCTGGTCCACAACAGTGACTTGCATGCACTAAATACCTCTGGCTTTTGTATGTAGCCTTCTTTACCAGAGATGGGGAATCTGTGGCCCTCCAGATGTTGAGCTACAGTTTCCATCATTCTGACCATTGGCCATGCTGGCTTGGGCTGATGGGAGATCCAGTCCAACAACACCCAGAGGACCACAACTTCCCCATCCTGTTCCATGGAAAGGTAATATTCACAACCTTGCCCTGCCCACTTTTATCTCACCAGTGCCACCCACCCCCACCTGGCATTGGCATCCAGCCCCCATAAGGGGGCTCATGAGGAAATGTGACCCTCAGACTGAAAGATCTTTCAATCCATGGCTAGTCCTTAAAAACAATTCTGCATGAAAACTAGTCTTCAATGGAACCTTCTGAAGGAAGAAAAGAGTCAAAAACATTTTTCCTTGAATCCCAGGTGGTTTATTGGATGCTCTCTAGGCAGAATCCTAGAGTGGTAAACCCTCTGGCATCGTGAAACAAATCCCTCACCAGGGTACTCTGCGTCCTTCCCAGTCCACAAAGGTACCGTTATCCACCTCAGAAAGTGTGGAGAGAACATGAATTATTCCTCGTGTACTCTCTTCTACAGTCAGGTCCGCCTCCTGTGAAGCAAAATATTGTAAGTGAAGGATTTCTTAAGTTCGGAAAAGTCATTCTTGAGCATCAAATAGCAGAAGGCCTAGATGCTGTTAGATGTCTTGGTTATAAGATTTCAGTCTGCACATTAAACATTGCTTTATGAAAGACAACCAAGTGGCCATGCATGCCAAAGGATAGCAGTTCACTGCAAGGCCTCAGAGGACTATGCTTGCTTTTCCAGGAGCAATTTTGGATATTAGAAGTACCAACTCATAGATGCTGCCTTCATTGCCTTGCTCTTGTGCTTTTAATACCTCCAAGCAGTGAAGGATGGGGCACTGGAGCTACTCAGGCACCACCATCCAACTAAAAATGTCAAGCAATTTGTTAAAAGAAATATTATCCTATAGGGCTGCCCACATTTCCATGATTACCAAAAGCCTTGAGCACTTACTTGCATGCCTTGAGTTTTCACCCAGCCAGGATGGATGCAAACACACAGAATCCCATAAGCTGGATACGTGAGTGACTGGCACTTGGTGAGCATGTTTAAAGCAGCCTACAAGGGAGAAAAAAACAAACCATGAGCAGAGGGTGCATTGAACTGTGGGGAGCTGCTTAATATGGATAGCAAGGTGGCTAGAAAGGATTTGGAGGCAGAGAGGTTTGTAAGAGAAACTGGACATCATTGAGCATTCCTGACACAAAAACTAGCAACTTGGAAGTTATCTATCATGGACACCACTCTTGAACAAGATTTTTGACAGGCATTTGTGAGTGTTCCCCATGCTTGTTGGCTGCATCATTTTGCTAACTGATTTGTAGCTTTAAATGTTTGTTCTAAGTTCCACAAGAAGAAAAGGACTGTACACATGCTATTTATTTGTAGAAAACATCCTGGTATCTTCCCTTCATGCCATCCACAGTTTTAGAAAATGCAACATCCTCACAACAGACGTTTGTCTCTCAACATTTATCTGTGGGCAATGCATGATTATTGCGCCGATGCACACATACAGCTATCATTTGGAAAGATAGTCACAGCTGGGCAGGGGAGGGAGCAGACAGTTTCACATGGATTTCACATAAGGTACCTTACTGCAGCGATAGGCAATATTCATCTTTATTTCCCATAACAGCATAACTTCCATGGAGCCTGCAGCACTGGAGGTATTGATAATGGCTGCCTTGCAGCAGCTCAGCCCTTCCTGGGGATATCTCTGAGCTGCCATCTTCAGCAGGGGCAGAAATGCCTAAAAGAGAATAGTGATCATGGCTGTTGTTAGGTCAATGAATGCAGCTATCTTAGGGCAGTGATACCGGAGGAAAGCACTGGATGCACTGTATAAAGTTAAAGGTATATATAAACAATGCTCGTAGCAGAATTAGGATTTCTGATCCAAAAATACTTTCTATAAGCTTTTGCACAAGGAGTCCCGTAAGACTTAGCATACATTTAGAATTGTTTGAACAAACAGCTGGGCAACCTGTGCCCTGGCCTCATTTTATGCAGCCCCCCACAGGTCCTGAAGCTCCTATATTCTAAGGTCTCACCCATGTTTCTTCCTTCTAGTTCGCTTCTTGGCATTTTAAAGTTGTCCTTCTCCCACAACTTCTGCAATCTCTCTCTTTTACTACGTGTTTGCATAGCACACTAAGATAGGAAAGGCAGTCATGTCATCTGTTTTCCAGAAAGTAGCCATATTGATCCATTCTATTAAAAAAAATTGTCTGCATGTTCATGAGAGCAGCCCCATTAAACGTCTGGGGAAGGAAAGGTAGAAAGCATTCCTATTTTTATGCCAGACTGATGTTCAGCAACTGGTGGATCTATCAGTGTTGGTTTATCATTATTCCTACCTTAAGCTCAATTCTCTGAATTTCCATATCAGATTGCAATTATTTTCTTAAAATCCTCATGAAAATTAATTGCTCAAACAAATACTGCTTTTCTCCTACCCAGTTGGTTGCTTTTGTTTAATTCTCCCAAAGGGCCAGAACATCACAGTTATTACCAGGGCAATAGGTAGTGCGTAAAGGGTTTTGCAGCCCCATGAAAAGCAAAAACTTACCTGGCTCACCTGAAGTGGCCCAATAGTATTGACGGCATATACATCTGCCATGTCCTTTGCATTTTCTTTCTCCAGGTCATTTCCAGAAATAACACCAGCATTGTTCATCAGGAGGTTCAATCCACATTCTCCAACACACCTTTGCACTTGCTCCACAGCTGCCTTGATGCTCTGGAGGTCAGTGACATCTGCAGAATGACATTTCTTTTTTTTTCCCCCTAATATTTTATTAAGGATTTTCTTGTTTTACAGAAGTAAGTGTAATGCCTCGTATTTTTTTTCCATATAACATTTTTACAAATCCATTTCATTTGTTGAGGCATTAGGGGGAGAAGAAAAAAAAAGAAAGAAAGGAAAAAGAAAGGGGGAGTAGGGGAAGGGAAGATGGATGGGGGTGGGGTCGGGTGGCGATGTTTCTATTATGCTTAATGTATGTAGAGTTTGGTGTCAGCGTTACTTGTGTTCCTTTGGTGGTGAGAGGGGTTGGGGTTGGCCTAGGGTGTGATTGTTTGCTTGTGATTGGCTGTGGTGATCTTTGTTTTCGTGTGTGAGTGAGGTGGGTGGGTGTTTTGGATCAGGTTAGCCATATTGATTTGTATGCTGTTGGTGATTATTGTCATTGTCTTGTTGGGCTGTGTATGTGATAAAGGGGAGCCATACCGGGGTGAAGGCGTCTTCTTCTGTTTGTCCCTGTGTCAGTTTCAGTTTATTAGTTAATTTTTCTAGTAGGGCTGTTTCCCATACTATTTGGTACCATTGGTCCATGCTTACTCCTGACAGGTCTACATTTCTAAGCCCTTAAGAACTGGGTGGTGTGGGGATGCCCAAGGGAATAATTAAAAGGCCCTTTTAAAACTACCAAGGCGGATAGCTTTAGGGGATCTTACAGATTAAGTCCATTCAAGGATGAGAGGTGCTTTTTGGTCCACTTATTTGTCACCTTGGCCTGTCAGCTCTTTTTGTTAGCGTAGCAGCTACCACAGTCCACTTGAGGAGGAAGAACAAGTGCTTCTCTGAATCATGGAGGTATGTGTGTGTTTACAAGGAACACAGTGAAGGCCTGGCTTTTAACAATGTTTGCATCATATTCATATCACTCGGTCAGAAAATGAGCTCAAAGCAAGGCAATTGTAAGGCTAATGCGGCCTCTCGTTGCGGGTGCGCCACCGGCGCGTGATTTCTGTTCTCATCCTGAAGCAAATTTCTTAACCTGGGGTAATATTTCTGGGTTAGTGAAGTCTGTAACCGGAAGCGTATGTAACCTGAGGTACCACTGTACACTGTTCTTTATTTTTATGAAATATTTGGGACAATTAGACATATAGAAGGTAAAGCTGGGTCCTAAACAAGGCTACCGTGAGTCCCAAGTACAGGGGAATCCCCACGTATGTATGGGTTTTGCAGCAGCACTTGTGCAAGTCTACCCTGTTCTGCCTCTGACCCATTCTGCCCCCCTTCTGCCCTGTTCTGTCCCCTCCCTGCCCCTTGAGGTGCCAAAAATGATGTGTAAATAAGTGGTTGTGCAGCAGTGGGTGGTGCCTGAACTTTATTCTGTGGACTATGGTAACATATAACAGGTTGTGGTACCTGTTCTGGAAGCCTTGCCTTTCTGTGTCATATTGCTTCTATATGGATTCACAGACACAGAAAGGTAGAGTACCCATAAGAGATTGCATTAGCCCATGTCTTTGGTAAGCCATTTTGGAAAGTTCCTTTATGGCTCTCCAATTGTTGCTGAACTACAACTCTCATCAGTCCCAGAAAACTTGGTCAATGGCCAAGGATGATGGGAGTTGTAGTTCCGCAACATATGGTGGGCCAAACATTCCCCACACATCTATTATGTGACGATATGGACAGAGACTACATATAGGTGTATCTCATTTCAAAGCTTCATTGAAGTTGTGGGAAGAATCAAAAGTACTTATCACTGATATTCTGTAACGGGAGCAAATCATCTTGTTTTCCAGTTACTGCTTTGTGGACTGGTTTCCACTGGCGTTGGGAATGTCTATTCATCCCACACTTGGAACGTGAGACTTACCCAGCTGCAGCACCACCAGATTCTGATGCTGGCATGCCAACTCCTTTATTTCCTGTCAAAAAAGAAACGTTTTACCTCCTTGATTAAACTGGAACTAGGCAGCAAGAGAGACCCAGAGCCTTAGAGCTGGTTCCTAAAAATGCTTATCAGAGTAACAGACACTTAGGAATCTCACTCAGAGCAAACCCTTGCCAGGATAACATCCTCCTCTCCAATATTAATAGGGGGAGCACACTATCAGAGATGGACAGAAAACCTGGTGCAAGGAAAAGTGGTAAGGAGTCTGATAGTCCTCATTCTCCTCCTCCCTCCTATGCGGGCTCCCTCTACGCAGGCTTCGTAACTCTCCCAAGACCACAGCCTCTTTCTCACCAGGTCATACCCCTCACTGGCATTGCTCTACACCCTCCTCAATGTTTTTGCCTGGCTGAAATATGCCCTTGTACTGTAACAGTGCCTTTTACTTGTTCTGATGGAGAGAGGTGTATGTAGACTTTTGCATCAGTGGAATGTAGCCTATTATACAAGGGCAGCAGCCATATCTGTTGCCTGGCCCACTTTTGCTTCTGACCCCCCCCCCCCCACAGCCCCCAGAAAGTTGCCCACAGGGGAATGTCCTGAAGGGAAACTGGAGGATCAACATAAATTCCAGTGTAAGACTTCAGCTGTTAGGACACTGTTTTATTTAAAGGATAGTAGGATGCATTGGTCTTATTTTAATTTCTCTATTAGCTCCTTTGGGGATTGCTTTGTTTGAATGTAACCATTCATAAGATAAAACCTTTTTCCTAAGAAAGACTTTTAAATCATTTTATTAAAACTTTAATCCTGGCTCACAAGTCCTTAAGGTAAGGTTACCAGAAACTTTTTTTTTTTTTTTAGAAGAGGGGGTGAAAGTTGTTTTTTTTAAAAAAATAAATAAAATTAAACAAATTCTCTTCTGTGGTCTCCTATGTCACATGGCCTTCCTCTGTGCCCCGACCTGCTCTCTTGGAGCGCTAGCTGTCAGTATATTGAAACATCACCGCTGCAGACAGCCAGATTGTTGACATCACATGATGCGGCTATCTGTGGGAAAGAAGAGTTCACAGGCTGGATAAGTCTTTGTGAAGAGTGTAACTTGAAACCTTCTGTGTGCGCATGTTCAGGAAGTTTGTCAGACTTGCTAGAAGAACTGAACTGAAAGGACGTGTTTTTCTCTAGTGCTTTAATGTCAGAAATAAACATCATGTAAATAGATTTCTGACTTATTTTCTTTCCCCTGCGGAAGCAGGAGGAAGGGGTTGTGCATTTTACCCACACTTGGGAAAATGTTTCCTATCAAAATCTCCCTGGTCTGTCGAGATATCAGCCAGAGGAGGTTACCAGTAAGCAAGCTCCGAGGACAGTGAGAGGGGCCAGCCTCTATGGAGGGGGCTTGCAAACCGACTGTGGAGTATGATCGGGTCGGGCCTGGGCTTGGCCACATGTCCTTGCCCTCCCGGTGCTCTCCTACCTGTCTTCCTCAGCAGCGACAGCAGCGTGCCAAGGTCAGGGCTCCCCTCTTTTTTCTCCTTTCTCTTTCTCTTCCTTCTTCTCCTCTCCTCCTTCTCCCTGCATTGTCTCCGGGGTTTTCCTGGCCCCGGAGCACCGATGGGCAGTTGGCCGGGTGCTCTCACTCCCGGCTTGATTTGGGTCACCAGGGTGTGTGTGTGGGTGTCATTGGTTTCCCCAGTTGACAGCCGGGCATCCCTGGTTTCCTCTTGGCAGTGGCAGCGGCAGCAGCAGTCTCAGCAGCCCAGAGCCAGCCTGGTAGCGCAGTAGGCTCTGGCTGGCTTCAGGAGCTGCTCGCTGCTGTGGCACCCGCCATTTTGCCTCACCGGAAGTCCCCATATGATGTGTCTTGTGCCGTTGAACCAATCACGCAACATTCATTCCTTACTAATAAATCTACAACATTTAAAATATAAATCTGGGGACATTAAATGAAATCCAGGGACATTCTGGGGACGGATTTTGTCCAGGGACTGATTTGTAAATCTGGGGACTGTCCCCGGGAAACGGGGATATCTGGTAACCGTACCTTAAGGTCTCTATTATTATACCCAGCCTACACTACAAAGAAATGTTATTGAGGAGGCACAAGGGAGAGTCAGGCAGCCTGGTAGAAACAGACACTGATCTATTTCTGGCAGAGAAAGGATAACTGGAAGGGAGGGCAAACAAAGGGGCACATTTGGGTTGGCCTTATCTCTCTTCCCCACAGGGCTCATGAACCTGAAAACAATTAGTTTAGCATCTATAGTTAAACTTAAATCAAAACCTTGCTTTTTAAAGAAAAGAAAACCAAAGGTAAGGACTTTCAGACCAAAGGCCCACTCATCCTGCCTCTTGATCTCACAACCAGATGGCAATGGGAAGCCTGCAAGCAGGTCATGAGTGCAGCAGCATTCTCTCCAACCGGGCGCCCTCCAGATGTTTCGGACTACAACTCCCATCAACCCCATCCAGCACACAAATCTTACATTACATTCTTACAACGTAGTAACATCACTACTCTCTTATGCTACCTTCCTGGTCCTCACCTTGCTTTTTGGTCCATCCATGTCTAGGGTAGTAGCAAAGACCCACTGAGGTGGAGTTGGCAGCCTCAGAAACTGCTTCACCAGACCCAGGCCAATTCCTGAATTGGATCCTGTCACCAGAACACTCTGAACAGGGAAATTTGTCGCCATCCCCTTGGAGCTGCAGCCTTTGGCTTCCATGCTTGTAACGCTTGCTTCAAAGAACGTCGGTTCGTCACATGAGATGCTTTTATGGGAACTAGGCACCTCCTTTGATCTTCAGATAATCTTCTCTTGGACGCAACACCTCATTAGCTCATTGGCCACTTCTGTGTTTTAACAACATCATTAGCAAAGGAAAAATTGCTATGAAAGATTGTTATGAAGATTTAAAAAACAGGGTGAAGCAAATAACTATGTACCCCAAGTTCATTAGTGAAAGAATGTGAAAAGATAAAAAAAGCATACTGTGTCACTAGGGAATATATTAACCAGCATGTAACAACTAACCCAATGTCAGGGACTGGGCAAAGGAGAAATGGTGGAGATCGCCTCCCCAGCCTGACACTTCCAGAGAAGAAGACAATTCAGATTTACAATGGTTTGAGGGTGGTCACAGCTCAGAGGAAGATGAGGGGGAAACTTATGTTCAGGCCACATCCCCTAATATGCTTTTGTACCTGCTCCTTAGCTTCCTTTACATCTGTAAAATGGAAACACTATTTTCAAACACTTACAAGATGAAAGCTTGTCACTCCAAAGAGCTTTTGACATGCATGTTAGCTGCAGCTAGGGTTTCAATAGCCTAGCAAAGGAAAACCTTGAAAGATCTGCATTTGGCTGTGTGGCGTAAGAACTTGCGGAAGTCATTGTGGGGGGAAATTGCACATAAATTCAGTGTTTCCAGTGGGTTGGAGGATCCAGGAGGATTTTATGGGATCTGGTGGGATTTTATTTCCTATGCTTTGGATTTAGATGCTCAACATTTATCATCCACACTAGCTCGTGAAATATGGATGTCTTGATAATATTATTTGGGAGTTTATGTTAAAAAACTTAGAATATATGGAGGTGGGGAAAGAATTTTTCAATGGTATAAAGGCAATCTATACAGAACAGAGAGCAAAATTGATAGTTAACAGCGTAATTACTGAAGATATAAAAATATCAAAAGGAACAAGACAAGGTTGTCCACTTTCGCCATTGTTATTCATAACAGTTCTGGAAGTCTTCTTAAATGCGATTAGACAAAACAAACAAATAAAAGGGGTGACAGTAGGGCAGAATGAATACAAAGTTAAAGCCTTTGCCAACGATTTGGTAATGACCATTGAAGAACCAATAGGAAGTGTAAAAGAGGTATTGGAGGAGATGGAACAATTTGGAAGGGCAGCCGGATTTAGACTGAATAAGAATAAGACCAAAATGATTGCAAAAAACATGGAACAAAGTAAGATTGAAATAATGCAACAACAAACAGAGATAGAGGTGGTGAAAAAGGTAAAATATTTGGGAATTTGGTTAACGTCTAAAAATACTGATTTGTATCAAAATAACTACATACCGGTTTGGAAGGGAATAAAGAATGACCTGGAGGTGTGGGGTAGAATGAAATTATCTTTCTGGGGAAGAATCTCTACGATAAAGATGAGCGTGCTGCCAAAGATGTTATTCTTATTTCAGACTATACCCATTATAAAGGGTATAGGAATCTTTAAAGAATGGCAAAGAGTGAGTTCAAGGTATATCTGGCAGGGGAAGAAGCCAAGAATAAAATTTAAGTTATTGACAGATGCAAAAGAAAGAGGTGGCTTCGCCCTGCCAGATTTGAAACTATATTATGAAGCAGCTTGCCTATGTTGGTTAAAAGAATGGATTAAACTAGAAAATAAGGAGCTATTAGACCTTGAAGGTTTTGATAACAGATTTGGCTGGCATGCGTATCTATGTGTGACAAGAAGAAAGTTCATAAAGGATTTGGAAGCCACATTTTCAGGAGTTCTTTAATAGAAATATGGGATAGATATAAAAATATATTGGAACCAAAAATCCCACATTGGCTTTCTCCGTTAGAGGTTATGAGTGTTAAGAAAATTAATATGAGAGGTAAATGGAGTACATATGGAGAATTGGTAATTAAAGAAGGAGGAAAATGGAAATTGAAACCATATGAACAAGTGAAAGACCATGTATATGATTGGTTGCATTATTTTCAAGTAAATGAAATGTTTAAAAAAGATTCAAAAGAAAGAGGTTATGTAGAAAAAGATTCTAAATTTCAAGTAGATATAATAAACAATGATTGTAAAACTTTGTCAAAAATGTATAAGATATTGTTGGAATGGCATAGACGAAGAGGTTAAATTGGTAATGATACAATGGGCCAAAGATTTTGGGTACAATATACATTTCGATGAGTGGGGAAAACTGTGGAAAGAGAACATAAAATTTACTGCATGTACGGCACTGAAAGAAAATGTTATGAAAATGTTTTACAGATGGTACATTACACCAGTAAAGTTAGCAAAGATGTATAAGACGTGTAACAAATGTTGGAAATGTAAAGAAAAAGAAGGAACATTCTTTCATGTGTGGTGGGAATGTAAGAAAGTGAAAAGCTTTTGGGAAATGATATACAATGAAATGAAAAAGATGTTAAAATATACTTTTGTAAAAAAACCGGAGGCTTTTCTTTTAGGGATCCTAGGAAAAGAAATAAGAAGAAAAGACTGTAAACTCTTTCAATATGCAGTAACGGCAGCCAGAATATTGTTGGCCCAGAAATGGAAACAAGAGGAAATACCGACGATAGAGGAATGGAGACTGAAATTGATAGATTACGCAGAACTGGACAAATTAACTGGGAAAATTAGATATACCAAAGACCAGAAGTTCATCGAAAACTGGGGAAAGTTGGTAGATTATCTGAAAAATGTATGTGATGTGAACACAACGTTAGTGGGATTTCAAGAGGCACTGTAAAAATTGAGAAGTATTGTCAATATGAAATAGTGGGGGAAGGGAAGTTTAATGGCAATACGAAAGAAGGGAATGTGTAATTAAAGATAAAATATGGATGATTCTCAGAGACGCTGAAGGAAGTTCAAAAAGAGACAATTTGTTGAAATTTGGATAAAAATGTATAACTGTATAGAAAACCAATAAAAATTTATTTTAAAAAAAAAGAAATATGGATGTCTTGATTTATATTGATGTGTCATCATTTCTTTCTCTTACTATTTATTGTTTGCTTGCTTTATATATGGTATGATGCAACATCCTGTTACTGCACTTATGGGTTGTTAATAGTGTTAATAAGTTTTTTTGTTTTTTGTTTTTAAAGTCCACAAGATTGGAATAAGGTAAGTGAACACTACTAATAAAGGTCATTTAAACTGGTCTGGCAGGTGATTTCAAGGCTACCACTAAAACAAGGCTGCATTTAAAGCTGCATTCTAACTTATAATTTTAATCAACTTTTTGTTTGGTTTGTTGTTGTTGTTCTTAATATTTTTACTGTATTTATATTTGGTGTTAGCCGCCCTGAGCCTGGTCTTGGCTGGGCAGGGCGTGGTATAAATAAAAAATTATGATGATGATGATGATCATGATGATGTTAGAAAATTTAGAAAACAGGTAAGAGAGATGCTCCTAATTGCTCTACTAGTTAGGGTGGCAGTTACCACACCCCAGCAGGAGAGGGAGAACAACTACTCCTGAAGTAAGAAGTCTGTTGATAGCATGTGGGCACTTCCAGGTGAACAATTTATTTTTATTTTTCCTTAATAATAAGGAATAGTAAATGATACAAATAAATAGACCAGGTCTCCTCATGTCATCTGTATATCACAGAAAGCACAATAAATTTGCAGTAATATCTGCGACCTGTGGTTCATTATTAGTGGTCAATTTGAAAGTTTATGGTTCGTGAGTTGGTGTAAATAAAAACAAAGGGGAAAACAGGATAGAACGGAATTAACAGATAACATTGCATAGCTAGATGCCTAATCAGGAGCCCTTGGGTGTGCTTAGATTAAGTATGAGTAATAAGTCATTTTACCTCTTACGTTACCAATGAAACAATATAGTGTTTGTATATTGATGAACGTGGGGTGTGGGGTTTCAAAATGAAGATAAGAATTTTATGTTTAAATTTAAATGTAGATTAACCAGATTGACCCAAATGCTGTGGGAGGGGTTGTTCATTTTCTGCAATACTGGCATATGCTATGAAATTAAACTGCCTCAGGGTAAAGCCCAAATACTTGATGTACTGGTGTAATGTACCTCGGGCTACATACGCTTCAGATTACATACGCTTCAGGTTACAGACTCCGCTAACCCAGAAATAGTACCTCGGGTTAAGAACTTTGCTTCAGAATGAGAACAGAAATCATGCTCCGGTGGTGCGACAGCAGTGGGAGGTGTCATTAGCTAATGTAGTGCTTCAGGTTAAGAACAGTTTCAGGTTAAGAACGGACCTCCAGAACGAATTAAGTTCTTAACCCAAGGTACCACTGTATATACTTACCACAGTTGAATGCTGCACCTGTAAGGCGGTGTTACAGATATAGCTGATATATTTTACACAAAAATTGACTAGAACTGAGAGATGCAGCCTTGGGGGCTGCTCAGGTTGTTACCTATTACCTTGCAGGTGTCAGTTTTGTTCATATATTTATACACAGTGCTTTTTTTCTTAAAAAATATTTAGGGGTACTTTCATTTTCCTACCCACATTGAAAGATTCAAAAAATGTTTAGGGGTATGCGTACCTCTGTATCCCCCCAGAAAAAAGCACTGTTTATACCTAAAGCCAGCATTTCAAGTCCCTCATGTGTTCTCATCCACAGGAAACAGTTCGGCTCTATTGCCTCTGGAACTTCACTTCTTCTAGACATGAGGAGCAGGTAACAATATATAACATAATAAGCACATTGTTAGTATTCTAGAGATATGTTCTACCTTCATGCTTTTCAAAAGTTTATTTTATGTCCCCCCACTTCATTGTGACCTTTGAGCAATGAAGGCTATATAGATGAAGAGTAGTTTTCTCTTAATAAATGTAATTTGGAGCGCTGTCGGCAGCCAGGCAAACAGCAGTGTGATCTCTTACATTTTAATTATATAGTAAGAAGATATGGACCCTAATTCTTACACAGCACATTTGCCATCCTTTGCCAAACTAACAACCCGCTTATTAAAATGGGTGGGTCTTCTTAATTTCAGCAAATTCTAGTGAAAACTCAAGACACTGTGGAACAAATTCTTCTTTGCTGCTTGTTCTCAGACACTTGAGAGCAATGGGAGTTTTGTGTGACTTAGGCAAATATGCCACAGAGTGTTCTTCAACAGTAAATGAAAATAGGACTTATATTTATTGAAGGCACGGAGGCTTTGAGATTTACCAGTGAATGTCAACTTGGCTCTTGGCATTAAAAATTATGGTAAACATTTAACATTCACCCAGATTTGGCAATAGACGTCACCCAAAGACTTAAGACCCTTGATAGTCAATGTGGGCAAGTTCTAATCTTCCTTCGTCAAACGGGAATCCTTCATGGCATGAGGTTACCTGGATAAAGCCTACATTTCCAATCCAGGGATCGCCAACCATTTTGGGTCTGTGGGCACATTTGAAAATAGAGAAGCTGTGTATTGGGCACCACACACACACACACACTGCAAACAAGCACTTATCACAACCTACGTTATTAACTACAACCCAATGCTTCTTTTAAGCCTAATTTCAGCAGGGGGAAGAGGACCCTGTGGGCATAACGGAAAGCCTCTGGGGATGAACATGTGCTTGTGAGCAACCCCTGCTCTAATCTATGAAATGCTATTCATTCTTGTAGGTATTGCCTACCTAAAGCTTGTCTTCGCCCAATTTCATAATGATGTAATAGCTGGATAAATACAGGATCACAGTGGCCAACTGTAAATATTTAAGGTGTGGCGAAGCACACAATGAAGTGTGCCTTTTAATATTTACAATTCTGCACAACAATGTACAAACTAATGTTGTGGCGCACAGAGTATGGGCACACATGCAAATGTGTGCACACGCGCAAACACACATAAAGGAAGCTGTATTGTATCATGTCAGACAACTGATTCACCATCTAGATCAGTGCTGTCTATGCTGACCAGCTGTGACTCTCCAGAATTTCCAATAGGAGTGCTTTGCAATGATACCTGGAGACTGCATCTGGGACCTTCTACCTGTACATAGAAAGCATGTGCCCTTTCACTGAGCTATGGCCCTTCCCCAAGCAGACAACATACACAAACAGTACCAGAATGGAGCATAGGAGAGTGACACAGGACACTGGCAGGTGCACATGGATGTATATTTTAATAAAAATAATTCTGTCAAAATACAACAGAATGTGGGTTTTTTTTAAACCATATTTCCAGTACACCCCCCCCCCCCAATATTCTTTTTCTTCAGTTAAAATTTCCTCCCCTCGGAAGGGTTTCATGCTAGCGTTGGATAACTGAACTCACAAATACTAAGCAGAGACTGAACCAATGTGCACAGCTTGGTAGGATGTCCACTGAGTCAATGTCCTCAATGAAGAGAAAGAACTCCAAGTGATGATGGAAGCCTGGTGGAGCTGAGGTTCTGCTCAGCCTGTTTTATTTGGTGATTGGGGTTTTTTTGTTTTGTACAGTTGATGATGCTATAAAAAAGTTAACAAAAAAGTGTCCTGACATTCCATGCTAGAGCTGGTACCTGAGTTTTGAACAACTGGAAAAGGCAGGGGTAGGGTGGGAGATAATTGAATTAAAATAAGCACTTCACTGAGTAGGGTTTTGTTTTGTTTTTGTCCTAGCTTGACATCTAAGATGCAATCCAGTCACTCTCTGCCACCCACCTCATGTTGCTGTCAGCCGATTTAAGATGAGAACACAGACACCCCAAAATTAAAAATGTAGAAAACAATCACCAACCCATAGTTTTAAACCTTAAATAATGTTTCTTTGTAGTAAATGTCAATCTTTTCTTTTCAATATGCTTCAGAGTACTTCCCCAAGCAGTGTGGCCCCACCATACAAAAGCTACTTGGTTCTATGAGAGTCCTAGTCAGCAACTAATTTTGCCTGAAGGGAAGTGTGGTGCACATGGCTCTAATGCCCAGTGGCATGTCAACAACAATTTCCACACCACCCCTTTTGCTCCATTTCCCCCCTTATTTAAAGAACAGGTTTGGCAACTAGCATCCAGGAGACCAGTTTTGGCCAACAGATCACCAACTGGTGAGCCTGGTGCTTGAAACCCGCCACTAATTTAGAACAAAGAATTCCTCAAGTAAGTTACAAAGTATATATGGAAGATGAGTAAGAGCAGCTTGGGCTTGATGAAAGGATGGATGTTTGGGTGCTGTTGGGAGGCATGCTACCCCGCCTGTGGTTAAAATGATTAGTTTAGGGAAGCATCGGAAACATGTACCTTATTGAACCTCTAGTGCCACCTGCCATGTTACAAAAGGCCTCCAGAACCAAAGCTCTAGCTCAGGTCTATGGTCTGGTAATCTCATCCTGCAAGGCAGATAGGTTGTCCAAAAATAAGATGTTAATCTAAAAGCAAAATCACTCTTCTTTTGCGCAAAAGGAACTGTTTGGGGTCAGAGTGAAGAAGTAATGAGTGTACTGCATTTACATTCTAGGACGGGGTGGCTAATCTGTGACCCTCCTTTTATAGAACCATACCTCCACTTGTCTTATATCTCCTGCTCCTAATATGAGATCAGATATAACACTCCTTATATGTGGAAAGTCTCATTTGTACAGTGTTAAGAACGTCTAGAGTATGGGGAGACTACATAGACAAGAGAGTGTGCATTTTTATCAAGTGATGGATCAGCATTCTTCAGCATAGTATTTCAAAGAATGGTTTAAAACAGCTGTAGACTAGAGAGACTATTTTACTGCCAGACTGAAGAGCAATCAGCAGTGACGCTGTTGGATTCTAGACACCACAACTAGAGACTTTCAATCTCTATTCCATCTATATGGCAAATGCCCTAGAAGGGGAGGTTGTTGTAAATTCTGCAATTTCACCCCATAGCCTAGACAGATATCCCCTATGCATGTTATTTCTTGTTGCTCTTGATCATAATGGCTCTGATGACCACCTACTAAAAAAATGAGTATTTTGTATCCAAAGTGGATTATTCATAGTTAGCTGCTGTAAAAAGAGAATACTATTTCATCAATATGAATATGAACACATCTGGGAAGATTTTGTTTCACAAGTTCCATAGTGTTTTTGATTGAATTAATTTTAACCTCTAAAGTACATTTACACTGTTAATTTAAGAATAATTGCTATAGGCTTTGATACCAACAGCCACACTTTGGCTACACACTCCAGGAGTTTCTGGGTCTAAACAACAGTTGTACCACAAGGAAACTCTTGAGCTGAGCTGGCTGGTACTGAAAGTCTTCTTCAAGTGTGACACAGAGTACCTCCAATGTCTACAGGATTTCAAGCTTTCATACATTATCAAAGCAGATTGCTTTAGATCAAAAGCATGTTACCCACCATAAGTGTGGGTAACTTGTTTCTGAGAAAATATTCAAAGCAACTCTGTAAAAAGGAATGTTATGGAGGCAGGGAATCGCTGGTTAAAGACTCGTCCAAAATAGGTAAAATTTAAAAATTAAATCCTAAGAGCTACATACAGCAATAGCAGCCAATTGATAGGTTGCTGGTGCAGAAAATGAGATTGGAGATATGACGATGTCAGTTTTCACACCAGGACACAATTAGGGATGGATTTTAAAATCAGTGTTTTAAACAGGATTTGCTTATTGATGTGTAAGCTAGCACTGAGCACTCTTTAAAATGATCTAAGACAGGATAGAATTGTTAAAACAACACTACACATTTGAGTATCATGTTGACCAGTTATTGATGGCAGCTGGCAAAAAAGGATAATGCTTTCCTTTATTCAATGCAGTCAAGATGATATTTTGCTTTGATCTAACCTGTGCAAGAGAGCAATCATAGCCAGTTATGTAACACTATCAGTGCAGGGACAGGGGGGATTGAATTTGGAACTGTGTCTTGCACAGCCATCTCTTTAATTTTAAAGTGTTTCTCAGTCTCTCAGTAATAGTCAGCCCAGCAGAACAAGGGATGAAAACAGTGTGTTTACTTCCACCACCACTACTTTACACACAAACACATGAAAATAGAGGTGGTCTACAACTGATGAGCACTGTGCAGGATCATTCCCATTACAGGTGCAGGTCACATTCTTGAATGTGATGCTCATTCTGTATGTTCCAAGTCTACTGCACACACATGTTATTCACCGTTATACCTGCAAGCCCCAAACTAAACTGTCAGCTTCTTTCTAATGCAGGCATAGGCAAACTCCGGCCCTCCAGATGTTTGGGACTACAATTCCCATCATCCCTGGTCCTGTTAGCTAGGGATGGTGGGAATTGTAGTCCCAAACATCTGGAGGGCCGGAGTTTGCCTATGCCTGTTCTAAATGTGACCACTGTTCTTCACCTCAAGAAGCACACTTATTTAGCACATTCCCCATAACCTTCTGCAATACTGAAAAACCACTTGAGTTAAATGTCTCGCTTGTTGATTTTATAGGAGTCACTTTTCCCATCAGAAATGTATATTAAAAGCTAGACAAGATGTTGAAATATGCCAGCAAGCCAACAATTCTGAAGCTGCATAATCCATACTATAATCTGACAAAATTGCTTTTAGTAGTGTGCCTCTCTTGATATACATATATACACCCTCATATAAATTAGGCTGGCACCTGAGTTTTTCACCCATTATGCCTAGCAACTTTTTGTGAGGATTTCTGCAATACCCTGGTTTAGAAGTGTCTGTACTTTTTTTTTTAATGGCTACTCCTTGCAATAAAAACTGTACACTTTTTTTAAAAGGAAAAACTAAATATTGGCTTATGTCCTCAATTTCACATTTTCATTTGTGGCTGATCAGTTGTCATTCAAGCATCTGACGGACTTCAAGTTCAGTGTGGAACAAAGATCCACAGGTAATGAGGGAGGTGTGATCTGATCTACCTGAGCCCCAAACCTGGACTGGGAGCTTGTCAACTATGAATGACCCCAAAACACAGGGGGCGTGCAATTGTATAAAAAAGCAGACAGCAGTCCAAGTGAAAACCCCTAGGAGAGTCTCTAGCTCAAATAGAAAAGGCTAGAGTGACACATATCTCCCAGTTTCCACATCATCTGACACTATTCCATTTAAAAGACAGGTAAAGTCACTCTGCCTTCAACATCTCTATGGGACAAGTCCCATTTGTTTGATGCTAGCTGCCACCTAAATGCCCATATTGGATTAAATGCGCTAATCAAACTGTATTGGGCCTAGGATCCCTTCCTCTACTGCATGGGTAGTTAAGATGATGCTTTCCAGATGTTGTTAAGACTACAGATCCCATAATCCCTGACCACTGATCATGTTAGCCAGGGCTGATGGGAACTGGAGTCCAATATCTGGAGGTCATCATCTCAGCTGCCTGTGTTATAATGTTGGATGTGTTTAGGCAAGACATTGTTCCTACTCTCAACCATGTTTAGGGTGGGGGGGTATGCTTGGTTAAGACCATCTCCATCTGTCTCAGAGTATCAGGCCATTTTACTAGAAGATGAGACCAAAATACTACACACCTTTCATTCTCATTCTCAGCTTTTCTCCATAGAAGTTCCAATGGCCACCTGTCAGTTCTTGACCTTGAATATCACATGGCAAAAAAGAGACAAATGAGCCTTTCTGCTCAGGCAGTAGAGATGTGGTGGCACAGGTTGGTCTCCAGTCAAAACACGAAGCCTCTTGCCTTTAAGGGGACTAGCACTAGAGAACAACACTGCCCTGGTGACATGTGTGCCAGCAGTTTCCCCTCGTGAAAATAAAAGCAGGCCATCACCAACAGATACACTTTTATCTCTAAATTAGTAGAAACCAGCTCAGCACAAACTCTCCAGATATAAATACTGGTGGCTCAGTCAGAAAATAAAATAAAATAAAATAAATCCTAAAGTAGGAAAGGCGCTACATCAGAATGACCAGTGAAAATACTGAGTGCTGCAATGGCTGCAGGGCAGAGCAGGCTGTGGTGGTGATGACGACAGGGGGAAGGCCCTGCCAGCAGTTTCCAAGGTGAGAAATGAAGGCATCACAAGGATTCCCCCTCAGTCAGCAATGTGTCCTTCCGCTGGGCAGCTTGCCCTTGGGGGCAGTGGGAAAATGCGAGGCAGGGGGAAGTGATGGTGGCAGCACTGGAGGGGTCACTCTGTCTCACTCAGTGGCTAGTGCAAATAGTCATCCACTCTGGCGAAAGAGCAGGAGCCCAAGCCCACGCGGGCCATGAGCCGCAAGCACTCCGAGGCCTGGCCCAGGGCAAGCAGCAGTGGGGGCTGCTTTGGCAGGTTCTGAGACTCTGCAGAAAGAGAAAGAGGGCATTGTGACAATGAGGAGATGCACAAAGAGCATGTCATTGATAAAAGCTACTTTATTCCATCCCCCACACCCCAAAGCTGCAAGAAGGCTCTTCCCCATAGAGGACTGGAAAACACAGAAGAGGAGTGGGGGTCCCTCCAGTTGTCAATGGGCTCCAAACCCCCACCAGCACGGCCAGTGGTCAGGAGTGATGGGAGCTGTAGTCCAGCAACATCTGGAGGGACACAGGCTCTGGAATGCATGCAGGCCCTACGAAGGGAAAGATCCATCTGAAGCCTGATGACAGTCAAAGGTTAAATACATGAATCTGGCCCAAGTTCAGCAATGTTGCAGCCCACTGGTTTCAATATGAAAATTATACACAGGCATAGCTTTATTTCATGGTAAGCAGTGAGACCGACGAAAGCTCAGCATCTGTTGGACCATGCCTTCAAGTTTTATCGAGGTATCCCAAATTCATTACATATATTACCACATTACTCTATATAATAACCCTGTAAGGCAAATTAGTGGCATTATGCCCTCTTTACAGAAAGGGTGGCTGAAGCTCAAGCTACCTACTGAATTCATGGGTGAGGTGAGATTTTGCAAGTCTGCTCCCCACTCCAGCTTTCACCTCTGTGATGATAAATATGCGTGCAGCAAAAGCACACACAGTGGCTATGGCTTCGCTCAGCAGTCCTTAAAACTATGGCAGCGGCTTAACACCATATATTTCAGGAGATCTTCATGGAACATGGGGAAAACTAAGCAAAATGTTGGGGAAAATTAAAGAACACTGCAGTAATTTTGCAAGGTAAGCAATAATCCTGCCAGCTGCCCTCCAGCATCAGTAGCCTCACTGCAGAAACAGGTGCATGCAGAAGAGACAGGTCTGAGCTACCTCACCCTTTGTCACCTTACCCAATATAGCGCTATTGAGTGCAGCACACACGGGTTCCCGCTGGATTGGATCTAGCTGCTGGCCAACGGGACAGTTCCATGGATCAGAGTAGGCCAGCAAGCTGAACGCGTCCTGAGTGAAAGAAGAGAGGCTTGAACAGCACTGCAACACATACACAAAATACCAGGATTCTCTAAGTGATGGAATGGGCCACCTGAAATTACTGAGTCTCTTCAAACTGAGACCAGAGAACACATACTCAGTATGCCACATGAACTCACTGCTCTGCTTGGGAGAAAGTGGATCTAAAGAAATTGCAGGGAAACGATTATACGGATTCCCAACATGTTTTAAAATACTGAACTAAATAGTTTTTAACCCAAAGAGGACAAAGAGCACTTTGTCCTGTTGGTATTTAACTACTATTCTTGGTCCAATCAAGATGTGTAATGGCTCAGTTCAGGCAGTATGAAAAACCAAGCTTAAGGAATCCCATCTCATGTGACAAACTGCAGTTATGGCTACTGCACCATGGATGCAGGCGCAAAGATAAAGCTATGTGATGTACTCAGTATACAGAAATGAAAGCAGGCAAGTGACACTAATCTACATCTTTGCCTGTTCTATCTTTGAAAGCCTGAATGGTAGTTTGGGTTATGAACTATGATAAGTGCAAACCAAGGTGACTTCTCTGGAAAACAGGAGGGCATAGAGTGTCCTTCTTGTGCAACCCTTTCTCCTGATGTGAAACAGAGGGCTCCAGAGCTTCCTTGGCAGTGGTATCTCATCTGTGGAACTCTTTTAGCTATTTCTTGGTAGCGAATCTAAAACCCTTAGGTGTCAGGGTCAACACAGTACTATTTTCCTTGGGTTTTAAAACAGTTTTAAGTGACCAGTTGGGTGTTGATGGTTTTATTAGTTTAAAAAACTCCTCCTGCGACACTGCTCTATTGCCTTTTATTTTTACTTTTTATTTTGGGGCCATAGCAAGAGTGGTAGAACATCTGTTTTGCATGCAGAAAGTCCCAAATTCAACTCCTGGAATCTCCCAGTAGGGCTGGGAATGTCCTCTGTCTGAAATCCTGGAGAGCTAGTGCCAGTCAGTATAGACTGAGCTGAAAGGACTAAAGGTCTGACTCACTATAAGGCAGCTTCCTATTATACTGTTTTTATTTTTTATTGCAAGCAACCACCATAGCAATTTTATATTGAGAGGTGAAATGGGGATATTTTGAATGAATGAATGGTTTCAAGTTCTGGGTCATGAATGTGAATGGGGTTCTCAGCCACATGGCACACCTGCAACATTTTTTTATGTGTCGTATTCTTCCCATACTCTCTGCACAGCTGCTCGCTCAGGGTCTGCAGCTCCCGCCCAAACTGGATCATCCGCTCAGTGGCAGCATGGTTCCCTCCACAGAGCTGCCTCTGAGGACAGCCATCTTCTAGAGCAAAGGAAAGAAGAAGGGAAGGGAAAGTGAAAAGAAGGGAAGGGCTGGAGCACCAAAGCAATCACCTTCCTCCATCTCTGTCTCCCCAAAAGCCAGTTAGTTCAATTCCAGTGAGGTCAACAGCAGAAGGCTCAGAGGAGTCCCACCACTAGAAGCATTTAGTTTTAAAATGCTGTCCATCATCAGCTATAAATTACATTGGCACTTCAGTCTTGTTGCAAGAAAATTACTTCATCATTTTCAAAATTTTACTGTTTGATATTCTAATGATCTAACTAATTTTAGAAACAATTTTTTTTTTGCATCCCATGCCCTCTCTGTGGGTTTCTGGACTGGAAGAGGACCCCAAGTAGCAGTTTCCTTAGGGAACATCACCCACACTTGCTAAGCTGAGTGTTCCCTGGAACAGAGATGAGAAGATGCTTTCCACACTGAACCCTACCCATGCTGGAATCATCTGTCTGCAGAATCTCTTCATGTTTGTAAGTGCCATTCATTATCCTTGTAGCAGAATTCTCCAGGACTCCATTGGGGTAGTGCTCTGCCTCCATCTCCATCTCACTGTCACTGTGTGAAAAAAAGGAGGGTCTTAGAAAGCAAAGGAGTCTTCCTGGGGGAATGAGAGGAATAGCTAACAGGAAAGACAGCGTCAGTGAGGATTAAAGCACACTGCAGATCAACCAGAAGTTCTTGGTGGATTTTCAGACTGAAATTATAAAATTTATAAACTGCTGTGATTAACACAAGTGTCAAATTATATTGAAAGGGAATTCAACTGGGTCGGAAAAATGGATTTGTGTGTGTGTCTGCTGCTTGTGCATTTGCAAATGCCTAGGCGTAAGAAGCAGGACGCTACATCAGTTTCCACCCCCTGTTACAGCTGCCTGCTACACACTTCTCACTAGAAAAAGCGCTTCTGTGCTACCTGGTCTCTTGGTTGCTGGTGCTGCTGTGCTGCTGGGACTTGGTGGAATCTGTGGAGTTAGACTCTGAGTAGTTCACCGATGAAGGGGATGACGAGGAAGAGGATGATGACGATGAGCTCAGTGCTGGATATTTACAGTGGCTCTGTTTGTTTTTTATGGAAGTAACTCCATTGCTACAGCTTGGGCTGTCCGCTCCTGAAACAGAAAGAAAAGAATGAGGACTGGTGCCCCTGCTCTGTTTTAATGTTGCAAGGGGATCTGGACAAACCCACGTCAATGTCCATCTTAGACTACCATATATACTCGAAAATAAGCCGACTTTTTCAGCATAATTTTAATGCTGAAAAAGCCTCTCTCGGCTTATACTTGAGTGAGGCGGGCGGCGGCGGAGGGACGAGTGCCAAGAAAGGAGCCCTTTCTCACCGCTCATCCCTCCACCGCTGCCCGCCTCTCACAAGGGCAGGCACAGGAGCTGCGGCTGGGAGAGGCACTGCGCTGCACTGTGCCTCCCCCAACCGGGCTCCTATGCCTGCTCTTGCAAGCAGCAGAGGCGGTGGTGGAGGGATAAGTTGCCCAAAAGGAGCTCCTTCCTCCTCCTCTGCCTTTGCCCCTGTTGGCGGCAGCGGCAGAGCAAGCTACTTGTTCTTCCTCCTCTTCCACCACTGTTGGCAGTGGCAAAGGAGGAATGAGCAGCCCAAAAGCAGCCCTTTCGGGCTGCTTGTTCTTCCTCCTCCGCTGCCACCACCACCGCCACCAAGTTTGTGGTGTGTTGAACCGGCTTGTACTCGAGTCAATAAGTTTCCCCAGTTTTTTGTCCTAAAATTAGGTGCCTCGGCTTATATTCGGGTTGGTTTATACTCAAGTATATACGGTACTTAGTCCCTATTTCTGTTTTTTTTTTTTAATAGTATTTATTAAAGTTTTAAGTTTACAAAAAGGCAAAAGTAAAAACACCAAATTAAACAATAACAAAACCAACACATCACAATAAAAAACAGAAAGGTAAAAACAATTAAAAACAAAAGAAGAAAAAAAAAAACAAATCGAACCTTCCCATAATTTATCTTTCATTTGCTTGTTTCCCTGACCTCCTCACACCTCCCTTTTTTGTATTCTAAATCAGTTATCCATTTCAGCAAATCCTTTCCCTCTCTTCAAAATTTTTATCCTGAAAATATATCTTAATCTTGATATAAGTTTACTTTCCCTCTTTTCACCAATTAACAGACTATTTTTCTTAAATCTTTGATACATTTTTGCTAAAATCACCTAGATTCATTCCAACATCATTCTAACATTCATTAATTTTACAATGTTTCTGTAAATAGTCTTTAAATTTCTTCCAATCTTCCTCCACCAACTTTTCTCCCTGGTCTCGGATTCTGCCAGTCATTTCCGCCAGTTCCATATAGTCTATCACCTTCATCTGCCATTCTTCCAGGGTGGGTAGATCTTGTGTCTTCCAATACTTTGCAATAAGTATTCTTGCTGCTGTTGTGGCATACATAAAGGAAGTTCTGTCCTTCTTTGGCACCAATTGGCCGATCATGCCCAGGAGAAAGGCCTCTGGTTTCTTCAGAAAGATATATTTAAATACCTTTTTCATTTCATTATAGATCATCTCCCAGAAAGCCTTAATCCTTGGGCATGTCCACCAAAGGTGCAAGAATGTACCTTCCGTCTCTTTACATTTCCAGCATTTATTATCGGGCAAATGATAGATTTTTGCAAGCTTGACTGGTGTCATGTACCACCTGTATATCATTTTCATTATATTCTCTCTTAAGGCATTACATGCCGTGAACTTCATACCTGTGGTCCATAACTGTTCCCAGTCAGCCATCATAATGTTATGTCCAACATCTTGTGCCCATCTAATCATAACAGATTTCACCGTTTCATCTTGAGTATTCCATTTCAACAGCAAATTATACATTCTTGACAAATTCTTAGTTTTGGGGTCTAACAGTTCTGTTTCCAATTTTGATTTTTCCACCTGGAAGCCAATTTTTTTATCCAAATTATATGCCTCCATTATCTGATAATAATGAAGCCAATCTCGCACTCTATTTTTTAATTTTTCAAAACTCTGCAGTTTTAATCTGTCTCCCTCTTGTTCCAAAATTTCCCAATATTTCAGCCATTTAGCCTCCATATTGAGCTTTTTCTGAGCCTTCGCTTCCATTGGTGACAGCCACCTTGGGGTTTTCTTCTCAAACAAATCCTTATATCTTATCCAAACATTAAACAGTGCTTTTCTGACAATATGGTTTTTAAACGCTTTATGTACTTTGACCTTATCATACCATAGATATGCATGCCACCCAAAGACATTATTAAAACCTTCTAAGTCCAACACATCAGTGTTCTCAAGAAGCATCCATTCTCTCAGCCAGCAAAAAGCCTTAGTCCCTATTTCTGATGCAGCTAACCACAAGCAGCAAGACCTTGGTCTGATCTAATGCTTACTCAAAGCTGAAAACCACACACCACAATACATCTTACTGAAATGTGCACAGAACACACATATCCAGGCAAAGGCAAGTGGCCAGGTACTTACTATCAGTAGACAGGCACTTGCAAGATAAAATGGTATGAGGAATGTGTCTAAGCAACATGGATTTTAATTAATGCAATGGTTATGTGACATGGACATCCATATTGGACAATACCTCTAAAGACAAGCACCTTAAGGAGCAATTCTGTGGTCCCTGAGACAGCATTGCAAGGCCAGAGGATTTATACCTCTCTCACCCCACCCATGGATCTGCCATTTACTTACATTTCTGTGTGTGGGTTCTGATCAAGACTGTGGTGCTGGGAGGAGGTGACACTATCCTTTCTCTTCCTGCTATCTTCCTTATTAGGAAAACACTTAAGAGACAATTCTTCTTGGAAGTGGAATGAGTTTTAAAATGGGCAAATGGCACAAGAGGAAAAGGTTGGCCCTGATCTAACTGAATTGTGGCCCTGATCTAACTGAATGCCCGTTTCCCCTGTTGACTTTTTTAAAGTTTAAAATTAGACAGGATATCCAATTACACATCAAGGTCATTTCTAGTTTCACCTTCCCTGTAGGCCTACAGAACCTACAGTGGGGAAAGGCCATAGCTCTGCATGCAGAAGATCCCAGATTTCATCCTTGTCCTCTCCAGGTAGGGTTTGATAAAATCCCTGCCTGAGCCCCTGTAGAGCCACAGCCTGTCAACATGGACAGTACTGAGCTAGATGGACTAGTGGTCTGACTCGGTATAAGGCCTAGGCCCTAGGTTCCTATGTAAAGACAGGGCACTGAATGAATACAGTGGTAAGGCCTATAGGACAGTACTTCTCCACACCCTCCTGAGCTTTGGCTCTTCTCTCACAGTACAGGGAGAGAATTCCTAACAAGTGGAGTGAGGTGTGAACACACCAAGAATTCTCCCCAAACATCTCAAGTGCTTCATTATGGGTGCACATTGTGTAATAAGTACCCTTGGGCAGGGAGCTGGAAAAGTACTAAAAGGGTTAGGGTTCATTTGCAGAATGCCTGAATGTGGCTAGAGTGCTCTGTAGAAGAAAGCCAAGTAACTGATTTCCTAGCAGAGAAATCAACACTTACCAGTGCTGTGAATGTGCAAATTGTTAGAGCCGTGCCTTGGACTTAGGTTGGGGGAATCAGGGTAGCTGTCCTGGGATTTGGGGCTGCGGGCACTGAAACAACGTACTTCACTGTCTGTTCCATTCACCATCTCCACAAACTGCCGGCACCTGTGTGCAAGGAGAGAGGAAGAGAAAGAGTTGAAACACAAAATGCCAGAGCAATGGATGCTGTGCAATGGTTCACGAGAAGCATACAAGCATTTTAGCACCCATTAGTAGCTGCAGCCTAGAACAAACAAGGATCTTTAGAAACCACCAGATGAGAAAAGCAGCATTCTGGTGTCAAAAGCAAAGTTTTCAGCTAGAGATGTCACCTGCAAGATGATACATGAATTTAATGTTCCATTCAAAAGCCCAGTATGAAGGAACCAGACACACGTTAAGCCCCTTCCCAAGACAGGAAACCACTCCAGCCACAGAGCAAAATCTTTTTACTGAAATGTCTGAAAGTGGCACTAACGAGTGAAAATTTTCTCTCTTGCTGAATTAGTATTCTTCAGGAGCTGGAGCTAGTAGATAAGGTACCCGGTCAACACATGAAGCTGTCTTACACCAAGTCAGGCCATTCATCCATCTAGCTCAGTATTGTCTATTCCAGGGTATGTTTCAGGCAGGGGTCTTTCCCAGTCCTTCCTGGAAATGCCAGCGCTTGAATCTGGGACCTTCTGTATGCAAAGCATGTGCTCTACCGCTGAGCCATAGCATTTTGGCTTCACATTGGGAGCAACCATTCACCCTTAAGCTTTGCTTCTCATAGAAAAGGATTAGCATTGTGCAGCAAGTGTTAATAAGAGAACCATGAAGAAGAAATGAGACAGGTTTCTATACTGGTAAGCTGCTTAGAAGTCTACTTTGGCATCAAATTAATTAATTAATTACAAGACCCTTTTATAGTTCACTTTTGAAGGAACAGATACAGCAAAGCCTAGCACCTTGTTCCATGTTCCATCATTGCAGACAGCCACTTCTAAAATCACAGGTGTGTTAAGAGTAAAAAAAGCTGATTCTCTATGAAAGTGGTATAGGTTCAGACCACAACTTAGTATGACCAACTATATCCAGTGTGGGGAACTTTTGGCTCTCCAGATGTTGATGAACTACAACCAGATAATCTACCTGTACTAGATTATTAGACTGTGAGCAAGGGTGGTCTTCTCTTTTGATGCTTGTACAGCAATTAAAAACGTAAGGTGTTTTATGAGTGCTAATAACGAAAGCAAGCAATTCAGGTCTGCATGCCTGTTTTGAAGTACAGAGAAGGAAAAGGAACGATACCACAGAGGAAAACGGTGCCATTGCAAATAATGTCTTAACACAGAGAGATGTTTAAAGCATCATTCTATAGGTAAAACAACCTTTCACTGGATGATTTGCCATCCCCAGCTCTTCTGGAATAAGTTGGAATGTGGCTCAAGCCTGCTACCCTAACCAATGGGGTCACCTTTTCAGCACTATACATCACTTATTCTTCCTTCATTTAATAAATTTATTAACCACCATTCAAAGTGCAATGATCTTCTCCTGACAGCTTCTAACTGTAATAGCCAAAGTAAAGACCTGGAATGTTTGTATCATTGTATCATTAGACTCGTTTTGATAGATCACAGCCAGTAGTTCCAGTATAAGCCTCTGTCTTCTTATGTTCCTCACACTGCAGGTCTTACTGTACTTGAAAGGATTTGGATGTACTCACTTTAACATAAAAAGGAGATTAGGGTTGTGCTCTAGGAGTCCTGGGTATAGCTGTTGTGTGGCTTCAATGGCTTCCCCCACTCTTCCTGCCAAGACCAGCTTCTGTATTCCTGTAGATGAAAGCAGGGATGGAACAGTAAGATTGCCTATAATGACAGGCAGCATATAATCCCAAAGGTAGACAGGCAATAAAAATGTTGGATTTTATCTGAATATCTGAAGAACATGAACCTATTTAATTGCAGGTGATGTTCAAAGGCCTTTTTCTAGATACTCCTAACTTCAGAGGATAGATAAAAGTGACCACAAATAGGGACTTCAGTGTGATGGCACCCCAGTTGTGGAATTTCTTCCCCAGAAGGTACACCTGGTGTCAACTGCAGATTATTAGGTGTCAGATAAAAAGTGTTATTCTTGTCTTAAGTTTTTAACTGAACAGTAATACTGATTTATCTGCTGGTGTTACAATACCTTTATGCTGCTTCCTGTTGGTTTATTGATTTTATTAATTTTATTGATGTGTGAACGTTGTACCTGATAGTTGTTTAGTGATGCTTTACATTACTTTATATGAAAGCTACTCTGAGAACTTGTTAAGAGGCAAAAGGAACCCCCCCCCCCCACACACATAAAATGATTTTATTTTCATTGTGAACCACTATGGGAGTTCTTATGGTAGAAAGATTATCGATAAATATTGCAAATAAATATTAGTAATTCAGCAATTGAGAGAAGATACTGGTCTTTCAAGTGCCATAAATCCTGCATGGAGTTAGAGGTATAACTCTGTACCCAAAGCAGTAAGTTCTTTGCAAAGGACAGCCAAAGACAACATGCAAGGTTTTTTTTATGTATGCGTTTAAAAAAACAGAAATAAATAATATAGGTTTGGCAGATTAAATAAAAGAGTACCTATTTTCCTTGAGTAGACTATCCTGCTTCTAAAGTTCTCAAACCAAACATTTGGTTTGGGAGTGGCAGGATGAGGGGGGAAATGATGAGACACTGGAACACTGGCAGCCACAGAAGAGGACCCAAGGGAAGTTGTGGAAGATATTGAGGTTCTACCTAGTGACCACTTCCATTTGGCATCTGAATATGTGGATATTGGACTGAAGTCATGCTGCAGGCAGGAAGGGCTGTCTCTCAAGTCTTCAGGGAAAGTTGTGAGGAAGTTGTAAGAATAAACTTACTTTGTCTGTTCTTTATAGAGATCTGTTCTTCCTGGATTGTACTTTCCGTCACCCTGGCAAAGGCAGTTGCTGTAGCACAGTACCCGTGATGGACCAGATAGGAAGAGACCATACTGGGGGGAGAATACAGAAAGCAAATTGTAGAACGGGTATCTCTGTTAGCACAGAGCCATGGCAAAGCTGTAAAACAGGGCTGTCCAACAGGTCAATCATGATCTACTGGTCAATCCCCAGGGGTTTTTTGTAGATCGTGGATGATCGCTGGCTCCTCTGTCTGGCCCCACCCCCTAGATTGCTATACCAGAAGATGGAGCTCTCGCTGTGTTGTTGACTGTTTCATTAGCAATCTCTTGGTGAGCAATTTATTATTTATTCCCCTGCCCTGATCCCCCCAATAAACGAGATTTGCCTCCCTAAAAAAAGCTCAGCAACTTTGACCGGAACACCACCCCAAAAGGGGTAGATCACTGCCAGTTTTTAATTGTGTGAGTAAATAGCAGTCTCTTGGAAGTTGGCTATCCCTGCTGTAAAATATATCTGGAAGGATCACATTAATTTGAAGTCAGACGGTGTATCCCAGAGTTGTCCTTGGCCCTGCTTCCTACAATGAAAATGTCACACTCTTATATGGTGAACAAAAGCATTTGGGGAAGTGAACAGAAGACACTACTCTTGGTACATTCCCACACACAACACAGGAGTTAGGCTAGCCAAAGGGAAGAGATCAACTCCTGCTTGGGTATGAACAGTCAAACTGTTATTTAAGAGCACCCAGGAAATGCATGCATTATGGTGAAGGAAACCTACATTAATGTTGCAAACTTTTTTTTTAGTATCACTGCATAAGATGTTCAAAATGATACTGTATTAATGTAGGTGAACAGCAAGTGACCCTGGACCAATTTACTGGAAATCCTATAATGAACCATTAAATACACTGCCTGTCTTACTGAGGTCTGTAGCAGTCCTATAAGCCTATCTAATCCTTTTTGAAAGTCATATATAATAGAACACTAATCACCGTGCTGTAAACCACTCCACAAAAATAATCAAAGGGCATTATAAAAATATGTCAAAATATATAAAAAAATCCAAAGCGATAGCACCCCTGTCCTCTGGAATGTAACATGCTTCCCTGCAGGTGTTGTGGTCTACAATTCACAACCAATGGTCAGCTGCCTGTTGATTTTGCAAAGCTTCATCCAAAAAAATTTCTAGGAAGAGGGAACATCAGATTCTCAGTCACTTCAAATTCTGTGCTCTGGAGCTCTGTGCTTCATTTCCCCTCATTTCTGTCTGGGACACAAAGATATAGAAGCTGTAATGCTTCTCCAAACCATCGCCTTTCCCTCCGCATCTGGTTCAGTGATTTGCCAGTGACTTGTCCTCAGACAGGCTAAAAAGCAATCAGTCCAGACAGTTCCTGAAAGCAGCCCTCCACTCTTGAGATTGCTACTGAAAACGAGATTTGTGCAGGTTTGTTTTTGTTTTTTAAAAACGAAACACATGTGCAGAGCAAAGCTCTTTGTTCCTCATTAGCATTAAGGAACTTTAACACACACAAAAATTGTCCAATATAAAGGAAGAGGGGTGCAGGACGTACTTTATAAACAGACCACTCTATAGCAATTGATGTTCTTTAATGAAGCTTCTAAGTAAAAAGAAATTAATGCTCCCACTCACTTCTGTAGCATGGCTTGCCATTCACCTAGCCGGTCACCTATGGGAAACCGCTTAATGGTGCCCTGAATCTTTGCTCGCCACTCCCTCATGTAATCTTCGATGTCAAACACAAACGGCTGCTGCCCAAAGTTGGCATCCACTATCTCTCCGGGTGTCTGGAGCCCCACAGTGGGATATAAATTGGCCTGCCAAAAGAAGAAACCCCAGTTAAAAAATAGGGCCCCTTTCGGGAAGAAAGCTAACATACATTTTTCTCTGAGCCTCCAAGAATCAGCTGAAAACAAGCAAGGGTGCTAATCTTAGAGGAAGCTCAAATGAAGCCTCCAGATTAGGCAGACGTGACGAGCACTATTCAGAGCAATTTATAAGAAACCGAACACAATATATGAGGAACCAACTAGCAAAAAACCCCAACCCTTTATGACATAGCTATAAGGTTTTACTGAATCTTTGTGACTTCCAAGAGCAGTTTGGGAAGTGAGAGAGCAAAATTAAACACACATGGCTCCATGTCAATCCTTGCATGAGTTTGCAGATTGCAAGTTTCCCCAGGGACTTCAGTCTTCCTAAAAACAGACTGTGGGAATGGAGGAAGGATCATTTGCCTTAATGACAGTCGCAGAATATGTACTCATAATCTTCCAAGACTAGAATGAAAGCTACTCCAGAACCTCCACAACATTTTACCTTCGTGCTTGTAGTTACCTATGGCAAAAATACTTTGTAAACATATCCTCTAAGTGCCTCTGAGAAAGGTACAAGCAATGTGTGCTGGATAGAGCTTTAACAGCACCAACAGTTTTGAGAAAGAAAGAAAAAGACAGCTTAGACAAAGCAAAGCTACTATGGAGAACTGGAAGAGAGCTTCCAGCATCTGGAGGCAAGCAACTAAGAGAAAGCAGTGTTGATTACTGTCACAAGGCCTATATACCAAATAACTACAAAACAAGGCTTTAAGAGGTATGTAAAATACTTAGCCCATACAGTGGTACCTCGGTTTTCGAACGCCGTAAACCCAGAAGTAAATGCTTCTGTTTTCAAACACGCCTCGGAAGTCAAACATACCACGCGGCTTCTGCTGAGTGCAAGATCCTGAGGCCTAGCTGTTGGCTATTGTTTGGTTTTCGAATGTTTCAGAACTTGAACTGTCTTCCGGAATGGATTACATTCGAAAAGCAAGGTACCACTGTATCTACATTTCCTTTCCAACAAGTCATGTCAGGCAGTGAATTCTGCTTTTCTAATCTGTCTTGTACATTCATTCCAAATTACTCGTTTGACCTCCCTAATAACTTACACTTCACCTTCTAGTGAGCTTGTCCACATTTTTGTGGAAAGGGACATAGGAAGCCACCTTGTATACCAAGTCAGACCATGGCTCCATCGAGCTTAGTACTGTCTACACTCAGTACTGAGTATTTCAGTAGCAGATCTCCAGGAAGTCTTTTCCCAATTGCATGCAAACATGTGCTCTACTGCTGAGCTACGACCCTTCCCCAATATTCCTTTCTATTCCTTATCTTCATTCAGGTAACCTTGCTGTGCTGCTTTCTTTTTGCTAGCTAGAAGATTCATTTCTTGCATTCCCTTCCAGGTGCTAGGGTGGTGTAATGATTAGAGTGTTGGACTAGGACCTGGGAGACCAGGGTTTGAATTCTCACTTAGCTATGAAGCTCACTGGGTGACCTTGGGCAACCAGTCTCTAGGTCTAAGCTGCCTCACAGGGTTGTTGTGAGGACAAAATGGGAAGGGAGTTCCTTTGAGGAAAAGGTGATATATAAATGTAATTTAAAAAATAAATAAATCTGAAACCCAGTACCCCTAGTGAGAAGCAATGGTCAAGCATGCTCTGAAAATCTAGGTACTTTATCGGGAATATTATGAAGTCCTTACATATGCTGCTCACTTTTTCTCAGCAAGAAACATTCTTAGAATTGCATTACTTTTCACACCAGGAGAGGAAGAATGGGCAGGTTTGGTTGACTAGATGCAGCCTGAGTCTGTGTAGAGGGTGACAGTAAAGAAGAGGGGTGGGTTGGAAGAGTACCCTATCCTGTTAGTTGTAATTCCAAAGCAGAAAGAAGTCTAAAATCACATCTGATTGGATCAGTCTACCAATGAATCAAATTATTTTAAAAATCCAAAATCTTTCTTGATACCAGTCAAGTCAAGATTGTATATAACCGTTCTCCTTTACAGCTGATTTTGAATTCAAGTGATGCTACAGGAACAGCCCTCACAGAAAATAAATTCATTGCCATGCAGCTAAGAACTGAATATCCAAAGGTTCAGAATTAAGTGGACAGGTAGAGAAGAGTTCAGTGCCTAGGCAGAAAGGAAGCTGAAGAGCTAAAATTCAGAGTAAGACTCATGCAACACTCTTCCAAGCAACAGAGTAACTGCAGTAAGAAAACCAGTGTACTGGGAAGGATTAGATAAAAGGCAGCTTAAGCTTCAAGGACTGCTACTAAACTGGAAAAAGAAGACAACTTCAGAAGTAGTAGACTGTAGACAAAAGGGCAAAGAATGTTTATCGTGCGCAAGTATTTCATGGAGTTGCAGACTGATTGCGTAAGAACTTTTCAGCACAGGAGAAGCAGATGATCTCTGAAAAGAGCATCACCATTCACAGATATGAACCAACTTAATTTCATTTCTAACAGTGGGTGATAGAAATCATATGATTTAGGTGTTTTCATTTATTTTTATTGATTCTGGAACCATATTGAATTTTCATTGTATTGTAATTCACACTCTACTAGTGAAGACAATATCCTCCCGTTCTGGATCACAGGGAAGTCCATATGCAGTAACCAAATCCATAACCTAGAACAGATTTCCAAGCATGGTTCCCCAGATATTGTTGGATTACAATTCTTATCGTCCCTGTTCATTAGGCATGCTGGCTATGGCTGATGCAGATTGTGGTCCAATAAAATCTGGGGAGCCAAGGCTGACTAGAAAATGTCTATCTTTCATTAGGAACTGTAGCATTCTATCTTTCATTAGGACTGGCCTTAACAGCAGGTAGGCAGGATCTTGGATGTGCTGCAGGACATGCAAGCAAATTGGGGAGGGAACTAGCCATTGCAAAGAAGTACCTCTTAAATTGTTTGCAGCTACCCAGCTAAGAGTGAACTCTGCAATTATATAAACTTACATTTAAACAAGCAGGGGCCCTGCTCCTTGACTGGATCTTTAACTGTTCATGAACACTTTCTGAAAGGAACTAATGCTACCTACAAATCATCTGAACAAATGACGTGTCTGAATGCAGCAACAGATAACAGCAAAACAACCAGACTGATAGTAGCAATGAAAACCTTGGACTGCAATTCAGCTGCACTTAAAGCAGGCTTCCTCAACCTCGGCCCTCCAGATGTTTTGAGACTACAATTTCCAGCATCCCTGACCTCTGGTCCTGCTAGCTAGGGATCATGGGAGTTGTAGGCCAAAAACATCTGGAGGGCCGAGGTTGAGGAAGCCTGACTTAAAGGTTTCAAACAAAGCTCCCCCTCCCCCAAAAAGTTTGTTCCTTGGTTGTTAAATAGTTGCTTTCAAAGCTAAGCAACCATGGGACATGTAATATCTGCATGTACATACATTTTGGTTTTGATTTTCAAGAAGTTTTAAAGTATTAAGCTGGTCTATTATGCTATGTACCCACAAAATACACACTTCCATTTGGCATTGCAATATTATCTAGCCTTGTAAACTAGCTCCCCAAAGTTACTAATCTGCGAGTGCGGATGCTAACCTGCTTAGGGGTTAGTACCCTGTGTGTCCCATGTTGGCTGTGGAAGAGAGGGCAGCATGTATATGCAAACTACTGGCCTGTTAACGGGTGGTCGTTTTTTTTAACGCCTTCCATCAAGTAGGCTGACAGAAAAGATAAAAAGCAATCCATCCCTACATTAATCTGCTGAATTTCCCTGATGGTTATGGAGGAAAATGACTTCTTTTCTTCCACAGCTAGCAGAGATACCAAGTGGGCTAATGGAAAAGTGATTGAGTGAATGTTCCTCTTCTGCCAGCTTGCTCACTTGCCTGCATGAAATTCTTGGTTGCTCATGGCAACCAAGCGAGTTGTTAAATACAAGGTTGGTATCTTTGTTGTAGCTTTCAAAGTGCAAATTCCAGCACTTGCATATGCTCAAGTTAAGTCTATTGTCCTCCAGATGCTGTTGTACTACAAATCCAAGCACCCCTGACCATTAGATCTGCTGGTCAGGGCAAATGAGAGTTGTAACCCAGCAATATCTGAAGGGCCACAGGTTCCCACTCCTAACCTAACTCATGGATGGTCTACCTGTTCTCCCTACTGCTGTTGCAAAATTGTCTTTTTGTAAGCCTGTTTGTTTTGCATGTTTTGGAAGTGCAACTGCTTACATGTTTTGTACTCTGGTGCTGATTCCAGCACACAAAATGCATAATCTCAGACTTAAAAAGTACATGCTGGTATGCATTCCTGCTTTTCCTTTGCCGCATGCTCCAGTGGTAAGCAAGAATGCATCAACCCACATGCTGATGCACATTTCTAGAGAGGGGAAAAATTACACATACATGCACTGTTTCTAATGGAATGAATGCATGTGCATTTTGTTATCGGCTCTGGGACTCATGTACAAAGTTCCATAGAACAAAGCAACCCTCAGACTACCATTTCTATCCAAGAGCCCTTGAACTTTGCTCATGCTGAAAAGAAATTTCTTACTTGATTTGCTACGGTGTTGTTAGATTTGGACTAGCAAGTCCAAGAGGCAAGGAAATGTTTGGATTGTGGATGTAGTTGGTATAGCAAAATCAAAACGGAACATTTAAGAAACTGGGAATTCTCTTTGTTTGCTTGGCTAACTTGCATTGCTGAACAATTCACTAACTCATGTTATTTTTAGCTTGCCTGAGGCAGCCAAGGCAACATAGAGGTCCTGCTTTATTCTAGACAGACGTCTTGCATTGTTTATTTTAAAGCAGGCAAACCATATCCCTGAAAAACTATTGAATTCCAAACAACCTTGAAATAATTTGAGTTTTCCCTACACTTCCAGTATGTTCCAAGAAAAGCCTGATAATAACCAGCACCCTTTCTGCAGCTAGTTTTGCTAAAAGAAACTTGCCAACCTGATTCAATGCAAACACATCAAGCAAGAAGCCTCATACTAACCACTTCCAGATGGCATGGCAAAAAGAAGACATCAAAATATCCCAGTCAATTTCCCCCTCCCTTCAATTTGAATCTTTTGTTAAAGTACTGAAAATAGTTGTACTTACAGGGAGGTCTGTAAAGGCTATACCTGTGGGGGAAAAAATATTAGAATTAAGACAAAGGATTTCCTCCCATTTGCCTACAACTTTAATGTATTACACAAACTAGAGCATAATAAATTCTATGTTGGGCCTCAACAGAAGCAATTTGTGGTTTGTGAAGCAGGGTCTTCCATGTATTGCAATCTTCGGTGACATTAGGAAGACTTGCAATGTCTATTTGTGCTTTCTCAGGAGCAATTCCCACTGTGTTTGGTGGTTCTTACTTCCATGCAATTATATTTAGGACTGTAGAATTAGCTCCTCAACCTAACCTTCAAGTTAAGGCTGAACTAAAGGTTTCATAAATAGTGAATTAACTCACATTGTGAATTAGAACCTTTTCAGGGAGGTTAAAGTTGTCAATAAATTTTCAGACAAAGACCAACACCAAAATTTCATTACCCTCTATTGCCCTCCAGGAAGGATGCAAAAGAGTGAATGGGTTCGTACCAATGGAATTCATAGGATCCGAGCTAGTAGTTCAGAGTTTGCCTGCATATGGAATCAAATTAAACTAGGGGTGTGTGTGTTAATTTAATGCAGATCTGTTAGTGACAATAAAACTCATCCAAAGTTTAAAAGCTCGAGTTGGTGTTACTTGTTTCTTTAAGGCAGAGGTGGGGAACATGGGAGAAATCATCATGATTTAAGGATTTATTTCAGACAGACAAAAACAGCCAAGGATTCAGATGAAGTAAGAGAGGAATGTGGCCTGGGGAGGGGTGTGGCCAAGCAAGAGTCCCAAGTGTCCCAGACAGAAAGGTTTGGAAGGTCTGAGCTGCCTCTGAGCTTCCTCTTCTCTTTGCTTTCGGCTGCAGGAAAGCCCAATTACCTGCAACTACATCTGTGTACATTCATTCTCTTATTTCTGACTTTCCCTTTCCACTCTCTGTCATCTCCTTCAGTTACAAAGTTCAGGTTGAATGCCCTGTAGAGTAGAAACCAGGCCTTTGGGGGGGGTGTCATGTTAGTCTATAAAATTTTAGGAACATGGGGGACACCTTAGAAAAACACAACTGCCACACTCAAATGATTTAATACCATTCCTTAAAATGAGAATTACAGGGTAACTGCACATAGTACTGGAGAGAACCATTGTTTCAGGAGACATGTTTCACTTTGAAATTGTTAGATGCAGGTATGTTTCATGTCACTTTCACTCTTTACAGCAGGGGTGGACAACCTGTGGCCCTCCAGATGTTGTTGGTCTACAACTTCTATCATCCCTAGAGTTGATGGAAAATAGATTCCAACAACATCTGGAACGCCACAGGTTGCCCACCCTAACTTAGAGAAAGATGGAAAGCAGCTGACTGCATCCACAATGAAACTACTATCTTAATCATTCAAGTGACACCAAAGTCACTGTAATATTGGTTCCCCTTCAGTAACGTCTGAAACAGGTCTAAGAGCAACAGTTTTCACGTTACTTGTTACAGAAGAATTTCCATGCATATGCACACACACAGAACCCTACATTTTACCCCTATACAGTGGTACCTCGCAAGACGAATGCCTCGCAAGACAAAAAACTCGCTAGACGAAAGGGTTTTTTGTTTTTTGAGCTGCTTCGCAAGACGATTTTCCCTATGGGCTTGCTTCGCAAGACGGAAACGTCTTGCAAGTTTGTTTCCTTTTTCTTAACACCGTTAATACAGTTGCGACTTGACTTCGAGGAGCAACTCATAGAACGCGGTGTGGTAGCCTTTTTTGAGGTTTTTAAAGACGCTTTTCCAAAACTTTCCCAACACCGTGCTTCGCAAGACAAAAAAAATCGCAAGACGACAAAACTCGCAGAATGAATTAATTTCGTCTTGTGAGGCACCACTGTAGCTTTTGCTGCTTGAAGAAAAACCAGATACTTTGTGCATTATACTTTGGATAATTCAAAATGGCTTCCAGGCACATCTAATCAAAGCTTTTGGTGTTGTTATTAAAGCAACAGCCAAGAAGTAATTCTGTCCCACAGAAAATAATCCTCTGACAGTGCACTGAAGATCTGAATGAAAGTTTTAACACAGGATATATAAGGGATAGAGACTTTGTATTTGGGGAAGGGAAGTTTCTGGCATTAACAGAGGGTATCCTACTTACAGCCATTTCACTCCACCCAAGTGAGATAAGATAAGACACTGAGGGTTACAGAACTCAAAGTAAAGAGTTTGGTACATTTCCAGATTAAGGTCAATTACACTGCCAGCTCTAATTCCCAATAAACTAGATGTTCCACCATCACCACCTTTTCCTTTCAAGAAAGCAATGCACTACTGGACTCTCAAGGAGAAGTTTCAAAGAAGGTTATAGGGCTCTCAAGAAGGCTGCCAACTTAGCTGGCAGAATCAGGGAGCCTGCAACTGCTCCCCCCGTCACATCTGATACAATCAGGCGCCTCCAAACCAGGTTGAAGGTTTGAAAGAGATGCTGAGTAACAACTTAGATAAATTAAGATCTCACAAGTATAGATGTTGATCCCTAGAATATAAGATTACATATAAACAAGAGATTCATACATATATAGAGAGAGAGAGAGAGAGAGATATTACTGAACTTAATATCACTGGTTTGTTATTTCGACCCAGACTTCACTTGTGCTTTCTTGTTTGAAAATTTGAAATTATGGTTTCTGGCTATTCAGCAAATATCAATTTCCTCCCCTCAAACAACTGTGGTGTTTCAACTTTGGTGTTTCATTTGGAATCTGAACCAAAAATACCCTAGCCCTTTTAACAGATTAAGCTATTGGGGAGGGGGCAGATTTCTTTCACAGCAGGGTGGAAAATGTCAGGCAGACTCATCCTACAGAACTGAATACTAGGAGCTTGGGTTGTGAAATTTGCAAGCACTCCCTGCCATCCTCAAAATGGATTGATTTCTTACTTTGTCAAATTCTATCAGGACTCTTTTTTTAGAACAAGGATCTGGTATTAGATTGAAATAACCAGCCCTGCAAAACACACCTTATTTTCAGAAGCCCTGAAATATCATCTCCACATCTTAAGTAACCAAACAACAGCATAGGCCCTCACTACATTTGAGACCTATTTTTTCATATCCTTACCATGGAGGGGAATTTGCATTAAGATACCACTTGCTTTTTACTGCACCTCAGGCTTGAAGATGGCAGTTCCTCCATGCAGAAATCATTCCTTGTAGACCTCTGTCTTTGTCCTACCTTTCTTGACTGTAAACACCTAAAGATTTTTCTGTTGTCCAACTGATTTTAGAGAATTTGCTCTTTGTTCACTTTTGGATAGACTATATTCCTCTTACAAACACTCTGGGAAATGCAACAATTTCTATCCAATAGTGTGAAAGAGCTCCCAGAATACAAAACTACTCATCTGACCTGTTGGTTAGACAATATCCTCAGACAATATCAGTTTTCAAACATGTCTGTTTAGATCCAGGGTGATGTGTAGATCCAGAAACAAGCCTTAATGGAAAAGGTAATATGCATAAACTATAGTGCAATATCCTATCAGTGAAATTTACACTGACTGACCAACCAACCTTTATGCTTCAGTCTGGGCCCACCTGAACTAAGCCAATAATATACTACGGATATATACCAGGAAGATAGCTCATCCAATTTCTCCCTCTTGCCAGAACAACTCTCTGTGCACTTAACCCTAATTGGGGTTTGCACGAGAGGCTGCCTGTCTCTGGTGACACAGTTGTTCTACAGGCATTTAGAAAGCTGTCACTAAAATAGGAGCATCTCAGGACAGATTGCTTCCAGTTTTAGCCAAGCACAGCAGCTTTAACACGTACAGACCAGCAATGCTGGAGGCTGGAAAGGACGACAAGCACTATATAGGGAAGAGTAGGGCATGAAACACATTAGTGCTAATGTAATTGCAACATAGCACCTGATTGTTAAAATAAATAACTTGAATGCTCTGAAAGCAGGTTATTATTCCCATCAACAACAAGAAGTTCTTTTAGGAATAGGTTTGGTCTCTCAGCTTTGCCCTCCACAGTAGGAAAAATCCTCCCCTCAATGAAGCAATCCAGAAGAACAAAGCTTGCAGGTCTGGTAGCAGGCCATCTGAACATCTGTTGGGTTAGACAGATGACTCTCCAATCCAGCAAAGCTTCACAAATGGACAGCCAGGTGCTTCTGATAAGCCCACCAGCAGGGCATGGAGGCAAGAGCCATCTCCCGCTTTTGTCCCTCAGCAATGGATGTCAATGGCATGTTGCCTCTGAATCAGGATCTTTCCATTCAGCTATCACACCCAGAAGCCACTAAGTGGAAAGCCACCACTAATTTGTACCCCTTTAAAGCTATCTAAGTCAACAGCCTTCAGTGCACTGAGGCAATCAGATAGGCTAATTAGGTGCTGTGTGAAGAAGTACTTTTTCTGGCCAGTCCTGAAATGACAGTAAGTCCGCAACTTACATGCATTTAACTTGTGTACGTTCAACTTTAGGCGCTTGGCAAATTTTTTAAAAAGAAAGGGGGCAGTCTAGGAAAAAAGACTTTGGCCATCCCACTCACCATTGATCCCGATGTGTTTGACTATACATAATTTTGGCCTTGGGTGTGATCCTTGGAATATAACCCCTATGTAAGTTGCGGGCTTACTGTACTCTTAATCAATTTATTTGGGTACCACAAATTCTGGAATTGAGAGATAGAGGAAAAAACCCTGCTTCCATCACACTATGGATCATTATATAAAACCTCAGCTGTCTCTCAAAGACAATTAAAGGAGACCAGAGCTTGGCAAACTTGTCTCGCAACTAAAAATTCCCCAGTATGTTAGCTTTCTCTCTGACTGCACCCAGAATTAACAACTAAAGCACAAAATGCAGTTGAATTCTATAGACAACATCCATGCATGCAAGCAAACAACCAATGGGAATGCAGGAAAGTCCGTCTAAAATCTGCTGATATTCTAGAAAGAGAACAGGCCCGTGTAGTGCCTTCACAAGAGGACCTCACTGATAATTCTTCAGTGGAAGCTGTATTTGATGCTGAACTTGTTCTTTGTGTACGCTGGAGCAGGCAACCCGTGGACTTCACATTTTGCTGGATTACAGCTCCCATCAGCTCCAGCCAGCATGGATAATGGTCAGGGATTAAAGGAGCTGAAGCCCAACATAGACTGGAGGGCCACAGGTGCTCATCCCTGACCTAGACTGATGGATTACAAGAAAGAAACCTGACTACATTCTCACCATGATACTGAAGGCTAAGAAAGAAAAGGAAAATAAACCATAGGGTTTTTTGGGGGGGGCGGGGCTTTAGTAGATAGGAAAATGACTACCATGCTCTACATAGCTCTCTAGTCTCTGGTCAGTACCTCCACAGCTTAGCCCCAAATCAAAATGAAGAGTAAATTTGTGCACATGTGATTATATAATGTCATCTGCATACTTTCTCTTGGTATGGAGGCTGATCCTAGGGACAAATTACACATTTCTCTTAAAGATCAGCAACCTCACATTTAAAAATTCTTGAGTGAGTGCCATCTGGACCTTTTCATATCTGGTTCCTTGGACCTGGGTCTTGACACCTCAGTTCCTCAGACTCACTTCCTGAGAAAGTTCAGGCACATGAATTTTCCCTGTATCTTCCACAGTGAAGATGCAAAGAATTCACTCAGCTTCAGTGCTGTCTCCTTTAGAATACCTGTCATCCAAATGACCAACTGCCTCTCTCTCTGCTTGCTTCTAATGCATCTGAAGAACTTTTTAGTTGTTGGTCTTTATGTTTTCGGGCAGCAATGTGCTCCTCACTTTTTTCACATCCCTTACTGTCTGCCTGCCCTTTATTTGCCAAAGTTTATGTTCCTTTTGGTTCTCCTCATTTGGATAAGACTTCTATTTTTTAAATGAAAGCCTTCCTTGACTCTGCTACCATATTCTTGGCCCTGGTGTTCCCTTTCCTGCTCTGCAGTATATTTCTAGCTGAGCTTCTATTTTTGCAGTTTTGAATAACCGCTAAGCATTTAAGAGAACATTGACTTTGCATTTCAACTTCCTTTTTACCAATCCCCTAATTTTTGGGAACTTTCCCCTTTTGAAGTCAAATGTGAGTGTGTTGGACTTTTTTGGCAATTGTCTACAAATGGCTAAATTTGACAGTGCCGTGGTTTCTGGTCTCCATTAGTTCTCACATCACATTGGGCACTACTTAAGATTGAGTCCAGGGTTACCTCCCCTCTGGTCAGCTCCATGACCAACTCTTCTAGGGCTCGGTCATTCAGGATACCTATAAATGTTACCTCTTTGTCATGACTAAAATGTGCATGTACCCAGTCTATGTGGGAATAATTGAAGTCACTTCCTCCTCTGGATACCTCTTTGGTATCATTCTCCATCCCAAGATCACTTTGAACATTTTAGAAGACCCCAGCACTAAATTATTTTGGCGGCTTGGTATTGCCACCCACAGCAATTCTGTTGAGATGGATATCCCTTCTGAGATTTTTAGTTTGTGGGATTCTACAACCTCTTTGACATAAGCAGCAACAACTCATCCAGTATGCCCTTTCGAATGAGATTATATCCAGAGATAATTTTGTTTCACTGGTTCTCTCTGTTCCGCTAGGATTCCATGATGCCCACTGTACCTTTGCTCTCCTTAAAACCAGGCACTCCAACTCATGTATCTTGGCTCTGAGGCTTCTAGCATCAGCATATAAACACTTATACAGGGTCTTCTTCTCCAAAGGTCTTTGGCACGTGAGTTTTATCCTATGGCATTTTGGCCTCTTTGGACTGCTGTCATATGCCCATGCATTTTCAATGTCTAGTTCTACCCTCTCTATCTGGACAATTAAAACATTTTCATTATAATTCCTTAGACATCATTTATCCTGAATCAAATGTTCCTCAGCTGCTGCTTGCTTTTCTCTAGCAATCAGTTTAATCATTAAGACACTTCATGGTGAGCTCAAGAATCCCTAAAATGAATATTAACGGAGATTCTCCCCCTCCCCACTCAATCTTGTATATTCACATAGCAATATATTCACCTGCTTAGAGAACTGCAGTGGGGCTGACAGTCTGCTTTAGTGTATATAGAGCAATAACCTTGAACTTTTGCTCCCAATCTGAACCATGAGAAATGGGAGTAAGTCTTTATCAGTCCTTCCTTTCCAGTTGGGACAAAGAGATAGCAGTAAGGGAAAAAACTGGATGTAGATACATGAATTGTTCACAGCACTAGTTGTAATCTACCAGTATTGACACAAATAAATGAGATCATGTTGGTTTTGTTTCACCCAAGAAATCATCCTGCTGATTGCACGTTAAAGAAGAGCAGACAGTGGCTCAGTTTGTAAGCCCAAAATAAAGCTGGTCCAGAAGTTTGTTTGCCTACCTAAACTGTGCCCGTTCTTTGTGTAGAAGCAGGTATTGTTGATGAGGTTTACACAGCAGCCAATCACATCTCCAGTAGTGAATGTGGGGCCATAAGGCTGTCCTGTCCCTGAAGAGCAGAAGGAGTGTCCATCATCACCATGGTAGCCATAGGAATGTTTATCCCAACCTAGAGAAGACAACATCAGACGGCAAGTTTAAACGATGGCTGAGCCTGACAATAGGAACAAAAAGTACCATATTATAAGATACATAAACAGGGAAGAGACAGAGATATATCCTCATACAAAGCAGGAGTAAAAAGACATGTAGTTAACATTTGAGAGCATTAATGAAAAGAAGAGTTGCTAAAATACAAGGTGGTAACTTCAGAGCTCTCATATATCAGACACAAATAAGCTCTGGAGGAGAAGTCAGAAAAAATGGTGACTGGTAACCCTTACACCATCAAGCTATTCAGCACTCTGTAGCAGAAATCCAATTCTGATGAGCAGACTGATTTGAGTGTCTCAGTTCTGATGGATGTAACCAGTGTTTGAAATTACGTGCTGTACTGCACACAGAGCTGACTCAGTGCTGATACAACTAGACTATCAGGTTTTTATTTTCAACATTAATGTACTAATAACATCAAAATTCATTCCATCTTGTTCAGTTTGTTTCTCTGCACAGTTTGGATAATAAACACACACACACACGTATGTGCATGTGCATGGTATGTGTGTGTATACATACAGTGGTGCCTCACAAGACGAAATTAATTCGTTCCGCGAGTTTTGTCGTCTTGCGATTTTTTTCGTCTTGTGAAGCACGGTGTCGGGAAAGTTTTGGAAAAGCTTCAAAAATCACCAAAGTCTTTAAAAATCTCAAAAAAGGCTACCACACCGCGTTCTATGAGTTGCTCCTCGAAGTCAAGTCGCAACTGTATTAACAGTATTAAGAAAAAGGAAACAAACTTGCAAGACGTTTCCGTCTTGCGAAGCAAGCCCATAGGGAAATCGTCTTGCGAAGCAGCTCAAAAAACAAAAAACCCTTTCGTCTAGCGAGGCATTCGTCTTGCGGGGCACCACTGTACACTCTCACCCATTCCTCCATTCATTCTTAAGAGCCAATTAATATTAATTTTGCTTTCCTATACAACAGATTATTGTGACTTTTTGTGGGACTGCTAACTTGTTCCCATGTACATTTCCAAGTGGTCTTCCTTTTCCTCTTAACCTATAGACTTGTTGGCAGCACACACTTTCTGCTATATCTGGAGTGCATTTTCTTCCCTTTAGCAAAGGATGCTGTAACCGTGGAGGACAGCAGACTAGGCGCATATGCTGTGCCTGAGAGATAAGAGCACCCAGGCAGCACCAAATGTCCTCAAATGACCCCGTCTTAGGTAAGTATGCCCAACTGTTGGCAGATAGAACAGACAGGAGCTCATCTACAAGCCTCAAGACTCTTCTGCTGAATTACAGGGGTTCTATATTATTCATTCGAGCTGTCCCTGCCCCTGCTACTGTCCATAGTTGTAATCCATGGCTTAACTGATTCTTCTGTCTTTGATCCATAGCCCTTAAGAAATGAGACATGTAGTACACTCCTGAAAGCCAAAAAGGCGACTGGATTTCCAGGGATAAGGTTGGAAATGGCTGTACAATTCACTGTGCTACATTCTGTGACAAATCTGAAGGTGACGTGGAAGCAGCAGCTACTGCTGAATGTGTGGCTAGCCTCTTAAGTGGAAGCATAGAGGGCCCATATAATTCCAGTTCTAAAAGAACTGCGCTGGTTGCCAACATGCTTCCCAACATGCTCTGATTTCAAGGTGTCAGTAATGGTTCCAGAAATTTCCAAGATCTTATTTAGAAACTTACCCCAATAACTGCAAATTTCAGCCACTGAGAATTCTACTGTAATTTTGGGAAGTGGATTGTCAGTTTGTTCTCTATACGTTTGGGTGCCTCTCAAGATATCATCGCCAAATGCAGCACGAGGGGTCCTGAGGTGGGGGGGGGGTCTATTCAATGTTTAGGTGCCAGGCACCATTTTGAATTGAGGGCCAAACTGTGACTATGGTATGTAACTGGGCCCTTTCTGGCATAGGTTTGCCTGCCTCTTGAGATATCTGTCAGTACGCCTTTGAGCCGATGTCAACGACTGGGCTCAACAACTTCTTCTGCCCCGACTGGGCTAGGTGACTGGAGCACTTCCCGAGACCTTCCACTCCTGGAAAGCAGGTCTAAGTGCACTGGACCCACAACTGTCCATTGTGAGCACCAAACTCAGCAGAGTATGAACAACACGGAAGAAAGCTGTGAAATCTAACTTCTTTATTTTCTGATAGCTACTGCAAACTAAACTAAAGAGCTACTGGCTTGCATGAGTGTTACAGCTCTCACTCAGCCATCTAATCTCTACACAGATAACACACAGACCCCCACAGAGTCAGGCAGGAGCAGAAGAAGCGAAGAGCAGTTTCCGCCCCCTCCTTTCTGAAAACATGAGATCAGGAGATTCTTGCAATGGCAGGGGGTGAAAATCATCACCAAACTAGGCCAGAGGGTTCTCAAAGTAAGGGTGGCAGACTTTGTGAGCATTGGGCACCATTTTGAATCAAGATCAAAATATGACTTTGGCATGACTTTGCCCATTTCTTGGCATTATGTTTGGTCTTCTCTCAAGAGATCGTCACCCAATTCAGTACAATGTTTCCCAAGGTGGGGGTGATGGGCTGCAATGATGCCAGGTACCAATTTGAATAAAGATGGTGGATCAATATGTCATTGAGATGATGGGTCCAAACTCACCAATCACACTATCCATTTAAAAATCACAATATTTTTTTGTTTCTAAAAATTCCCAGGCAGTGCATACATTATATGGTGACATGGGAAAGGGCCTTCTCTGCTGTGCTGCCCCATTTATGGAATACCCTCCTCTCTGAGGTCTAATGAGCACCAACACTGGCCTTGTCTCAGCACCAATGCCTGGTTGTTTACTCAGGAATTAGGGCTTTCTTGATTGCAGTTAAGTATTTTGATCTGCTCAGTGTTCTTACATTTTTCACTTGTCAGTTATGGTTTTGTTCGACTATTTAGACAGAGATCTTTTCAATGAAATACACCCCATCCTCAGATCAACTAATACACAGGTTAGAAATATCTAATAACTAAAGTAAACATAGATCTGAGAACGCCGCACTAACAACCAATAAATAAACCAAGTCAAGGAGGGGTGGGGTGGGGAAAGGAAGGTAAAGCAATTCTTGCAGTAATGACCAGGAATACTTCTAGTAATCCAATTTACCTGCTATCTTGAGGGGAGGCATATTATGTCAAGAAAGTCTTGCATTAAAGTCTGAGTGCCAGCCCCCGCTAGTATACATTTTTCTTCCTATTTTCTTGTCACATTACTGTGGAGATAGAGGGCACTTGAGAAAGCTCTATAAACTCAGTAGGTCAAGGAGGACTGTCAACTGTTCTGGTGTTGTTTCAAAGACACACTTTTGTTTACTGCCATGGAAGGACTAATCGGTGGCAACTTCCAATGCAGCACATACAAAAAACAAACATGAGATTGTTTGTTTTCACCCTTTTGCAAGGGTTAAGTCAGTATCCAAGTGCAATTCTGGGAGTGGCACTTTTGGGTAGCAAATGGATGAACCCCAAAATCGGAATCACATTTTGCTATTGAGTGGATATAACAGCCAGAACAGGAAGAAGTCTTAAGATATAAGGGTGGTGTTCACACATAGGCCTCTCTCCTGTCAATCTCTTAACTATGGCCATGATATTGGGAGCATGCTATGGAATGCATGCTTCCTCCCCCAGCCCTCTTTAGCTTAAATTTCTCAATTATTTCACAACCTTAATGTCTTAATTTCTAACAGCCTTAATTATTAGATTCCGTTTTACCCAAAGTTGGTGAATAAGCTCCAAGTCTTGACTTCAAATTCTAATTAAAAAGGAAAGTGGGGTGATACCATGGCCCCATTCTAATCTCTTAATCACTACTGAGAAATTATGTTTGTACTGGGCTGTAGATCTTGCAGGAAAACAGTTACCTATCAGCCTTTATCCAGAGTTGAGAACTGCATATATGCAGAGCTAGCATCTCTGTATAGGAACAGCACTAACATTGCAAGGTTGTTGTTTTTTGTTCTCTTGACACGTGTGTGTGGAAAATGAAGCTCTGATTGAGATGAAGGGCTGACTGTAAGCCACCTTTGGTGCCTTCAGCACTATTCGATTCCCGCTGCCTGCCAAGAGCCAGGAATAAGCACCTGCATCTTGCAGGAAAGCTGAAGAATCCTCCTTGAAAGCCCATCTTTCAGCAGCTGAGGAGAAGGCCTCTTTGTTTTAATAGAAAGGCCTTGTAGTCGACAAAACTAGCTCTTGTGTAGCTTCCAGCAGATTTATGTTCAGCCACATGCTGCAGACACATTTCTCTTTCTTTTAACATAAACCACAGAGATTCCAGTCAAGGAGGCATTGAAGCATCATGTTACACAAACCACAGTCCAGTCATCATGGACTAAATATACTTTGCTGCTCCACAAGCACTCATGGGCTGGCAGAGGAGTGGGATCCCACTCCCGAGAGGAAAGCTACCAAAATAACCCACTGCATGTTCAGGACAAAGAGTCCTGGCAACTCAGAGCCAAAAAAGCACGAGGGTATTGCCCTATGCTCCCAGGGCAACAGATTGCCTCCTGGGTTTCTTTTGAGAAGTGAAAGCGAAGCCACTTAGGTCCAGACTGGATTATTTGTAGTTGAATATATGTAATGAAGGGGTAGCCAGTGTGCTGCCCTCCAGATGTTAAACACCAACTCAGATCAGCCCCAGAAAAAATGGCCAATTGTCAGGAACAAAGGGGCTGGGAGCCTAACAACATCTGGGTGGCATCGTGTTGGTCGCCCTGATGTAATGCATATTGTGGAATTTCACACACAATACGGGGTCTCAATGCTTCCATTTCAAAAGCAGCAGGTTCTGGGGTAGTACTACATGTCACGCTGGATCTGCTGACATGAAGTTTACAAAAAGGAACTGTAAACACCACTTTGCAATCTCATGGCCAGCATCACCAGCTGCTTGGGCAAATGGCATGTAGAGCTTCCTTTTCTAAGTACTTTTTAATTAACTGCCAGACTATCCCAAACGCTGTCAACACCTTTATCTAGAATGACTCAAGAGTATATACCAAACTCCTCCACCTGAAAACAACTTCTTCCTTATTAAGTCAGAATCAAAAAGGAACAGAGTGACCTACTTCATTCTTAGAGCCACAAACTTGTAATCATCTAATTTAAGAATGATGAACAACAATCTGATGTTTGCAACAATAGTTTCTGGAGTGAACACCCATATGACAAATGAGGAGTGGAATCACCAGTATTTTCCAGGACTTCTTAGTCATCACACCCTTCTGAAAGTGCACTTGAATTACCCAGCCACTAGGGCACTCTGGATCCTGAGCTGCTCCCATCTGCATGATAAGCACCAGGAAAGTAGACAACAGGAAACAGGACTGGATGAATGAAACTGCAGTAAAAGCTTTGGAGACAAACCAAAGAGCCAGACACGCACACCTGCAAAGCCTCCCTCACAATGGGTACAGCTGCTGCTTTACGTCAGTAACAAATGAGGTTAAGAGAGGAATGTCCTTCAACCAGGTAGTTTCTATTCTGGAAAGAAAAGAAGTGGAAGTACAAAAATAGTATAACGAAGGGTTTGAAATTGCCAACCACAGCTACCTAAAATCATTATATACTTCTGTGAATACCATCGCTTAGGTAAGAAAGCACAAGCAAGAGGAAGAAAGTATCACCAGGCTTGGGGGAACCCGCAAATTTGTATAAGCACAAAAAAGTCCTAAATGGGGGGGGGGGACCCAAAGATCCCAGTGCGTGCTCAGTAACCACAGAATGCTGACTATCTGTTGGAGGGAAAGAAAAGGCATTGCCGAACAGGAGCTCTCTGCACTACAACATTCTGTTTTATAATAAGTGGCACAAATGGATTCTGCGACAAAATTCAGAAACCAACAGACACCTTACCAACATACCACACTTTAGAACAAGGTTTTGCATTACATAAAGTTCATTAAAAAATGAATACAGAATAAGACTTTTGTCACCCCACTAGATTCTCAATGGCTGAAATCTGCAGTTGTTGAAGTATGTTTCTGAATGAGACCTTGGAAATGTCTAGAACAAAGCATCTCAACAGAGCAGCACAAAAGCACACACTACCAATTGCCCTGTTTTTACATTAAAAGTAATTATGAACATGCTGACTATGAAGTCCCATTAATAGAGTTCCATAAATACAGTCATGTCTTCCTGGCAACTATCTGCCCAGTCCCTGAGTGATGTGATACATCCCTCCCTCCCTTCCCCTCAAGGTTCTCTCTGCATGACAACAAGGGAGGGAGACTTATCTTACTTGGTGCTAAGAGGGAGAGAAAACCCACTCTTGCCTAACTCCTTTGGTATGTGCAAGGGTCTTGGGGGAGGGGAGGTCAGCCTCTCACTTTTGCACTGGACCTTGCAGATGCAAGGATCTAGGAAGAATCCTTCCAACTACTTCTGAGTACCTTCAAAGCACTATGGCAAAGGTTAACTTACCCATCTATGCCAAGTCTGTTGTGTGTTCCAGAGAACTGATAAGAGTGGAGGAAGATTTGGGGAAATCATAAATAACAGCTTGCTACCAAGGTTAGCTAAATTTTGTGGCACCCGGCTATTAGTCCCATAGGACCTTCCTCTCAGTAAAATTTTGAATAGAAATCTAAAATGCTGTGAATAGAAAGGAATGCTGTGATCACCAATAGTCAGCATGGATTTCTGAAAAACAAGTCATGTCAGACTAACCTGATCTCGTTTTTTGACAGAATTACAAGCCTGGTAGATGAAGGGAACGCAGTGGATGTAGCCTACCTTGATTTCAGCAAGGCATTTGACAAGGTGCCCCATGATATTCTTGTAAAGAAGCTGGTAAAATGCGGTCTTGACTATGCTACCACTCAGTGGATTTGTAACTGACTGACTGACCGAACCCAAAGGGTGCTCATCAATGGTTCCTCTTCATCCTGGAGAAGAGTGACTAGTGGGGTGCCACAGGGTTCTGTCTTGGGCCCGGTCTTATTCAACATCTTTATCAACGACTTGGATGATGGACTCAAGGGCATCCTGATCAAATTTGCAGATGACACCAAACTGGGAGGGGTGGCTAACACCCCAGAGGACAGGATCACACTTCAAAACGACCTTGACAGATTAGAGAACTGGGCAAAAACAAACAAGATGAATTTTAACAGGAGAAATGTAAAGTATTGCACTTGGGCAAAAAAATGAGAGGCACAAATACAAGATGGGGGACACCTGGCTTGAGAGCAGTACATGTGAAAAGGATCTAGGAGTCTTGGTTGACCACAAACTTGACATGAGCCAACAGTGTGACGCGGCAGCTAAAAAGCCAATGCAATTCTGGGCTGCATCAATAGGAGTATAGTATCTAGATCAAGAGAAGTAATAGTGCCACTGTATTCTGCTCTGGTCAGACCTCACCTGGAGTACTGTGTCCAGTTCTGGGCACCACAGTTCAAGAAGGACACTGACAAACTGGAACGTGTCCAGAGGAGGGCAACCAAAATGGTCAAAGGCCTGGAAACGATGCCTTATGAGGAACGGCTAAGGGAGCTGGGCATGTTTAGCCTGGAGAAGAGGAGGTTAAGGGGTGATATGATAGCCATGTTCAAATATATAAAAGGATGTCACATAGAGGAGGGAGAAAGGTTGTTTTCTGCTGCTCCAGAGAAGCGGACACGGAGCAATGGATCCAAACTACAAGAAAGAAGATTCCACCTAAACATTAGGAAGAACTTCCTGACAGTAAGAGCTGTTCGACAGTGGAATTTGCTGCCAAGGAGTGTGGTGGAGTCTCCTTCTTTGGAGGTCTTTAAGCAGAGGCTTGACAACCATATGTCAGGAGTGCTCTGATGGTGTTTCCTGCTTGGCAGGGGGTTGGACTCGATGGCCCTTGTGGTCTCTTCCAACTATATGATTCTATGATTCTATTCTATGATTCTATGATTCTAAAATCCCTAAATTCCTTTGTCTCCAGAAAATCCTGGTGTCAAAAGGGTCCTCCTAGTTATGTCTACACCCAGCTGAAGAAGATTAAATGCTTGGAATTAGAAGTATGTAGAAATAATACAAACGTCACAAAACAGAAAAAGAAAAGCCAAACTCACTCCACCTTTCGGCAAGGGTTATCTTTTAAACACATACCTACAGAAGTTGGAAAGACTTATCTAAAGTAACACTTTGTGGAGTTTTCAGTGAATGTTAAAGTTTAAAGAGTGTTTTCTTCCACAGTAGCCTTTCCCAACTTAGTGCCTTTCATATGTTTTGGACAGCCATGCTGACAGGGGCTGATGGATAATCTAGTCCAGAACATCTGGAAGTTGTCAGATTGGGGAAGGCTGCCCTTCCCACAGTTCCAAGCACAACGCAGTAACAACCTATTTTCACCCTTCCTGGTAATGAACTATGGAAAACTGAGGCAATATCAAATCACTAACATGGAAAGTGGTATACATTACTAGACTTGCCTGGATGCAAGTCTCACACAAGTAAGCCCCACTGAGTTCAGAACAGACATCTCTAGCATAACACAGCTAATGTCATTTAGCAGCTGTGTGTAATACAGTCAGACATGGACATAACTTAGCATGATAGTTATGAGAACCACTGTGAAATAGTGGGTAGAAAGTTGGGCTTGGATAATGAAGACCCAAATTCAAACTCCAGCTCAGCCATGAATCTCACTGAGTGACCTCATAGTGTATATTGGAAGGATAAAATGGGAATAAACTGTCCACTTGCCAACTCGGCTTGAAGTACACTGGGGCAATATTACTACCTCCTTTTGCATGACAGTCCACCAGGATTCAAACCTGCTTTTGTTGTCTGTTTGGGACTGCAGATGGGCAGCTCAAGTACTTCACTGATCACAACATACAACTCATAGGTTGTGCTCAACTTGACAGGCCACAAATTACCACAAGCCACTTTAGATTAATGACAGTGATATTTTCAAATACATTGTCTTGTGGCCAATTCCAGCTCCAAGTAATTCTACAAGTCCAGAGTGGCATGTGGAACAACTGTTCTCCCTTCTGAATTATTCCTTCTGCTCTAATATAAAAAACCAGCCTAAGCATGTTCAGGATAGAGTCATCATCTCTCACAAATTTTGCAAATTAACATTCAACACCTGCTGTTTCTAGCAACCCACTGTCAAAATGTTTTTACTAGAAAGGTCTGGCCACAGGCCAGCCCTTTGGCCATATGAATGGACTCTCTATGGGAAGCTGCAGCCCAGTGCATTTCTAGTAGCCAGTAACAAAGGTGTTAAATGGCAAACACAGCCCCAAAGACCTGCATTTAGAACAAATCACATGAGCACTCTCTAATAATGTTTGCAGATCTCGTCTGACACTGTCATTTCCATGTGACCTTGCAATCAAGTTTAAATACTAAAGCATGTGCAGTTCCAGGCCAAGTAAGAAGCTGTTATTAAAGACCGATCATTAATTAGTACCACTGCAGAATGTTGTTTTTAAAAGATGAACCATCTATCTGAAGAACAGATTCCAAAATAAACTCAAACACATGGAGATAAAAAGTTGAGCTTTGAATAAATGGCAGTCAGGAGATACCAGACAGCAAACAAAACTGGCCATCTGGCCATTTCAGGGATTAATCCAGCTCCTAGTTTAACTCCTGATTCCAAGAATCCTACATCCCAATCCATTACCCACTTCTGACAAGCCAAGGGCTCTCTTGAGGGAAAAGCAACAGTGGGTTTTGGCAGAGCTTTGTCTGATTATGCATCTCAAACTAGCAGAAAGCAGGAGCGAGGGAGTGGCACACATTTTCAACCTGTAAAGGGAGCTCCATTTTGCAGCAGTTTCCTACCACTTTGCAAAAGGATGCAGAACTGTCTGCGAGCAGGAGCATGAGGGGCCAAAATGAAAGTTAGTCCCACTGCCCAAACTCTAGCACTCCCTCACATGGGGACATGCATCTCCATCTGTGGAATCTGAAATGAGCTCTTCATTTCACTGAAAGGGAGTGTTGGCCTGTTTGCTTCAGACAAGTTCAATCACAATTGCAAAGATGCCCCTGAAGAACTTGGTGGCAGCACTACCTTTGCTACTCAGATCAAGACAAAGAAAAATTATGAGTTTCTGTGTGGTGACTATGTTAGTCTGTCACAGCAACCACAACAAAGTGTCTTGTGTCATTTTAAAAACTAACACGTTTATTAGGACATAACCATTTGTGGAACAGAGTCCATTTCATCAGAAGCACGAAGTGTTATCCTGTGTTATAGGTATAAATGCACACGGTTGGAAGGGATCGGAAATACAGCAGTTCCAGCTGAGCTACAGTGCATACAAAGGGGAAAGCTTTAGTAAACTCTCTGTTGCTGTTCATAGTGGACAACAGAGGTTAAAAAGCTTACCGGAGGTACTGTGGCTCCTGAGGGTGTTGAGTCAGTACCCAGAGCCAGTGGCTCTTCCAATCTTGATCAATACCTTTGTTATAAAATGACTGCAAACTAGGGCTGTACTCTCATCATCATCACAAGATTAGCTGGTGTTACTGAGTAACTCATGCCCAATGCAAGTCCTTCTGTGCTAATTGATAAAGGAATTGAGGACTGAATATCCTAAGACTTTATTCAAACTTGTTAATGATCGCTAAGATCACCTGAAGGAGCAATCCTTACAATGCCAGGGATAAACCAAGTCCATTATAGTTAGTGTCTGCACCGGAACTATGCCACTAAATTATTACCATTTGGGGTCAAATAATATCACCAGGACTGGGAGGAACCCAGGCAGCATCTAGCCAGCTTTGCACAAGAAGGGAGGCACTTCCAGAACACACATGTCAATACTTAGACTGACCCACAACACCCTAACTGGTGCCAGTCAACAAGCATGCATTAGGCATACCACCCCTAAGTGAGGGACTGGGAAATGTGGGTGATGGTGGTGCATGACAGAAGTAGCATTTCTCAAAGGGCTGAATTCTGTTTTGAGACAATGACTTGGTGACTCCTTTATAGAAATGGAAATACTGGTGGACAGCTAAAGGTTTGTGGAAAGAAAAGCAAGGAAGCGTAAGATTCAAGGGTGTTGGAAGAGGTTTCATAAGCTGTATGTGTTTAACAAATTTTAAGTAGTAAATTTGTAGCAAAGTTCCCTCCAAACAATGTTCTGCCTCCACAAGTAGTGGGCACATCCCCCTCTTAGAATTGTACAATTCCAGCGTAGTGGTTACTGGCACACAGGACAAACACAAACAATTATTAACAGTGACTCACCAGGAAGTCTGTTCATGTTGACACCTTGGGCTGAGAGTCCTATCCCCATGTACCTTCAAGCAAACAAAAGTGTGTTAATACAGCAAAGAGAGAATGGCCAAGCAAAATCACACAATGCTGTTTTTCCTAAGTGAAAGCACAGTTTAAGTTATCATTCAACAGAGGCTGTCATCAGATTCCTTCTGAAATCCTGCACAAAATGGCACAGCTGGCCAGGGCAGTAGTTCCTCATCAAACCTTCTTGATGTGCTCAGCAAACTACCTCCCTTTGCTGGAATATGAAAAAGTATATGCTTTTAAAATATACATGTAAATTAATTTTGCTAGGAGGCCTATCCTAAAATAACACATGTAAATTAATTTTGCTAGGAGGCCTATCCCAAAGGTAAGAATTGTACACAGAGATGCCTCTTAAATGGGGCTGCATCCCACCCCCCAGGCAGAATTAGCATGCAGCAATCTGGGAACAGCAGCTTTGTAGAAGCATTGCATGCATGCCTCATCTCCAGCTGCTCACAAGCTGCTTCCTTCTCCAGTGACTAAGCAGGGTGCATTGTCGAGCAGAGATAGGATGGTTGAATTATCTACTGCTGGCAGGAGTTCTTCCCCATCTTGGCCTCCCACAGTTCATGAAGCTTCTGATCTTTTTACATTGTAATCCTTGGCCTTACCATTTCACACAAAAGGAAACCTAATTGGTTGGGACAAGTAAAAAGAGGTTTACACATTCAAAGAACCTGCAATATTTAACTGCCATTGTAAAGACAGGAGAAGTTAAGGTCCTTACTCCAAAACAGACAACAGAAGTTTGGAAGAGGGTCCATGTTCAAAATTCTAAGCCTAGATTTAATTACCTGATATGCACAGACCAACTACCCATACTGGATGGAGTGGTGGGGCTGCACTGCTCACCTGACCTCCCTACGTCTGAGTCACTGCTGCATACCTGATGGTGACAGAACCAAGGATAGCTTGCTATGAATTGTTTGCAAAGCATTATGAGGACAAAATTGCTTGCGTCCACCAGGAACTTGACTCCAGTGTTACAGCAGATGACTCTTGAGAGGTGTCCAGAGCACTGTCTAGTCTAGCTCTAATTAAAGATAAGTCTATCAGTTATTTTTTATTCATTTATTAAATTTCTATTTTTCCTCACAAAGGAGCCCTGGGCAGTAATATTATTCATAGGATATTGAAGCTGGAAGGAATTGATCACATGCCCCCATACCTCAGACTCTAGTCCAGTTTTTATCCAAAATCCTTAAAAGGATTTATTCATTTTATTTTTATTTAGAAGTGTTGTAAGCTGGCTCTTGACTGCAAAGCAACCCACAACATGGTACAATAAAAATAAAAAGCCACAGTATCAACTGTAATGCCATAAAACAAGGACAGAGAGAACCTCAGCAAGGACACACACAGAACAAAACCAGTACAACCATCTCAGCACCTGGCCCAAGCATTACTAACTTGTAACCATAAAGGCCCTTGTCAGGAGACAACTCTTCACCTCTAAACAAGATCTAGTAAGATTCAACATCAGCTTTAGCTCAGCAGGGAAGACATTACATAGATGGGGCACCACCACAGAGAAGGCTCTTTCCCAAGCTGCCACATAACTGATCTCAACTGGAGGAAATCCAACCAATGATCTTAGCATGAAGAGTGGAGACAGGCTGATGCAGAAAGAGATGCTTCTTCAAGCATTTTGGTCTCATTTTGTATAAGCTTTTATGAGTCATTGCTAGCAGTGCATTAAATTTGGGTTATCAGCATACTGGCAGCCAGTGCAGCTCTTTCAAGGCCACAGCTACATAATCTCAGTTGGCTGAACCACTCAGCAGTCTACCCACTTTTAGTTACCATATTTCAGTATTTCTAACTACATACTCTTAAAGTTGATAACTTTTTTCTCATGTTTTCTCCTCCTTGCTACTGTGCTCATATGCTACCAAAACAACCTAGCCTCCATGCTACAGCTCTTCAGATCTTGGAGGGATTGTTTTGCCTGCCTTGCATTATTGTGAAGAAGTGCTCCTTACCACCAGAGCTGATTACACTGGACCCTCCGGATAAGAACTTAATTTGTTCCGGGGGTCCGTACGCACCCCAAAAAGTCTGCATCTAGAAGCGCCGCTTCTGCACACGCATGTGGCATGATAGAGCGCTTCTGTGCATTTGACGAAACCCAGAAATATACACTTCCAGGTTTGCTGCGTTCGCAACCCGAAAGTTACGTAAGGTAACGTAACCCGAGGGTCCACTGTATTAATACCACTAAGACCATTGCAAAGATTCCTACTTTTATACAGCAGAACATCTTTAGTAGATCTTATTCTTGTCAATATGGAGAGAAACTCCTCTCCCCCCAATTATTTCACTATTAATCAGTTTTCAAACAATATGATATTTTCAGGAAGAAGGGGGTTCTCTTGAACTTCATCAGTAACTGTTTTTTCCTGTTTTTGTTGTTGTTTTTAATTTCAGGGAGCTGAGTAATTGTACAGAAAAAGAAAGAAAAATCCTCTGAAATGTTTCTCTGTTATCTGTTTTCTTCCTGTAGCATTTACTAATGATTTTAAATTGCATTTATGCTTTAAGCTTGTATGTTTTGTGATTAACTGCTCTGCAGGCACACAGAGGAAAAGCAAGTGCCCCATTTAAAAGTATACCAATCCTTGGTGATCTGGTTCTCAGTCTCAAATTCTTAAACATAGAAAAACTGTTCTTAAGCACCAGAAGTTATGACTTTCACAAAGTCTATGGGGAAGGCAAAGCAAAATGACTCCCATAAGAAGATTCAGGCAACTCTACGAGTAGAAGCACTCTTTCATATCAGTCCAGATTACTGGTAGATTGCTAAAGGTTTGGGTGCCAAAGTAGAAAAACTGTTGCTCTCAAAAATTAAAATGCCCTCCAGTGGGCAGCTGGCACTGACCTCTGTTTGCTTCAGGGGGACTGGACACATTCCAACCCCATTATGAACAATAGCTGGAGCATAGGTTTTTTTAAGTGTATGTAACTCATATGAAAGAATCCATGTACTTTATAAACATTGCATGCCAGGGATGAAATACTAGTTGTGACAGTCACACAATTCATGCTGTTTATTGTATTAATAGCTCATCCCCATTCTAAAGAAGAGCCACTCTCACAGCCAAGCATAAACACCCAATTTAGCAGAAAACTATTTACGGGTACAACCAGGGTACAGAATTCCAAACCAAGCAACAATACCATCCAACAATACCATCATGCCATGCCATATCACTACAGCTATACAGTGGTACCTCGGGTTAAGTACTTAATTTGTTCCGGAGGTCCGTTCTTAACCTGAAACTGTTCTTAACCTGAAGCACCACTTTAGCTAATGGGGCCTCCCGCTTCCACTGCGCCGCTGCTGCGCGATTTCTGTTCTCATCCTGAAGCAAAGTTCTTAACCCAAGGTAATATTTCTGGGTTAGCCGAGTCTGTAACCTGAAGCGTATGTAACCCGAGGTACCACTGTATATGCACATGCAGGTATGTATTCTCAGGACACCACACTTGCAGGAATACTATGAGCTAGGATAACTGTTATCCATTTTGCAGATGGAATGAGGCAGAAAGACTGATATGCTCCATTGAGATGTCGTGACTGAACATATATAGATTCCCATGTCCAAACACACTACCGTGTCACAATGTCGGTGCTGCCAAATTGCAGTATTCCAGGGAAAATACAACAATAACAACTTTATTATTTATATGTCGTCCTTCCAACTGGGCTGTTACAACTACTCTGGGAAGCTCCCAACAAAATATTAAAAACATGAGATCGCTGGTCTTTGTATGACTGTACAATAATTATACAAACCTACTTACAGTACAAAGCAAATGTACAGCACTCTTTGCATCACCATTATTTCAAACACAAAATTTCACCCAACCCAGCATCACCAGCTGAGTAGCATAAGCATCAATGCCACAGTAAACAGCACAAAAAGCACTGTGCCATTTTTACTAACAGTTACTATGAAATCCATGGTGTTCTGTCATCAAAGATGACACATTCACCACCAGCACAGCATATACTGGCTGGTATTAGCATGGTCAAATGGAAAAGTGCAAATACTTAAAATGGATTGTGTCAGGGAACTGCCATCGGAAGGAAGGGAGGTGAAAGGACTCAGACAGGTTGGAAGAGATTCAGCAGCTGAAGAGGGAACCAGCAAGGGGAGAGAAGCTGAACTGAGGGAGGTGAAAGGGCTCAGACAGGTTGGAAGAGACTCAGCAGCGGAAGAGGAAACCAGCAGGGGAGACAAGCTGAACTGAGGGAAAGGGAGCTGGGGGATGGCTCAGAGATACTTCCAGCGAAAACAGTGGTGAGGTTTCCGGACCTCCTGTAGCGACACCCACTCCTCGCCGGAAACTGTCACGCAGAGAGTCCAGAAGACGTGTTTCCGTTAAGGAGCTTTTATGTTGGAAGCGATTACGAAAGCAACCACTGTCGGAATCTTCTAGTGACTAAGAGGAGCCATGTCAGAGGGGCTCAGTCACAGACAGAGGTTTGTGGACTTGAACAAACTCTGAGGGAATACGATTTTACGCACAAGCAGCTCATAATCCCATCACAGCATTCCGACAGACTTTGAACGCAGCTTGTGCAGGAGACGGCATAATAATGAGCAACCCAGCAGGAACCGGAGAAGCAGGGGCTGGAGCGGGTCCAAGCCTGGAAGAAAGGTACCGGGTGTTAGAGGTCCAGCTGGCGCTGCAGACGGCGAGGCTGGAGGAGAGGAGGGCTCAAGATGCAGACAAAGGGAGAAAGCCACCCAGCTCGCCAGAAAGGTACCAGGATTGGTGCAAAAATTTGGGGGGGAGCCCAAAGACTATCATAGCTTTCGGACAGAAATGCAATATGCCCTCAATCTGCAGTTTGATGATTTCCCTGATGAGGAATCACGAGTGGCTTTTGTGATTGGGCATCTTGAAAAGGGGCGAGAGACTGGGTTAGACCCCTGATGGCAGCGAATAGTGACGTCTTAAAAGACACGATGAAGTTCTTTCGCGCCATGGATCTGATGTTTTCCAGCGATATTGAAAAGGGAGTGGTGCGCAGACAGTTAATGGCTTGCAAACAGGGGAGCCGATCTGTACGTGAGTACTGGACTGAGTTCACCATGCTGATACACAGATTGGGGTGGGACTTATCGGCGGAACCCATTCAAATGCTCTTTGAAGAAGGGCTTTCTTCGGCTGTGAAAGATGAACTTTCCCGGGCGCCCAGGGCGGAGTCTATGGACCAGCTGACCAAATCAGCGCTGGCCATAGGGGCGCGCCAGGAGGCGAGAGCATTGGAGAGGCGGGAAGGGAAAGGGGAACGTTGGAAGGAGTTCCGCATTCCAGACATTCCAGAGCCAACTGTCCCGCCGGCAGAGCCGATGGAAATCGGAACAGCGCGCGCGCGCAGATACAAAGCCCAGTGAGGGGGAAAGAAGGATGGAAAAGGCGCCCGGAAATGCTATCTCTGCCAACAGCCAGGGCACTTTGCCAGAGTCTGCCCCCAGAGGAAGGAATGGCAAGGGATGGTGGGAGCTGTGGAGGGAAGAGAGGAAAAATACCGGAGCAACTAAAAGCCAACGCCTGGCTGCCATTGTCGGGGCACAGCAGCCAGGCCAAAGAGCAGTGAAAGTGCCCACTCCAGAACCTCCTAAACCCGCCCTAGTGATAGAAGTGACACTAGAGCTCCCAAACGGACACCCTCTAAAGATAAAGGCGCTGTTGGACTCAGGCAGCTCCTGCAATTTCATGAGCAAAGAGTTTGCAGCTGAACACCAGATACAGACGCTCCCTTTAAGCAACCCCCTGCAGGTAACCACGATCGATGGCAGGGAGCTGTTGGGAGGAGAAGTCAGCTTGCAGACCGTCCCAATGATAATGGAGGTGGCAAGGCACACTGAACTGATAGCTTTTAATGTGGCCACCTTGGGAGGAGCTCCCATTATATTGGGGATGAGCTGGCTAGCGTTACATGATCCGCTGGTGGGCTGGCATCAGAGAGTGGTTTCTTTTGGGTCAGCACATTGCTTAGAACATTGCAAAGAGGGAAAGGTTTTGGCAGGGGCCCAAGCCACCCTAGCAGGGACTGAAGTGAAGGAGAACGTGAAGGTACCACGACAATACGCAGATCTCCGCGACGTCTTCAGCGAAAGGGAAGCTGACCAACTACCACCGCATAGAGCCTTTGACTGTCAAATCAATTTGCTCCCTGGGGCACAGCTCCCTGTGGGCAAGCTGTACGCCATGTCAGACAGAGAGATGCAGGAGCTAAGAGAGTTCATTGACAAGAACCTGAAGAGAGGGTTCATCAGAGAGTCCAGGGCGGTGGGGGCAGCCCAGTGTTTTTGTGGACAAAAAAACACGAACAAGCCGAGACTGGTGTGTGACTTCAGGGCCTTAAATGCAGTGTCAGAACCAGTGGCCTTCCCGATGCCCAGGATTGACGACATTTTGACAAGGGTGCGAAAGGGAAAGATTTTCACCAAGCTGGATCTAAGGGGGCGTACAACCTGATACGAATAAGGAAGGGGGATGAATGGAAAACCACCATGTTCACCCCTTTAGGGGCATTTGAATACTTAGTTATGCCCTTCGGTCTACAAGCAGGCTCCGCAACATTTCAATCGTTTATGAACCACGTCCTGGGGCCGTTGCTTTACAAGAATTGTGTGGCCTTCTTAGACGACGTGTTGGTGTATTCTGAGAATGAGGAGCAGCATGTGAGAGACGTCAGAGAAGTGTTGAGCAGGCTGCAAGCCAACCAGCTGTGGGTGAAACTGGAGAAGTGTCAGTTTCATACCAAGGAGGTGGAATTCCTGGGGTATCGCCTGTCTGACAAGGGGTTGGCCATGGATCCCGGCAAGGTCCAGGCGGTACTGGAATGGAAAACACCCAAAACAAGGAAGGATGTGCAGAGGTTTTTAGGGTTTGGGAACTTCTATCGTAAGTTCATCCCAAACTTTGCCCACCTGACGGCGCCCATTACGGACTGTCTCAGCAGTAAGAAGAAGTTCGTTTGGACGGAGGAGGCGGAGCAAGCATTTGAGGAACTAAAAGGGCCTTCGCCTCGGAACAACAGCTCCTGCATGTGGATTTACAAAAACCGATGAGAGTGGAAACTGACGCATCAGACAGAGCGGTTGGGGCGGTGCTTCTCCAGCCAGGGAAGGAGGAGTCAGAGTGGAGACCGTGTGCTTTTTTCGCGAAAGCTGAACAAATCCGAGAGGAACTACACGGTGTATGACCGAGAACTACTAGCCATTCATGAGGCGTTCCGGAGATGGAGGCACCTGCTAATTGGCGCACAACATAAGGTGCAAGTGTGCACTGACCACAAGAACCTAGAGTATTGGAGGACGGCACGAGTGCTCAACCAACGGCAAGTGAGATGGGCCCAGGAATTCTCCAAATTTAACTTTGAGATTTGTTACGTGCCAGGCCCAGAGAACATTAGGGCGGACGCTCTCTCACGCAAACCTGAATATTGGGAGGGGAGGGAGCACCCGAAGAGAGACATGTCATTCCAGAGGACCGCTGGGTGTGTGGGGCGGCATTGGTGGGACAAAGAGAACTGGTAGAAGAAACAGAGAATGATGAATACGCCCAGAATAAGCTCAGAGGTCTTAGGGATGAGGGAGAGGAATCAAGGGGTTTCGAGGAAAGAAATGGAGCTTTGTATTACAAAGGGGCACTGTATATCCCTGAAGGAGACTTAAGGGGAGGGTACTCAAGCAGTTGCATGACAGCCCCACGGCGGGGCATTTTGGGCAACACAAAACCATGTGGTTGGTCACCAGGGAATTTTGGTGGCCTAAGGTGAGGGAGGATGTACGTGAGTATGTAAGAGGGTGCGAGCAGTGCCAGCGAGCCAAAGGGGAAAGGCGGGCGCCGGCGGGGCTATTAGAACCCTTACCAACACCAGAACGACCTTGGGAGGCAGTGTCGATAGATTTTATGACTGATCTGCCGAAGTCCAAAGGGAAAACAGCCATCATGGTGGTGGTAGACCTACTAACAAAGATGTGCCACTTTGTAGCTTGCTCGCATGCAGTCACGGCGGAAGAGACAGCGAAGTTATTTGTAGAACACATTTTCAGGTTGCACGGGGTGCCATTGAGGGTGGTCTCAGACCGAGGAAAACAATTTACTTCCAGGTTCTGGAGGAAGCTCATGAGCTTACTGCAGGTGGAGGTCAACTTTTCGACTGCCCGGCACCCTGAAACCAACGGGCAGGCGGAAAGAGCAAACGGTGTCCTCCAGCAATACCTGAGGTGTTATGTCAATGACAGAGAGAATGACTGGGTAGAAAAGTTGGCGCTGGCGGAATTTGCCTACAACAATGCCGAGAATGTGTCCACAGGGATGAGCCCCTTCTTGGCTAATTATGGGTGTCATCCCAGGGCTTTCCCAGGGGAGAAGGGGAGAGATGGAGCGTACCGGCAGCCGAGCATTTTGTAGAAGAAATGGAAGCAATCCACCGTCAGCTCCAACTCAACTTAGAAAGGGCGAAGGAAGAATACAAGAGGCAGGCAGACAAGAACCGAAGGGAAGGTGAAACCATAAGGGTTGGAGATAGGGTGTGGCTGTCAACCCGAGGGTTGCCGTTCAAAGGAGGTTGTAAGAAATTACGACCCAGGAGGTTGGGTCCCTTTGAGGTCATTCAACAGGTCAACCCAGTGGCTTTCAGGCTCCGGTTACCCAACCACATGAAACTGCACCCAGTATTTCACAGGTCGTTACTGTCACCGTACGAGTGGGGACGAGAAGGGATGGACACTCGGGGACCGGTCATAGAAGAAAGAGAATGCAGCAGTCATGTGGCAGAAATCCTTGATGCCAGGTGGAAGGGGAATCAGGTGGAGTATTTGGTAGCGTGGGAAGGAGAACCGGAGTCAGAAAACACGTGGGTAATGGCCAAAGATATCAATGACGAGGTATTGATAGAAATGTTCCATCAAAGGTTCCCGCGGAAACCTCAGCCTGTGGAGAGGTTCCGGAGGGAATACTTTGGGACCACTGAGGAGGAGGAGGAGTTGGAAGGATTCCCAGAATCGGAAGGGGAAGGGAGATGGACTCGGAGGAGGAGGAGTGCTTGAGACCAGGAACCGCAACAGGTGGAGAGAAGTGTTCGAGACATCGGAAGATGAAGGACGTTCATTCCGGGGTTTTGCCTCCTCACCGCCCGGAGAGGAGGGGGCGAGAGGGGGTGAAGGGGGCCCTGGAGGGGAGGTGGATGTCAGGGAACTGCCATCGGAAGGAAGGGAGGTGAAAGGACTCAGACAGGTTGGAAGAGATTCAGCAGCGGAAGAGGGAACCAGCAAGGGGAGAGAAGCTGAACTGAGGGAGGAGAAAGGGCTCAGACAGGTTGGAAGAGACTCAGCAGCGGAAGAGGAAACCAGCATGGGGAGACAAGCTCAACTGAGCGAAAGGGAGCGGGTGGGATCGCTCAGAGATACTTCCAGCGAAAACAGTGGTGAGGTTTCCGGACCTCCTGTAGCGACACCCACTCCTCGCCGGAAACTGTCACGCAGAGAGTCCAGAAGACGTGTTTCCGTTAAGGAGCTTTTATGTTGGAAGCGATTACGAAAGCAACCACTGTCGGAATCTTCTAGTGACTAAGAGGAGCCATGTCAGAGGGGCTCAGTCACAGACAGAGGTTTGTGGACTTGAACAAACTCTGAGGGAATACGATTTTACGCACAAGCAGCTCATAATCCCATCACAGGATTGCCTACAGCTACAGATGCTGGATGAATTCAGCCTTTTGGAAGCCTACAGGAACAAGTTGCAGACAGTCTAATCCCTTCATTGAGAGCTCTTACTGTACTGAGCTGCCTCTGCTCCTGAGGGCTCCCCCCCCCCCATTTTTTATTATCTCTTCCTTACAATTCCTTTCAGCTACGGTTTGATGTCAATGTCCACTGGCTTTCACTTGTCATTACAGCTAGCTGGCACTTGTACTCGCATGAACCCACTGCTCTGCAAGGAATGGTCTAGGCATAATCATCCACCACTTTAAAATTAAGAAAACAGTTTTTCAGCTATAAGAAGGCTAAGATCCTTAGTGGCTCTGCTTGTTACTGAAAGATTGCCCCAAACCCTGGTACAGGAACTCCTTGTCTAAGTTAGCCCTTGGCACTATGCATTAAATCCTAACGGAAGGGTGTTTCATATCATTAGGCTACCCTGGAAATGCTTATACTGTAGTAGCTTATACCTCTGTGACAGAAATGTACTACCAGAAGAACCACAACATGGGAGTGACTTCTCACTTTCCTGTGAAGAAAATCTGCTTCTGTTTCCAAAGGCATTCCACGTGTCTCCATTTTTAGTTATTTCTTCAGGGTCCTAATTATTCAAAACAATCTTGTCATTTAACAATTAAGAAATCAGAAGCCCCTGATTCAAGACCCAGCTCAGTCATGAACCTGCAGGGTGACCTTAGACAACCCATTACATCTCAGTTTCCCATCTGTAATCTGAGGGTCACCCAGCAAGACTACCTTACAGGGCTGCTGTAAAGCTTACTGATATAATACTCAAAACTATATCAATGTATTGTAGAAACACACTGTGCAAATAACAAGTATTATTAATTGCTACTGTCATGCTAACATCACACCTCCTTTAATTATTCAGTTTTCACTATCTGAAATGTAATGGTATACTAAAAGAACCAAAATACAAAAAAAAAAAAAGTTCAAATTGAGTTTTTAACTCTTCCTTTTCCCAACCCACCTACCCCTTCCTTATAGAACTTTACACATCCCTTAAGAGTTCTTCCTCCCTCCCAAAGTCCTAACTCCAAGATACCCAAATCAAAATGGCATGCTGACTAAAACATTGAAAATGAGAAAGGATTCAGTAATATGATAAATAATATATGTAAGAAAAAAGGTGTGTGTCCGATTCTCTGTCAGCTACCCCAGGTAAGAAGAAGTCCTATGCACCTCCTTAACCCTGTTGAGGCCCAAAAAAAGCCTTGCAAAATACCTTCAAACATCTCCCTTTTCATATAGGCCACTTTCTCAATTACTGCAAGGGTCACAAAAAACCCAAGTGATTTATAATCTTATTCATTTGAGCTTTCGTTTCTGCAAAATCAGCCTCTTGGTATCCAGTATCACACTTTTAAGAACTGGGCTATTTCATTCTCTCGTCATCCCCATACCATACTGGTTTGGAACTTTGGGTATTCTGTAATTAAGGACCAAACATATACAAACAAGACCTCTTTCCATAATGTCAATATCACTTTATATCCATAAAGCATATACTATAGTTCAGGGACGTCCAACTCCCAAGAGATTGTGATCTACTCACAGAATGAAAAACTGGAAGTGATCTAACTATTTTTTTGGGAGGGAGGGAGTTCAGGGACGTCCAACTCCCAAGAGATTGTGATCTACTCACAGAATGAAAAACTGGAAGTGATCTACCTATTTTTTTGGGAGGGAGGGAGGTCGAAATTGTCAACCTTTTAGGGGGGCAGCAACAAAAATAGATAAACAATAAGTCATTCCACCAGCAGAAACTCCATCTTCCGCTCTTGAAATTGTGTGCGGTAAAGGAAAGAGGGAGGGAGGGGGCAGGCCGAATGCTCCTTTTCACCCGCAGACAAAAATGAGCCTGAGATCGACTGCAATTGACTTCTAACAACTGGGGGTCGACCTGTCGATTGCAGTCGAGCTGTTGGACATCCCTGGTATAGGTCCATTCCCACAACACAACATGTCCAACAATTGTCTGAACAGACAAGCCTAGGGTACCAAAGTGAGCCACCACCGAATGCACTCCAAATAGCATTTTTCTGCTGAATTCACCTGAGCCTAAGATCCAAGAAGGAAGCCTTTGCTGCTGACAACACAGCCTGCAATTGCACTGGTTATATGGGAGAAGGGTTCATACATTCCATTAATGGAATGGGCTTCACGCAGTCCCTAACAAATGCATAGTGAATGTGTGAGCTTTTCTATAGATCTCAATAGGTTTTTTTTGGGGGGGGGGCTGCTGGGTTAGATGTAGCCACAATGCTATGGCACAACTATATATATTACCACACTGAACTAAGCAACTGTTTACCAACCTAGTTCTTTAAGTGAACCATTTTACTTTCAATTTTTATATACATGCTCTCCTCCCATGAGGTTGAATCAGCATGAACCAGTATAATTTTGGAAGCTAGCAGTGGCTAGAACAAACTTAGTACAGTTTTTAAGATAGATTCCAGCAGCTTCAGGGTTGACAATTCCCACCATATCCACAATAGGCCACATTCAGGGAATGACTGTTTCCACCACCAGGCTCAGCCTCTCTCTGACTTGACAATGCAATCAATGTTTCTGTATTGCCAAGACCAATTGGTTACAGCTGGGAAAGTGCAGAAATATCACATACCTGATATTTACTCAAGTTATCCTCAGAAGTTTGATTCTAGTCTGCATGGATCTGATCACTTTAAGTCAGTTGTTGTGTACAGAATACTTCCTGGTAATACCACTGATACTAAACTATTCAATTCTCACCTGCCATAAGAACAGCATAGTAGCCCCTTTTTCTGAGCTCTAGTTAAAACAATCAACATCCAGTAACTGGATTTATGCTCAAGGTTTCAATTTAAAATAACTTTACAGGGTAATCCTCACATCACTATAGGCCACAGACCACTTCTGTGGCAATCATGGTCACTCTGGAAATTGTCTTTACCTACCAGTTAGTATCAGATACCAAATATTTACAATCATTCTGGGAACTGCATAACAAATTAAATTTGTTCCAACCAGAAGCGTTTACTACTTAAAAGCAATGCTGTAATAAAATCTGAACCAGATCCACTCACCAAATTGTGTAAGCCAATAGGCTGTATCCAGTTAAGCAACACTAAGAGTAGACCCATTGAAATAAGTGGATTTTAGTCATGATGAACTTAAATCCACTAATTTCCATGGATCTCCTCTGACTTAGCCAGAAACAGCCCCATGTCTTTATACGTGTCTATCTACATAGATCTAGAGCTGCATCCACTGCTGGATAACATCTTCTGGAAACAGAATGTTGAAATAGATCCTCCAATTCAACCTCTGTTAATAGCAATTCACTCTACATTCTTTGGACTGCTGTCTCCAATCTTATGCAACATAAAATCTTACTATCAGTACACTTTATGCCAGATAGATTATTTGATTAGGAAACTCCACAAGGAGCTGGGGGACAAAATACATGGGACAGGATGTACAAAACTTATGAGATTTTGTCCAGCTCTTCTCTACCCCACTATTCTCCTCCCTGCATTAGGGAAGGAAGTAATAATATTCAGAGTAAATGTGATACTGAAAGCATTTTATGCTGCAGACATTAGTAAACTTTGCTCCTTGGCACAGGTAGTGTTTTCTGGTTAACTGAACAGGACCTAGCAGGCAGTAGAACCTACAAAAAAGTGCTTCAGAATTAAATGGCTTAGGCATTTCTCAGACAAATCCATGCTGCTATCATTTCTAGAACCTTGCAGAGATTTTTATTTGGACTTCAATGCATCAAATTCCTCCCAACTTTAGAAAGTGTTCAGCCACTCTGTTCAGCCAATATTTCTTCCTCAGTTTCTTTTGAAGGGAAATGACTTAGCTGCTTGGTAATGCTGCTTCAGTCTTCATGAAGTAGGCAAGATGCATCCTGAACTTAAAAATAGAAATGGCGTCTCTACATGCAGACCCACACAAAATATAGCCAAAATTAATGCCTGGTAATTGCACTTTCCGCAGGCCTGGAACCCAAAAGTACAAGTGGTTTTTATTTTAGTTCTCCAGTTTGAAGGATAAATAAGCATGACTAAATGGTAACAAAAATGAGTGTCTTCTGAACAAAAACAGACCATATATACCACAGGAGTTGTTTTACTGGATGTTTTTGAAGCTCTTGTGGAATGATGGCATCAAAAAAACCACCAAGGAAATTCTGTCCTGGGACACATTGCTCCACGCTCCATATTTGGTTAGCCAAGTGAAAATTAATTAATACACCCAGTTTGAACCCCAAAGAGACTGAAATTAGTTGCAGGTGAAATACTTCTCTAAGGCCTAGAAAACACACTTGGTGGTCCAGGATGAGGATATCTGCATAACTTAGTTTCCAATATTTTTGGAAAGCAGACCTCTGCTTTCCCAAGTTCATCACCAGGCCTCCCACCCTTAGCTGCATTGGAATCCCCAACTGTGCCTTTTCAACAGGACTCACAAACAAAGCATCATCCCATATCCACCACTCTTTGGACAAAGACAGTTTCAAGGAAGCAATGAGAATCCCATTCTTACACAAGAAGCTATATGTCAGATTGCACCTTAGTAGAAGAGAAGAGTTTGGATTTGATATCCCGCTTTATCACTACCCAAAGGAGTCTCAAAGTGGCTAACATTCTCCTTTCCCTTCCTCCCCCACAACAAACACTCTGTGAGGTGAGGGGGGCTGAGAGACTTCAGAGAAGTGTGACTGGCCCAAGGTCACCCAGCAGCTGCATGTGGAGGAGCGGAGACGCGAATCCAGTTCCCCAGATTACGAGACTACCGCTCTTAACCACTACACCACACTGGCTAGTACTTTGATTATAAATTTTGTACAATATAAGAGGATGGCTTGGCTAAATACCATACCAATGCCTCCACTAGCAGCTTCTTCTGGGCATAGCTAATAAGGTATAAATCACTGCTCCCCAAAGGATATTTGGTTACGAATCTAAACATTATCTACCTCCACTGGTCATCAATTGTCTATATGGAACCCTAAAAATGGAGCCTCTGGTACAACTTATTTATTTATCTATTTATATATATACCACCTCTATCTTCCAAGGAGTTCAATATGGTATACATGTTTCTCCTCTTCCCCATTTCATCCTCACAACAATCCTGTGAGGTAGGTTAGGCTAAGAGATGGTGACTGGTCCAAGGAGACCCAGTGAGCTCCATGACTGAGAAAAGATTTGAACCCTGGTCTTAGCAATGCCAAGAGTAAACAGATACTTCAAGAGCAGCTGGTATCTGATTTCTCACTTCAGCAACTGAAACAATGACACAAAAAATTCTACTGTAGTACCAGAGGGAGGAAACAGTATTTAGAAGAGGTTTTTTTAGTCTCCACACCCATGTTGTGACACTGGAATTATAAAGATGTGGTGCCCACAGATATATCACCACACCCAACAAACAGTTGTAACTATTTGTCAAATGTAAGTCACCAAAGTCCACCTCCCTTTGCTAAGCTCTTATTTCCTTTCTCTCCAAGTTATCAACTGTTCAGTGTACAAACCCAATTTCTGGAAAAGCAAATGAAGAAATCTCTTCTAAGAAGAGTTCTACGTTTGGCCTTGGCCTCTTTTTTTCAGCACCTTCATCTTTGAAAAAACCCTTTTTGTTCATTATTAAGAGTTCATTACCTCAAAGCTACTTGTTGTAAAGTATGCTTTGGGTTGCCCTCAGCAAGATATAGTGACTAATAAATTTAAGTAATAATAACATGCAAGAAAGAAGACAATAAGACTCTCCCATCATAATGTATTCAAGTCTATGACCTATGTGGTATCACATGGAAAAAGATTTTCTGATGCTGCTTTAACAGATGAAAGCTGCCATTTTCCTATTGATCAGCGAATACTGAACTGCAATTCCAACTATCCTGTAGATTTAATGGACCATCTATGCTCTCATTTTCCTCATGACTATATAACTGCCTAGCATGTCACCCATATATTTTGTCTTGAGCAAATACAAAAAGAGAATTCTTATACACATTTTTAATACTACAAACAGAATAACACTTTCTTCCGCTCCACTCAGCTATGTGGATTCTTCTCCTCCACATCCATTACAGTCACTGCCATATTGGATTTCAGTCCCAACACACTAACAAGCCACACTGGAATTTTAAGACGTCTGCTTGGTATAATTATCCATAACAGCCAGCAAAGGGAGCAGCATAATAAGCATGCCTCATCTAAGTCTATATTACTGGCTTGGCATTTGATGGCAGGAAGTCAAACCGGTTTTTTTTTTTCTTGAACTGGAGTTGAACCTGAATCACAGCTGTATCCTCCCAACTGAACCTGAATCAAAACCAAAGACCTGGCTCAGTTCCCTATTTTAAAATTAAAACTAGTGCAACATCCTACATTTGGGGCTGCATAGACACATTAGGTTTTACCTACCTGAATCAGACTCAGAGTAAACCCACTAAAAGTAACGGACCTAAATCAGTCACGTCCATTAATTTCAGTGGATCTAAGTATGAGTTTGATATAATCCATATGGCTCCCCCCACCATACAAAGCATCCCTATCTAGTTGAAGTGTATGCAGTGAGATTCGTTCCAAACCCTCTAAAAAGAAAGACAAACTGTCCAAGAGGCATTAGAAGAACACACTTACCCATCTCTACCTTTACTGACTATCTTCACTTCAAAGTAATAAATACCACAGGCCGCAGGGATAGGATGGGTAGCCCTGACTGAAGCAGCATCCTTGTGATTTTTTCCATGTCCTGCAAAAAAACCCAACAACATATATAGGAAAGGGGGAAAGGGGTGAGTGAGGTTCCGGGCCCTTTCACTCCTCAGTGACAGCTGTCAGACTAGAACACAGACTTTAAAAGAGCCAGAATCATTCTGCTAAGAAACCCTTAAGATGATGCTTGGTTGACAAAGCAGTGGGCCCCTGCACTGCACCACGAGGGAAAGGATGAGGAAACAGCATGGATGGTTCTGTCTCTTCCTTTGTCAGTTCTCATGAAAAGACAACAAGAAATATAGGCACTAGGGCCCTATTTGGGGGCAAACAGATCAGCACTCCAAATTCCAGAGAAGGCACAAAGGAATGATTTTCTGCCATGATCGTGTAAACAATAATCTGGCTGTCTGCTGTTGGGAAAGGCTCGTGCCAACCCCACACAGCTATCAGGACAGGGAGGAAATCCCCTTCTGCCTGCTTCACAGGAACTGCGCTGACCCCTGGAGAGATCCCATCGCTGGCAGCGCAACAGGCAAGTTCAATTAAGTCAGGTCGAGCCAAGCCCCAAACCCACCCGCGCTCCGGATCCTCAAACAGCGCCCCAGGAGAACTGCCCTTTGGCAGGGTCTTCGATGGATCAGTTCCCCCCGAAACCCCTCAAATGCGACAAGGGCCCGTTGCCACCTCACTCCCCTCCTGAAACCCTCCTGCCGATCCTCAACGCCTTCTCCCCGAAGCGTTTTTCCACCCAGTCACCATCTTCGCCTCTCTCTCCTTCACACCCACCGCTCATCACCTTCAGAGGGTGACCCCCCAATAGCCCCAGGCCTTCGCCCCAACCGCCCCCGCCCGGAATCTTCTCCCCCCTCAGCGCGTCTCCCCCCGCCGCCTTCCCCACCCCCTACCTTTGTAGTGGACGCGCAGGTTGCCCTGGGAGAGGCCGATGTAGTTGTACTTGTCCTTGGGGCTCCAGGCGCGCGGCAGCGGCGTCTCGGCCTGGTTTACAGCCGGGTAGAGACGTCGGAGCCGCTGGCTCAGCTCCTGCTCCTCTGGGGGAGGCGGCGGCGGCGGCGGCGGCAGCACCGAGTCTCCCCCAGGTGAGCTCGCTGCACCCGCGTCCGCCATCTTGGATACACTATTGTGTCAGAAGGAGGGGAGCGGGACCTGTTTCCCTGGCTGTCCAATGGGACGCGGGCTCGGCCACAATGGAGCCGAAGGGCGCGATGGGAAATCGAGTCCGAGCGCCACCTCTGGACTGGGTCAACCCAGGGGGTGAGTGACTACAAGTTCCGAGGAACACTGCACAGGAGGGCCCGCCCACTCCTGGCACCGCAGAGCCCGCCGGGATAATGAGTATAGTAAGGACTCCGCGGGACAGTCCAGGAGATTTCTCACCTTTCAGAACTATTAAGCCGGGCGGGGCGGGGGGGGGGGGAGCCCCATACAGTAAACATGCCCGGAATTGGGCAACACGGCTGCAGTCTTGTGCATGCTTAACGTAAGCGCCAGTGAGTAAAGCGAGATTCACTTCTGAATAAAAATGCATAGGATCATCCAGGCCAGCTATAAACTAGTTGTAGAAAAGGGAGATGGACGGACAACTAGATTGGTACTTCTACCCGGTGACGGCAATTACACAAATACGCAAATACCGTGTCACGCATGCATCTCGTTAAGAAAAGTGACACCAGCCTCAACACTGTCCCAAAGCACAGCTCACTTTTTATATAAGGGACTAGTTTCAGACACACAGGATCGAGCCCTTCACGCGCTGGAAAGCGGCATTTAGAGAAGCAAAAATAAAATAAACGGTGTGCGTGTGTTGGCGTGGGCGCGCGAGCTAAATAGGACGCGTCACGACTAGCTCTTTCATTTAACCTGAACGGCTCACGAGTCACGGCACGGCTAGCAAACTTGCCCTTATGCCTTCCCCCAGGACGAATGCATTCTATCAGCATCCTGGAGCCCAACGTCACTACCACCACGCGTCGGACTAAGCCAGCCACCCGCGTTATATAGCCGGGCACAGGTTTGAAATCCTCTGGGAAAGCAGCTTTCGGGTCGTGCGTTATCCTCTCAAGCGCCTCTGGAGGGCGCTGCGGCCTCAGTCTAGACAGCAGGTGGCGGTGGTTGCCATGGCGACCGAGTGTAAACATCCTCTGCAGGCGCCGTTCCTCTACCCTCCTCGCAGCCATGAAGAGTAGCCCCTCGACCTTTTTGCCGTGAGTCCGTCAGGAAGGAGACGGGTTGGAGGGGTAAAGGCTGGGAAAGGCCATTCTGGAAATATATCCTTAATCCCAGAGAGGTGGGGATCACCTCCGCTTGCTCCAAGAAAAGGCACTTCGCACATGAGGCGAGGCATGTTCTTTCTGCCGGTTTCTTAGCAACATACTGTACGTACTTGGAAGCTGCTTTCAAGCAGGTCAGCCTGTTCGTCTACCAAACCAGCCTTCCCCAACCTGGTGCTCTCCGGATGGTTTGGACTACAGCGTGTGCTGGCAGGGGCTGCTGGGAGTTGTAGACCAAAACATATGGAGGACACTAGTATCTTGAAGGTTGTACTGGCCCAGTGCTTTCTGCTCTGACTGGCACTGGCTCTCCAGGGTCTAAGACAAAGTTCTCCCTGGTGAGGATGAAGGAGAAATCTGATTCAGTTTGCATTTAAAGGCAAAGCTACCTACCGGTAATTCACACTTTCCAAAACAATATGTAAACCAGCACCTCATAGGGTAAGTGCAGAGACTTTTCACCAGGTACAGTTCAGCCCTGATCATTTTAATCAACATTAGATGTAAACCATGGGTAGGCAAACTAAGGCGCGGGGGCTGGATCTGGCCCAATTGCTTTCTAAATCCGGCCCGCAGATGGTCTGGGAATCAGCGTGTTTTTACATGAGTAGAATGTGTCCTTTAATTTCAAATGCATCTTTGGGTTATTTGTGGGGCATAGAAATTCGTTCTCCCCCCCCCCCCAAAAAAATAGTCCGGTCCCCCACAAGGTCTGAGGGACAGTGGACCGGCCCCCTGCTGAAAAAGTTTGCTGACCCCTGAACGATATTACTCATATGCTGTACAGTATGGAGATTATTATATGTTTTTCGGTATGGAGGCAAACCTTCTAGTTTACAATATACTTCCCAAGACATTTGGCAAAGGATGAGATATTGCCCCTCCATTTGAAGTCAGGTGGACTGGTAGTTGTGTATTACTTCAACACTAGTGATAGGACAACATCCTCCATCGCACATGAGTGTAGGAGACTAACAGCTCAGTACTCTTAAGACCTTACCACCACACCCTGCTCCCCAATATTTGCTGCCTGAGTCAAGTACCTCAATCTAATTAATGGTAGGACTAGCTCTGGTGACCTTTAGTGTCTGAGTGTTTTAGGCAGTTGGGCAAATTTATATGTACGGACAAAGTTTCCTGCTTTTGACTGTTGTCATTCTTGGAATACGGTGGCAAAGACACTTTTGCTGATTAAATAACTAGACTTTGGTAGGATTCAGCAGCATCTTGTAGTCATACAATAACTTTTTTTCTCTTTTTATTTCAGGGTCAGTAGTCAGGACTCTGATAAAAGGTATTGCAATAAAATAGAAGAGTTAATTACTTAAATTAGCTTTGTGGTTGCAGTAAGAACTTTGGCTTTGACAGTTCTTACTACAGGTTTCCCACCTTTTTGGTCTTGAGGACTACATTCACTGGTAGCTAGTAGGCTGCACACACATGTACCATATCCGTTCTCTCATGCACACTGACGCAGGCAGGCAGGCAGGGGCTTGGAGTAGGTAGGAGGCACCCCATAACTGCTCACTACCTAGCTACAGTACTTCCTCCATAGTTCCCATCACCAGTTGAGCAGCAGGAAAGGAGGAGTCACACACTGGACAGAGATATCTGCCCATCACCTCATAACTTTTCACTGCCCAGCAGATGTGCTGGCAAATGTACTCTCTTCAGCCTGCGAAGCAACTGTTTCAGGGAGCTGTGGAAGACACGCATGCAAATGCTTCAAATGTGGGGCAGATGGGTTGGATTGAAATGGCCTTGTGGGCCAAATGAGGAGGCTTGCAGGCCTGATTACAGTGGAAGCTCGGGTTGCGAATGTGATCCATGCGGGAGGCACATTCGCAACCTGCAGCGTTCGCAACCCACAGCGCCACGTCTGCGCATGCTTGGGTTGTGATTTGACGCTTATGCGCAAAGTGCGATTTAGTGGTTCTGCGCATGTGCGAGCGCCAAAACCTGGAAGTAACCTGTTCCAGTACTTCCGGGTTCGGCATGGTGCGCAACCTGAAAACGTGCAACCCGAAGCATCTGTAACCCGAGGTATGACTGTATATGCTTTAAACGTGTGCTGCGTACACAGCCTTATGGAGCAATCCTATATTTGAGCTACACTGGCTGATGGACCATAGGATTTGGTGAAAACCCAGCTACATTGGTGGATTCAAGATATGTCTGTGGCATGAAAAATACACAATGGGAACATTCCAGATACATCAGTGGAACACTATCTCTCTTTGCTGGTAGAATGGCTCTGCCATAGAGTATTTTACTGGCATATCTGTTCCACTAGCATATTTGCATTGGAATCATTGAATCTGATGTTCCACCTGCAAAGCAGGGCTTCTGCCACATCCTATAGACCCTCAAATAGCATGCCCTTAATATCCTGGTTAGTAAACTAACTGACATGAAATCAAAATTCCCAGTTTGGGATACAATAGGGAACTCTGCTTTAAACATACCAGGATCTGTGTGCCAAAGCTTTTGTGCAATAGGAGGAAGAGAGGAGTACATGAGCCCAGTGCCTGCTTGTGGCTTCATTAAAAAAATAAGTGATGTTACACCTGAGCCTTGGGATGCAGGAATTTGACACTGAAAGATATACGACATAGCAACTGAGGAGTTTGTTCCTAATAGCTGGCTGATTTGTGTTAACAGCCTTTCCTTTGAAATGCAGTAAGGAGGCCCTGGATTGAGAGAAATGACATTGCTCATTCTCATTTTGACGTGAGTTCCTCCATAGAACTGCAATTTCCCCTTCTTGTCAATTATCCAGGGTATCATTCCTGAAATGCACTCAGAATCTAAATTGTCAAGAAAAATTACCTGATCTGAAGGAATCATTTCAGAAGAAAAGAAAATCTCTGGTGAGTTTGAGCAGATCAGGCATGACAATGCTCATCCCTTGCTAATTTGTAAGTTGCTTTGGGTCACTAAGTAACAATTAAATATAACAACAACAGGGGCGGTGCCAGGCCTTCTGATCTTAGCAGTCTGCTAACTACTTCAGCTATCCTAGGGCTGCCACATGGCTACAGCTCTAGGCAAGAAGGATGCTCTGATACCCTCCCTTTGTAAAGTAAGAAAAGCAAGAGTCTATTTCACCCTGAGCAAGAGGGGCCCGAGAGCTAAGGAAAGGACTAACAGTACTAACAGTACTATTCTGATAAGGCTTCTTCCTAGGCAGTTACTTTTTTCTGGGGGTACACAGGGGTAAGCATACCCCTAAACATTTTGTGAATCTAAGTTTGGCCACATTGAGGGGCAGTATTTCAATATGATTAGGAAAATGAGAGTACCCCTAAACATTTTTTTATAGAAAAAAGCACTGTTCCTAAGTAAGTGGAGTAAGGAATAAGGATTACATCCTAAGTCTTGGACTTATTCTCTTCCCTTGTTGGGTGACTGGTTTTTGTTAAAGGACCTGAACCATTCCTGTGCTGAATGCCTGAAGTACAGGTGTGATCATGTTTATAATAAGGGTCATACGTTTCAGTTCATATTAGCTGATGTCACTGGTTGGTGGCTGAAACCACTAATATGTTGGGAGGTCTGAAACACACACCAATGGGTAGGATCCTGCTTGAAGGTCTGATTTGCCACTGCCCATAATCATAATCTATCACTTTTCAGAGCCACTCTAGCAGTCAGTTGTCTTCATGGCCTGCATACGCACCAGGACACATTATCTTGCAGAATCGAAAACCATGTACTACCTCTGAATGGCAAAGGTATGTAGGATAAATGTTGTACATTAAATGTGAAGTTTTCTGGGCTTCTCTGCATTGTAAACTGATACTGTATTTTTGCCAACTGTCATGGTTTCCTGCATAGAATCTAGGAACTGTACTCTGGTAAAGGTACCAAAATTTCTCATTAGGGGAGAAGCATATCCAGAATGGGTTTTCTCCTCCCACATGCTCAAGAGCAGGGGTGGGTAATCTCAGGCTCGTGGGCCAAATGTGGCCCCATAGGTCTCTTTATATGGCCCTTGGGTAGGGTTGCCATATGTCCAGGAAATCCCAGACATGTCCTCTTTTAGGGGACCAACATGCCCATCCAGGGGGATTTTTACATTTCAAAGGAGATGTCTGGGTTTTGTTTTGTTTTTTGGATTTGGGCAGCGTGGGCTTGGGCTCATGCATGGGTGGCACAGGCGCAGGCTGCTCTGCATGCCGCAGCCACTTGCAGCCTAAGCCAGGGAAAGAGGTGTGTGGACATGGCAGTGCGCCTGTTGATATTTTCACGCCCTCCCATTGCAAGAATCTCCTGATCTGATGTTTTGAGAAAGAAGGGGGCGGAAACTGCTCTTCTATTCTTCCGCTCCTGACTGCCTGACTCTATGTGTGGAGAGAGTCTTATCTACGTAGTGACTAGATGGCTGAGTGGGAGCTGTAACACTCATGCAAGCCAGTAGTTCTTTAGTTTGTAGTAGCTATTAGAAGTTATGCTTCACAGCTAGCTTCCGCGTTATTTATACTCTGCTGAGTCTGGTGCTCACAGTGCACAGTTGTGAGTCCAGTGCACTGAGACTTGCTTTCTAGGATTGGAAGGTCTCTGAACGTGCTCCAGTCGCCTAGCGCAGTCGGGGCAGAACCAGTTATCGAGCCCAGTCGCTGACATTGGTTGAAAGGCGTACCGACAGCGCCTGTGCCCACACACTTCTTTCCCCGGCCCTGGCTGTCCTCTTTTTTGCTCTTCAAGATATGGCAACCCTACCCTTGGGACTTTCCCCAGACACACTGCCACCTCAGCCATGCCCCTTACAGAACCTGTTTCACATACTCCTTGAATGTTTTTGCGTGGTTGGAATGCGTCTTTGAACTCTGATAATGTTTCTTGGGGGATAGAGGTGAGTGTATGACTGAGTTTATTTAGAAACTAGCCTACTGCACACAGGTAAAATTGGTATTCGTTGCTCTGCCCACTTTTACCTCTCCCACTGCCCTAGGCTGGTACTGAAGGAATGGGTTTCTGTGCAGTCAGTCTGAAACGGGACCCAAAATCCAAATTTTTCCTCCTCCAAGGGAGCATTTCTAAAATGCATTAATTCGAGCTCTTGAGTCTATACATTGACTCAACAGAAAGCCAGCTGTATAAATAAGTGCTCAAAGCCCTCTCCTTTATCAGTCCGTGATGGCAATGGATGACCTTGCCAGTTCTGTGGAGCAGGGATGACACATCTGGGTCTTATCTTACATCCTGACCACAAAAGACGCACAGACCTTGTCAAGTCTGACAAGAGACCCGGGAACTGTGCCAGGAGTGTTCTCAGAGTTGGTGACCTCCTGCCCCAAGATAAGAGTATAGGAACAGGAACAACCTTTTATGGTCAAGAGTACCGGAACAGGAATATCTGTTTATGGTCATGGATGTCAACTTACGTGTATAAGCTGACGTGGTTGGATTCCTGGGGAAGGGGGGAGAGGGTGCCTGGAGGATATATATACTGCATGAAATTTCTCATTTCTTTGGACTTGCTGTGAGCTGACCACGCAAGTGCCTTCTGCTATCTGGAGAGCAGAATAAACTCTTTCTCTGAATCAACCTCCGTGTCATTTGACTTCCTTCCTCCTGTCCGGGAGCAACGCAGACCCCACCAATCGGTATAGTCTAATAAGGCTACAGAACATGGTGTATGGAAGCTTGCTCAGAAGGGAATGTGGCCTTTAGGCTGTACTACGTCTCTAGAGGTAGGGATTAAATATGCAAATTAAATCAGCTCGGCCACTTTTGTGTCATGGGACCTGAGGAGACACTGCTGGGGGGTTGGCTGTATGAAGATGCCATATGAAAACGTTTCTCTATAACCAGGCCTTTAGCTGGTGTTATAAGAAAAGCTGCTCCCTTTCCCTTATGGTGTATTCTGGAGCACGTATAGCATGGGTAGGCAAACTAAGGCCCTGGGGCCGGATCCGGCTTAATCGCCTTCTAAATCCTGCCTGCGGCCGGTCCAGGAATCAGTGTGTTTTTACATGAGTAGAATGCGTTCTTTTGTTTAAAATGCATCTCTGGGTTATTTGTGGGGCATAGGAATTCATTCATTTCTCCCCCCCCCAAAAAAATATAGTCTGGTCCCCCACAAGGTCTGAGGGAAAGTGAACCAGCCTCCTGCTGAAAAAATTTGCTGACCCCTGCCGTATAGAGTCTTTAAGTGGGTTCCCTATCAATAGGAGAAAACAGAGGACAGCCAGAGTATATTGAGAAGCAAAGTGGCTAATAAGCCTGATCTTTATTAAAGGAACTGTTGCAACAGGGTCCCCACTCACCACACATAGGAGGGAGGAGAACCCTGAACAATGGTGCACAAGCACTTATATAGACTTGAAATTGCCCACCCTGTAGCCCAAGACCACCCCCCAAAACATCATACATAAATCACAGAAGGTGGTGGTCTACAGCAGAAATCCTGCCTGCCAGGATACTTGATAATGATCACTTATTGCATTACCTGGGCAGTTTGGCCATTCTTTTGTGATGGTTAATACTTTAGTTCCTGAATCCAGGTCACAGGCTCACCCTATTCATACACAAATACACTCTCAAGACAGGATTTGCAAGCAAAAAGACAATGGAAAGCCTTTCCCCATTTGCCTCCCTTACTCCAGAGGAGCAGTCAAGGTCATTGGGAGAGTCAAAATGGCTTCAGAATTGCTTTCCCATCCTATTTCAGACACATGGGTCATATATTTAGATATGTGTGCATTTATGAGTATTTATTCTATATGTGAGACCTTAAAATTCTTATAACACTGGTTACACATTCTATGGCCTTTTAAATGCATTTGTGGGGGGGGGGTTACTGGTTTGTTTTTGTTTTTTATGTATTTTGTGTTCTCATTTTGTATTTTTATGTTGTGAACCACCCTGTGATCTTTGGATGAAGGACGGCATACAAATTTAATAAATACTAATAATGATGATAATAATAATAATATAAAGGCAGGCGATGAGTTTTCTGCAGACAATCATGGGGAGGGACTCAGCTGTCTAGGATAGACCCTGCCAGGGTGTGGGGAGACTGAGGAACTGCTTGGAGAAGAGGATCCTGGCTTCTGATCACCCCATCCCCTCTCCCTACCAGTCTTCCCAGCACACAGCATCTGCACAACTTCTGCCTGTTGCACCAACACTGGCTCCAGAGTTCCCACTGCTGCTCTGTCTGTTCTAGAGATGTTGGCAACAGCGCCTTCATTGCCTAGGTTATGGAGATGCCCAGGGCGCCAAACTTGAATAAAATATTGGGGGGGGGGGTTCCAAGTAAGTCCTGCCCCACATAATCTATCACTTGATGGGGTGCACACACCATTTGAATGGCAATGCCCATCAACTTGGGGGCCAGCCCCCTCAAATATTTTATGGGGGGCAAAGCCCCTTCGACCCCTAGGAGTTGGCTCCTATGGAGATGCCAGTGCAGGCATGACAGACAGTTCAGGCCCAGCCTTCCTGGAGAAGTTCCCAATTGCTTGCCCAGTTGAAGGAACAGTCCCCTTGGCTGTGCTAAGTTGTGCCTGCCCCATTCCTATGTAAGAGGGTTGTAGGGGTGTGTGTGTGTCATTTGTGGGATCAACATCTTAACTTGCCTAGCCTTGCCTACACCTGTTGCGCCTATCTACCCTTACCAACAGTTTACCCTGTAGCAATTCAAGCGTTAAGGTTCCTATGTTGTTAAAATCAGAGTCCAAGTTTTTTATATGGTGAGAGCCAGGACATTTTGTGTGGAGGAAGCCCCTCCGAGTTCCATTCCTGCTCTTCCTCAGCTTCCAGTGAGTGTTTCTGACAGGAGTTCCATATATGAATTGTCATGAGGAAATTTTGGGAACCATAGTTTAATTAAATGTTGAGACTTGTGTTAAATGTCCCCAACACCTTCTCAGAACTCCCAAGGCTCTCTGAGAAGAAGGAACAGCTGTCTGTTCAGATGTGACCACCGAGAGCCGTTTGACATCTCTGTGAGTGGTGTTTGCGACTTTGTATTGAATTTCCATTCTGAAATGCAGATATTTTGGATCATATTACAGTTACAACAATGCACAAAAATGTACGGTATATCAAAATGTGAACATGTGTATAAAGTTTCATTTTCTTGTCTTTCAGCATCAACAAAGAACAGCTTCCTCTTTCCATACCAAAACCACGCTACCTCGAAGATCTGGAATCCCATTTGAGGAGAGAGCTGCAAGCACTTGACCTTACTAAAGGGAAAGTTCAGGAACTTAAACTCCAGGTCTGAGTAATAAACTCTGCTCTCATTTTACAATCTTGAGTGTGAACACATTTATTTAGCCCACCAAGATTTTTCTCAAAGGAAAAGGGGTGTATACAGAAGCCTCATATAACCAGTGCTGACTTGGGGATAGGTTTTAATGGGTAGGAGAGGATATATTACCGTAATTTTCGCTCCAAAACACACACTTTTTTGCTCCTAGAAAGTAAGGGAAAATGCCTGTGCGTGTTACGGAGCGAATGCACTCGACTGGAGCCATGGCTGCCGTCCGTCAAGCAAAGCAGGGCTCTAGCTTTGCTTGCTTTACAGGCTTTGCAGGGCTCTAGCTTTGCTTGCTTTACAGCCAGGAGGAGGGAGAGGAGCCGAGGAGGAGGAGGGAGGGAAGGAGAGCCATGGCAGCAAAGCGGGCAGCAGCCGCTTACATGGGAGGAGGGACAGACAGGAGCCATAGCATGCCGGAAAAGCGCCGCGTAGCCAGCAACAGCTGCTGCAACTCTCAGCTAGCAACTCTCTCTAAATGGAGCAATGAGGCTGCAGAGGGACGGCAGGGCACAGGAGGGCTCTGAGCCACGAGCCCAGTGAAAACCAGTAAAAAAGTTTTTAAAAGGCTGCTGGGGACAGGAGGGCACGGGATGAGGGAGAGGGGGAAATTTCGATTCTCCCAGCGTCTCAGCTGATCCGCTGAGCAGGACTTGGGTTGCAGGGGATTTGCCATTAGCTGCGTAAAGCAGCAAAGAGGGAGAGAAGGAGCAAAGCGGGAGAGGAAAGGAGCTGCTTACACTGCTGTAAGTGGCTGCTGTCCGGTTGGCTCCTTTAAAGCAACAGTGCTCTTTCCCTCCCCCCTCCCCGCTCAGCTTGCCGAAAAGCTCCTTTTCCACACACCCCACACGAGCTCCTTCTCCCCTTAAACCCCTCTCCTGCATCATTAGCAGCATCCTTCTCCACAGACCCCATGTGTGTTCCTTCTCTCCATAGACCCCTCGCCTGCATTATTGGCCGCATCCTTCTCTACACACCCCACGCATGTTCCTTCTCCCCTTAAACCCCTCGCCTGCATTATTAGCCACATCCTTCTCCACACACCCCATGCGTGTTCCTTCTCCCCTTAAACCCCTCGCCTGCATTATTAGCCGCATCCTTCTCCACACACCCCACGCGTGTTCCTTCTCCCCTTAAAACCCTCTTCTGCATCATTAGCAGCATCCTTCTCCACACACCCCACGCATGTTCCTTCTCCCCTTAAACCCCTCTTCTGCATTATTAGCAGCATCCTTCTCCACACACCCCACGCGTGCTCCTTGTCCCTTGAATGCTTTTCCTTCCCTCCCCACTTAAAACGTGGTTACAAAGCACGGATCCACATGGATCCTCAGGATTTTTGCACTGGGTCACCCCAAGTTCACCATCAGATCACATAGCATATCCATGGCTACAGCCTGCACCAAAAAACACACACGCACCCACTGTTTCATGGGGCTGCAATGACGCAAAAACGTGGTTACAAAGCATGGATCCACATGGATCCTCAGGATTTCTGCATTGGGCCACCCCAAACTCACCGTCAGATCACGTCTGTGGCCACAGCATGAACCACAAAAATCATACATCCACTGTTTCGTTTAGAATATTTTTTTCTTGTTTTCCTCCTCTAAAAACTACGTGTGTGTTATGGTCAGGTGAGTGTTATAGAGCGAAAAATACGGTAATTGCAATTTATCCAACAGCCACCCAGAACACAGGACTGGTGTTAGTGCCCCTGACTGAGCATCTCCTTAAAATACCGTGCAAGCAATCTAATAGCAGTCAAAGTAAGATACACATCCTTGTTTAATAAAGGATTATATCTCACTGCTGGTTATCAGGTCTAGATATAAAATATATTCAATTAACAGGATTTATAGTAGTACTGTTGTCCTCCCCTCCCTTTTTCTCTCATTAGCCCTATAGAGAAGTATTTGAGTTCTTCATGGAAGAATTCAGAACCTACAAGCCTTTGTTGGCTTCTATCAAGAAAGAGTATGAACTGACTATAGGTAAGAGAGCATCAATTATTTTATACCAGATGTAATTCTGAACAAGCAAATTTGCTTAGCTATAGTGGATCAGAGGCCAAACAGTAGGTAAACAGTAGACTTCCCCACTAAAAATGAATAAACGAACTGTTCATTAACTCCCTTCTAATGAGGACAAGACATTGAAAACAGACAAAAGATTTCCGACAAAACCCACACATTTTCCTTTTTTAAGTTTAAAAAGGAACCTTCACGGGTCCTGGAAACTTTAAGTAACTTTGGAACCTATCTTTTATGACATTTAGCATATCTGAAAGAGAAGATCTACTCCCTGGAGTCAGTGAATGCCATTCTGGTCACAGCCTCTGATCAATGTACTCGGCAAATCCTGGCCTTTCAGGAGCAAGAGAAAATACAAATTGCAAAGCTGAAGGATGAGAGGATCTACTTACTGAAGCTTATTGACAAAATGAAGGAGGAGAAATATTCTTTAGAAACCCAGGTGAGACAGACGCCTCCCCATCTACACTTGTGTCAAGTATGACTCAAGAATCCTGTTTATTAAAATAGAAAGCACAAGTCAGTTTAGGAGTGTTTGCAAAAAATCCCCTTATGCTTTAAGGTGTATCAGTTGAGGTTGTCTGACATCAGGAGATAACAATAGCAAGTTCTGTGCTTTGGCTGATGAAGTCATTGTTCTGGTTAAAAAAACAAAACAGTGGTGCTCTGGTCCATTTCTGCTGTACCACACCCCCTGGGTTCCAGGTAGCTTTGACTGGGACTGTTCTGTCACTGTTCACAGAATAGTTTTGTGGGAGTCTTTTCATAGGATAGTTTGAGGGCAAGATTCCTACATAGTCCAAGCCCCATCATTAGGTGGTAGAAGTTCTAGAATCCTTTGGGCAGCTAAATTTGGTACCACTACCACCCTCCCCAAAGTAGATAAAATTTGCAGATAGCTGCATTCTTCTAATGGACCAACACAGCTAACACAGCTGCCTTCAATTTTAGAAATACAGTTAGCTTCCTTCCATGATGCACACATTTGACAGCACTGCATCATACAGTGTCACTTCAGAAGTTATCACCTCCTTGGCCCATCAAGGGTACTTGCTGGTTGGCTGTAGAGAGATCACAGTACTTGCTTCCACTGCTGAGGCTGCAGCCACTGACAAAGTGAGCTTGTCATATCAGTGATTAGCGGTCTCCTCTGCCTTACATCACATAGGTGGCTAAGATGCGGAAGGCGGTGGCAGAGGAATACCTCCGTTACCTGAATGAGTCTGATGCCCGCAAGCTGCTCCTTATAGATCTCAATGAAATGTACCGCCTGAAGGAAGAAATGAAGTTTGCCCAAATCCAAGGTAGAAGATGTAGTTTTCCCAGTTATGGGTAGCTTCTACATAAGGTGGGCTGAAGATTCTTCTTCAGGTGGGAAACTGGAATGCAATGTAGGGGTGGTTAATATATGTCCCAAATATGTCCTCCCTGCTTGCTATCAGAAGATGGAGTCATTACCTGTCTCAGATCAACCTGTCTCACAGGATGGTTGTATGTATGGCTTCCTGAGTTCCTTGGAGGAAGTGCTGGATAAAAATGTCAATTAACACACACGTTTAGCAATTATAAATGAATGCTGCAGGAGAGAGGAGCAGGACTGGGCCTCCAGGAGGGTATATCAGGTTCCATGGCATACAGGATGGGGGGACCTCCCTCCCCACTGCAGTGTCATCAAAAATTTCCCCACCAAGACTGCTATTAGGAAATAGAAGAACTGAGCCACTGAGACCATAGCAGGGGATGGGGAAGGCAGGGTGGAAATGAGCCAGGGACTGATGGCTAACCTTTCTCCATAGTACTGATCTTGCAAATGGCTCCTACAGTAGTTTTTTTTACATTTTAAAAATATGCAGTTTCTTTAATGTAACATTGCTTTGCCCCCCTGGGTTCAACCTAGACTAGCCTGGCTTAACATTTCTCCCTCTTTCCTTGACTTTTTCAGCCCATTATGTAGTCAGTGGAATTGTTCTGCTTAGCATCATGGAGAAATGTCAAGTCAGTTGGTCTGTGTTATCTTATTGTCCTGAGGCAGCCTTTGCAGGAGCAATCAAGAGATACTGCCATATTGGGGGGGGGGGAATCTCACCCTACTGGAGAAGAGTAACCTAAGCATAACTTCCAGTGGCAACTTTGGGCCTGTCTGAACCATTTTCTCTTAAAGATGAAAAGGGGGAAGATTCGGTGAAGCTGGCACTCGCTTTAAAGGTAGCACGACACGACCTCACCAAAGCCCAAGTGGAGCTGAACACCATGAAGGCAAACTATGGAGACGTAGTGCCCAGAAGAGAATTTGAGTTGCAGGAACACAAATGTAATGAATTGACTGAAAAGGTAACCAAAGGCTATGCTGACCCCTACTGACGCTCCAAGGTTGGCTGGTTCTTCATTATTTGAGGAGGGTTTTCAGAGTGGGATCTCCTCCCATTTGCTCTAGAGTAGTATTGGAGAACCTCTCACCCATCGGCCTAATTAGGCCATTGGGCTTGCCCTGTTTGGCCTGCAAAACAGTTTTGGACAGCCACACCCGCCTGTCAGTTTCGTCTGATGTCATATCACATCAGGCATCCAACACGTGAATCTGTGGTGCCAAATTAAAAACGAAGAAATGGGAGCTCACGCTGAAGTGCACTCCCAGTTCTTTTTGCTGCTTGAATTTTGCACTTTTAAAATTTGACACCTTTTTCCGTTGCCCTGAATTTAATCTTTGCAGCCCCCATTTGAATTATTTTTGAGTTCAGGCTGGGGCTTCAAAAGTAGAAAAGAAGAATCCATAGCACAGTATGCCTCCTCCCCAGTTCTCCCATTGCAGTCACAGCTTGCAGTTTGGATCACCTGACTTCTGAATCTGGGCCTCAGAATCTGGGTCTCAGAATTGGGGCCCATTTCCCCACCCTTACTAGAAGCAGGGTTTAATTATTTAAAACAAGACTCCTTTATGTGATACGGTGCTTTTCTCTGGAATGTCTCTTAATTCCCAATTTAGCATTTATGACAGGGATTTTAATGTTCTGACAGGAATTCCTTGACAAGCACTTAAAGCAACCCACACACCTGTAGGCTGTCTATCTACTATTTTAACATCTTATTTATATACCACTTAATCATCCAGAAAATGTAAGAAGCCTGTGTAGAATGTAGAATATTCATTTAAAAACATTAATAAAATTTAACATCAAGAACAAATACACACACACACACCCCACACACATGTGCATGTGTGTGTAAAATCAGAAAATGTTAAAATGTATATAATCAAATTGTATGAGTATGATTGCCTAAACGAACAAGCAAAATTAATGGGTGCTATGCGGGTGGCACTGTGGGTTAAACCACAGAGCCTAGGACTTGCCGATCAGAAGGTTGGTGGTTCGAATCCCCACAACGGAGTGAGGTCCCACTGTGGTATAGTGGTTAAGAGCGGTGGACCCGTAATCTGGTGAACCGGGTTCGCTTCCCTGCTCCTCCACACGCAGCTGCTGGGTGACCTTGGGCCAGTCACACTTCTCTGAAGTCTCTCAGCCCCACTCACCTCACAGAGTGTTTGTTGTGGGGGAGGAAGGGAAAGGAGATTGTGAGCCGCTTTGAGACTCCCTAGGGTAGTGATAAAGCGGGATATCAAATCCAAACTCCTCCTCCTCTTCTTCTTCTTCTTCTTCTTCTTCTTCTTCTTCTTCTTTCCGTTGCTCGGTCCCTGCTCCTGCCAACCTAGCAGTTCGAAAGCACATCAAAGTGCAAGTAGATAAACAGGTACCGCTCCGGCTGGAAGGTAAACGGCGTTTCCATGCGCTGCTCTGGTTCACCAGAAGTGGCTTAGTCATGCTGGCCACATGACCCGGAAGCTGTACGCCGGCTCCCTTGGCCAATAAAGTGAGATGAGCACCGCAACCCCAGAGTCGGTCACGACTGGACCTAATGGTCAGGGGTCCCTTTACCTTTACTTAAAACAATACAGGAAAGGTGCCTGCCTAATATTAATGGGCAGGGAGTTCCAGAGAATAGATGCATGCCTTGCCACATATTTACTTGTGTCCTTTGGCCTTGCCTTTCAGATGACAATTCTTCAAAAAGACTTTGATGATCTCCAAGAAGAATATGACACAATGCTGGACATACACAAGCAAGTTTCTGAGGAACGGGACAAGTTCTATAATGACCTTATCAATGTCCAGCGGTCCTCCACACCGCGGCCTAGCTGGGAAAAATGTGCAGGTACTTTTTGTTGTTGCTGCTGTTGTGGTTGTTGTTGATGTTGTCTTTATGTGCCCAGGACAAGTATACAGCAATATTACACAATGAACAACAGAAAACATCAAAAGGTCTAAAAATTATAAATCTAATGGAGTAATCTAGTTAATCACAGTCAACTCACCATGCCAACTGTTGGATCCCAGATTTATTTATGCCTTAGAAAGCAGAGGTGTTGCTGGTTACTTAAAGGACTTGGGGCAAAGTCCCATGAGATAAAAGTGCATAAAATCTGCATATGCTAATGTCTATTTATCAGAGCTGCCAGGTTGCCTCCAAGATTGAGGAAGCACAGCAGGGCGCACATGTGTGACTGGCTCTCTCTCCTGTTTCTTTTGATTAGCAAGTACAGTAGAATGTTTGCAGAGTTTATAAGCAACATCTTTTACTGACTATAAGCCACTTTCGACAGGGATTTCTTTGTCTTTTATATAGCTCCTGGAATAATTTTACGTGCTACACTCATGACAACAAATCTGATAACTAATTAAATTCTTATATAAAGTTCTCCTTCCAGCTGCATGGATTGCTTGGCCCTATCCGATACCTCACATCTTCTTGTTGTTGCAGATGTGATTGCTGATGGGGCTGAGCACTGGAGTGCTTTGTCAGAGGGCAAAACTAGCGATCAGTTGGTAGACGTGCTTTTGGAAGAAATTGGTGCGGGACTTCTAAGAGAGAGGGACACCTTCGTGGCGCTGGTATGGCTGTGCTGGCTATTGCATCCCTTGGGACTTTCACTCATTTTCAGAGGTGGTCAAGAGGAGTCTTGGTCTCCACCTCTCCAAGGGGCCTGGCCTCATTCCCAGCAACCTGGAGACCCTTTCCTTCCCTCTCTTGTGGTGAAGTGTGACAAGGGAAGAGAAGCAGTTCCTGCCTAAGAGATGAGCAGTTTTCGAAATGTCACATACTGAATCAGACAATCAGTTCCTCTAGCTCTGCATTCTCTACACTGCTGCTTTCCTGGGTTTCAGACAGGAATCTTTCCCAGCCCTACCTGGAGATGCTGGGGATTGAACCAGGAACTTTCCTGGTGTTCTACCATTGAATCACAACCTTCTCCCAAATGCAAGTTCTACTTTCCACACCGACCCATTAAAAACACCTGCACATTGCAGAAGATTCTTGGGCCATCTCCTTTTTTGTTTGTATTCCTTTCTTGCCCGAAAAATAGTAAGTGAAAGCAAAATGGAACTGGAGGTGCCTTTCTCAAAATTTGCTATCTTTTATTTGCAAAAGGTTTATAAAGTGAGCCGCTAACCATCTCTTGAGAGCAGGAATGGGGGTTTAATTTGATTCAGTTTTCCTTTAAAGCAGAGCCTCCCTACTTCACCCTTTCCAGAACAGGACATTTTCTGAAAAGCAACCATCTTATCCTTTGAAATGCACAGTGCTCCAGATTTTTCAGTATCATTCTCCAGCCAAGTGTACAAAAATGCACACTAGGGTAAAGTGTGCATTAAAATGTATATATTTATAACACAAAACTAATTATATTAGGGGCCATTGCTTTGCAAAAATTTATCTATTAGGCAAAATTGCATATAAATATGTTCATAGTAGGATAAATTAAAATAAATTAAAATATTAATCAGTTTTCATGAGGACTTAAAAATATTGCATTCCAATGAAAATGTGAAGAATTGTTAAGAATGGAAAGAACTGGAAACAGAGAGAACCAAATTGACAGATTTGTCCATCCCTCTTGGGGAATCAAATTACGTCAGGGCTAGCTTGCTAGATTTCATCCCCATGCAGCCGCAAAGCAACTGTTGGGCAAACCTCTATCTCTCAGCCTAACCTCTCTCACAGGACTGTTGTAAGGATAAATGTAAACCACTTCGAGGTTTTTGTTTAGAATCAAGCAGAGTATAAATTTTATGAAAGAAAAATAATGAATGGGAGCAGGGGAGATACACAGTATGTATAAAACCCTCCTCTGAGGAAAATGGGATATGATGTAATAAATAAATAAATCTTTCTGGGCAGAACCAAACTAATTATAATTGAAATCAACACAGTCCTGTCTTACTAAATTCTGTTTAGCCAAAATGTTGTGTTCTGATACTTTTCTGCAACTGTTCAGAAGCTGTTTTGAAAGAAGAACACTACTTAGACTGCATCTGGCCAGTCCACCTCCCCCCGCCCCAGCCAAGTTTGTCAGGTGGGTGTGGCTGCCTGTCCATCATTTGGCATCTCAATGACATCAGGTTCACAGAGTTTTAAATTAAGCTATGCAGACAAAGGCACAGGAGTTTGCAGGTGCCAACAATCAGCTGCCTTCTCAGCTGCATCTTTACCAGCCATCTGGTGATGGGTGGGTAGATGCAGCTTGGCCAAAATGGCCTTGTGGGTTATATGTGGAGACCTGGTAGGCCTGCTGGCTAGCATTTCCCTTCTTCTCACTTGCATTGAAAGTGCAGTGGGTGTGTCGGTTTTGCGTCCTTGCACAGCACTCCAGGCACTTTATAAAGGCTTAAGTAATAGCAGCAGTAGGGACTCTGGCTTGTGTATTGATTTAAGTGTTTGGCTTTGTACAGGACTTAATACTGTTCCTCTCACTAGGGGAGAAGCGAGAAGGTCCCTGTGTACTTGAGGTGTGATGGTGTGGTTAGGAACAAGAAGCTGACCAAAAAGGAGATTGTGACCATTCTGAAGGAAATATGGAAAGAGAAAATTGCATCAGATCTACAGGTATCTTTGGTTCTATTTCCTTATGAATGTGCTTGAGGCAACTGGAAACACAGGAAGCTGTTGTAGCATGTCAGACCATTGGCTATTGAGCTCAGTACTACCAGCAGCAGCTGTCTATGGTTTCAGGCAGGGTGTCTTTCTTAACCCTTCCTGAAGATGCTGGGGATTGACTCTGGGATCTTGTGCTTGCATATTATTATTATTATTAGTAGTAGTAGTAGTAGTAGTACAGTGGAACCTTGGTTCTCGAACAGCATAGTTGACGAACAAATCAGCTCCCGAATGCTGAAAACCTGAAAGTAAGTGTTCCGGTTTTTTAATGTTTTTTGGAAGCCGAACGTCTGATGCGGCTGTTGGCTATTGTTTTTGGGGTACTTGCACCAATCAGAAGCCACACCTTGGTTTTCGAACGTTTTGGGAGTCGAACAGACATCCGGAACGAATTAAGTTTGAGAACCAAGGTACCACTTGTAATAGTATGAACATTGGCCCAGTAGCAAATTGGCAACCAAGTCTCTGAGCAAGTCTCTGAGCAAAGATGTTACATGTTGACAGGATCTCAATCCTGAGGCTGCCAGGACCTCATGTGACAAAACTGGATGCAGAAGCATCCAGAAGTATAGTTACCAACCCTGTGATTAGCCATGGGCGGCTGGTTGATTAAACTAAAAAAAAAAAAGAGAGGCCCAAACCTAGCTGAGCAGTTGTTACTACAAGTGATTCCCAGTCTATCTTCTTGATGAGGAATATTTTTTACTATGCAATTTAAAATTATTGGGAGGGAAGCCTTTTTGATTCAAGTAGAAGCTGTAAAGAATTGCTCTCAACAGCTGAGTACTCTGTTCCAGAAACTGCAGCTGTCTCTCTTGCAGAAAGGAAAACAATCCAGCTTTCCAGAGTTCTTCCTGAACTTCTTCCAGAAAAGGTATGGTGACGCTCCTGCTTTTGACTGGACTTACAGCGTCTATGAAAACATCAAGCTCTATAAATCGAATGAAGCCATGTCGCTATTTCATCAAATCCTGACTGGAGAGGTGAGCAGTCCCTCATCTCACTTAAAGTGGATTTTGCTTCCATAGATCTACATAACCACACACCCCTGACAGTAAATTCCAATCTACTTTTTTTCCTAACCTGCTATAATAAGAAATTGTGTATTCCCCTTTCTTGCTCACAGTGGCTTTTTTAGATCACATGTTCTTCACTTCATCTGAGCAAGTTTCCCTGGTGCATGTGTTTTTCTTCTGAGAAATTCACCTGCAGTTGGAGTAAATTCAGCACTGAAGAATCCTTTTAATAATTTCAGCTGACTGAGATGTCCAGTTGTTGTGCTGATGGTCCATGCTCTACTCCTTTCCTATTGCTGAATGAGTTAATGCTGGACAGTGCTGTAGCCTAACTCTTCTATTTTCATTTCCCCAGCTGGATGAAGCAGTATACCACAGCCACCTCCAGGAACTTGCCAACCTCGTAAGGGAGGTGACGGTTGCTGATACCGCAAATACTGGCCAGCTGACACGCGACGAGTTCATGTAAGAGTTTGGAGCAGGAGGGAGGTGTCATTTGCAACCAGGTGCAAAGGAGTTGAGCAGAAGTGTACAGTGGTACCTCAGGTTAAGAATTTAATTCGTTCCGGAGGTCTGTTCTTAACCTGAAACTGTTCTAAACCTGAAGGACCACTTTAGCTAATGGGGCCTCCCGCTGCTGCCATGCTGCCGCAGGGTGATTTCTGTTCTCATCCTGAAGCAAAGTTCTTAACCCGAGGTACCATTTATGGGTTAGCGGAGTCTGTAACCTGAAGCGCCTGTAACCCGAAGTACCACTGTATATTTAATTTTAGCAAACTTAAGCAGAATTGTTTTTCTCTGCATAGACAGCCTTGGAGTTTTATAGTACAGTATTCTGAATATATTTGAAAAGCAAGGAGTGAAGATGGGGCCCCTTTCTTTGGTACATTATGGCATGGGGAAATTCATAAAGTCACCTCCTCCTTCTCCTGAAACATCAGTATTTTAAAAAACAGCACACATACATAGTGCATGTACATATGAAACCAATACATAAGCTGAAGGGTTTTCTCTCTCCTCCTGTAGCCTTGCCCTGAGGGCAGCTTTTCCACTAAAGACCGAAGAATCTATCCAAGAGTTAACTGTAGCTGCAGGCTACAAACCGGAGTATCCTGAAACCTCTCTTTCATACAAGCTCTTATTCATAGAGGTAGGTTTCTCCAGTCACGGCATAGAACCAGAAGCAATTAATTAGTTTTAGAAAAAAAGGATGGCTGGGGGAACATGATTAGGTTTTTAAAATTATACATAGTAAAAATAGCATAAACAGAAGAGCTCATGAACTGGCCAAACTTCTTTGGGGAGAATATTTTTCTCTTTCTTTCTGCAAGACCAGCAAAATTTTGTGTAAAGGTTGGTGATTATAGGGTTAACTTACAGAGTTTGGTGCTTCGTGTCTGAAGGAGGGTTTTCTCTATAAGAAGTCAGTCAGGATGTCACGTCCCAGTTTCTTTGATCTATGATTCTAGTTTTGTTTTCAGTCAGAGCTGAGTCGGAGTGTGTTTGAACTATGAGAAGGAAGATGTGTGAAAGCTCGGACAGAAAGATTTACTGCTTGTAAATAATAAAGCTTCTAGATTAGAAGATTCTGTCTCTGGACTGTTTCACTCCCTATTCTCCCAGGACAGCAACACCGCTGCATCTCTGCTACTACTTCTGCCTCAGCTGAAGTGTTTTCCCAGAAGATTGCACTGAGAGGGAAAGCAGTGTTTTTTGGCGCAGGGAAGCGTACTGGACAGGCAGAAGTCCAACATTTGTGGACAAAGTTCAGTATACTTTTTTAAAAGATGGGCAATAAATTCAGTAAATTCATTTTTTTTTTAAATAGCTCTTTACACACCACCTCATAAGCTTATGGAGTTGACTGTCATAAGGTTATGTAAAGGGCCACTGTCTTAGATGGCTTTAAAAGGAGAGTAGGCACTTTAATAGAGGATGGGTTTATATTACATGTCACATAGAGGAGGGAGAAAGGTTGTTTTCTGCTGCTCCAGAGAAGCGGACACGGAGCAATGGATCCAAACTACAAGAAAGAAGATTCCACCTAAACATTAGGAAGAACTTCCTGACAGTAAGAGCTGTTCGACAGTGGAATTTGCTGCCAAGGAGTGTGGTGGAGTCTCCTTCTTTGGAGGTCTTTAAGCAGAGGCTTGACAACCATATGTCAGGAGTGCTCTGATGGTGTTTCCTGCTTGGCAGGGGATTGGACTCGATGGCCCTTGTGGTCTCTTCCAACTCTATGATTCTATGATTCTGTGATTCTATTAGCTATGCTGCCTAAACAGACCTCCATTTTGAGACACTGTCCCTGACTAGCAGAAGAGGAACAATCAATGGGAGAAGGCCACAGCCTTACTGCATCTAGTTGGCCCCTGTGTGAAAGAATGCTAGACTAGATGGATTTTTTAAAAAATTAAGCAGGTCTTCTGTTCACACTGCTTTGGGCTGCATTGTGCCTGTTTTTGTTTTTAAGTGACTCATGGAACTTCCTGAATTCATAGTGCACCAGTGGTGTTGTCATAGAAGCTGAAGTCTTAACTTTGGCTCTTTCCTTTGTTTTATCTATGACACCAAGCTAAAAAAACACTGGCTATCCATGGAGGGCAGGATCCAAGCAACTCCCCTGCCAATAGAGTAGGTAATTAAAGCTATATTGACAAACCCTAGGGGCAATGTAGCTTCTCCATACTAGCGGTTAAGAGCTTATCATATTCCAGAAACATGCAAATCAAAGCCTACAACTGAGTCTAACTGCTGTTTCAAAGTCTGAATGGCTGGACATGTTGGTTTCAAAAACAGCAATTAAGCATCCTGCTTAGATGTCCAGAGAACACTGGACAGTGGAAACTAGAGCTGTTTCCAGTTAATTTTCTAATGTTTGACAAATGCCTCCACTGACAGAAGGCAGATTATATGCTACCTCTCCCAACTCAGGGCGTTAATTGCATCAAACAAAGCCAGCCCTAAAATGATTGTTTACTCTTGCAGGATGAAGAAGGAAAAACAGAACCTTTTGTTAGGAAACTCAAGAAGCAATATGTGAATGAAAAAAGAGACTATATCCGTGAGATACAGGCTCAATTAGGAACCTTGATGTGAGTATCAGCCTGAAAAGAATTGGATCCCGACTATCTTAATTGGAAATTAACTCATTGATTTCAATAGAAGCTATGATTAACTTGTCTCAATGGAATTCAAATTTACACCACAGCTTCCATCTGCATGATTAAATTCAATTGGACTTACTCCTCAAATTATATGTATGGTATTATAGCCTTCATCTAGATCTAATCCCTGGTTGGTCGGACAGTTAATCTCTCTCCCCCTTTTGCCCCCTCTCACAATCCTACACACACAAACGTTTGTGTGTGTGTGTGTGTGTGTGTGTGAGTGAGAGAGATGTGTGATGCTTTCCTTTTCATGAATTCCTTGCCACTTTAAAAAATAGAAGAAAAAAGGTGTTAGCCAGGGCAGCAAGAAATCTCCTTAGAAGGACTATACATGCGATAAATGCAATTTTTCCATCGGTATCAGGCCATCAGATGAGTCGTCAGCACCTCCTAGTATCCAAAAGCAGGAAATGCACAAGAGTAAAGGAATATACTGATACTTTCTGTCACCACTCAGTTCGTTTCCTGCATTCCTAAGGCAGACCTCTCTGCTTCAATGATTTCCAGTGGCTTTGCTCCTATTTTTCTTCTTGATTCTGTTTTCCACTTTTTAAAAAATTAAAAATTGACCCTTTTACCTTCCCAGACTGCCATATCACTCCAATGGCTGCCTCCCTTGGTTCCCACCCAAATTTTTCCTGCCTGCCATTTGTTCCTGTCTCTGCTCACCTCCACCCACACCCCAGGCTGTTTTTCTGCCATCCTAGCCTGCCAGTCTTTTCCTCATGGAGATTTATTTTTCACCACCTATCATTTATTTCCAGGCCTGTTCCTTGGTGGTTGTGGTTCCAGCTGGGTCCTCTGTCCCTTAGGCAGCTGTGGTCCAGCTGTCTTCATTTTGCCTTCCATTTGTTCTTTGGAAGAAGTCTAACCAAATACTTCCACTTGACAAACTCCTAGTTTTGTTTAATCCTAAGACCTTGGGGAGGAAGGCTTCATCTGCTACTTCGGCTTGCTACCTGCAGGTCTCTATTTAACTTGCCTATGAGTGTCTCAAGCTTCCTGTCCCACAGAGCACATCATGGCTCATTTGCCACTAACACCTTGGGCTTTTGACATTTGCAAGGCTATAACTTTTGTTAAGCATTGTAAATTGGCAAGCTTCTTTCAAGAGGAAAGTTACAAGTGGTTTTGCAGACCTAGGCAGCCTGGCGAATTGACTCTACTGGGACTGTGGGCTTTGGTACATCCCATTTGATGGCCTGACACCCATGGAAAAGGGACCATTGGTCTCATCTGCAGGATGGTTTTCATGGGTGACACTGTCAGAACCATTCTCTGAACTAGGGGGACTACTGGTCTTCAATGCCTTTTTGGGGTTGTTTTTGTTGTTGCTTGTTTGTAGCTGTTACTTGTTGTGTGCCTCCTGTGTTTTACATCTTTCTGTTTTCCTGATCATGTCTGCTAGTGATGTCCTGTGTTAGTCTGAGTGAGGATGGAAAGCAGTCATATATTCCTTGACTTGTGCATTTCCTGCTTTTTTATACTAAGGGGCACTGATGACCCATCTGACAGCCTGATACCCTTGAAAACCACCCTTCAAGTGAGACTAATGACCTGTTTTCTTAACTTCAAACTATGTACTGGTAGTGTGCAGGTCAGGATGCAGTAAACTTGGATAGGTGATCAGCATTAAACCTGAATACCAGTTTTCTAATGTAGGCCATACTTACACATCAATGACTCTCATTGACTACTTTACCCTTTTTACATACAGGGAAGTGAGACCAGATGACTTGCGGGCGGCTTTCTGCATACTCGACCATGGTTTGTCAGAGCGAACCCTGGAGTCTTACATCTGTTATGCGTTCCAAGTTTCCAAAGACCAATTGGACCCTGCGGTCTCCATCCCCATAGAAGTACTGATGAAAAGGCTTAAGGCTGGAGATATCAGACGACAAGGAACTGTTATAGGAGATGCAAAGTATCAGCTCCAATCCCACGCTTTAGAAGAAACAGAAGCTCTTGTCAATATTTAAACCCTATACCCACCTCTTCCAAGGGTAATTAGAGTAATAAATTTTACAGAATAGTAATGTAGAACAAAACTTTCCTCAAAGAGCTCTGGTGACAGCCCTGCTGGAGTATAGCCTTAGGTAATAGAGGGTTTGACTTCTTAGAGGCCGTGACCAAAGGGTAAAAGTTGTTCACAACTGGCAACTGGCAGCATGCCTTTCTCCTCACAGCTATGTACTTTAGTATTTACTAAGGCTCCTCCATTAAGTCAAAGTGGCAGTTTACCCAACTACACATTGAAAGCTTAAGGATAAATGTTTTTAGAAGATTCTTTACATCTACTTCCCTTGCTAGAATTTCTGTGAGATGAAAATAAAATGGTTCTGTTTCTTTCTGGCATTTAAACCAGTATTTCCACTAAGCCTAGATCTGCTTTGTTATTGCAGTTTAAGATGGCACACTTGAGCCTCTGTGACTCTTCAGTCCTCCAGCACACTGTGTAATACATATCAGTTTTTCAAAGTAAAATACAGAACTTGTGCTCTGCAAAACATTGCTTTATTTTACAACCACTGTACAGGAATATGAAAAAAGCTTCTGTAGCACAGGAAAACAAAGGTATAAAGAGTGAATATTTCTTTTATTCATAATTGAGATTTCCCCCGAGTCTTTTAAGTAAAGTAACGAGAACTTGCTGGGTGTACTGTAAATGTTCTAATTCTAGAGCCTCCCAGGGTGTTTCTGGAACTGCATTCCTTTCTCCATATTGAGAACAGATTGCCACCAGCATCTCATCATAGCATGGGAGGGAACACTTTATTTCCACTAGTGGCAACAGGAATTAGCAGCTGCCTGTACTCCAGAGGCATGTGACGCTCTATGAGCACATTTAAAGGAATCTTGTCAGTTATCAGTCCTTGCCTGGATTAAAAAGGGGAAGAAAATAATACACGAGTTAGGAAATAAAGTTTGTTTACAACTAATGGTCATTATGGCTATAACTCAAATAACTACCAGGTTGCCATTTGCTATTAGGCAGAAAATGAGTTCTCAGCTAAATTTGTTCATTCTGATCATTGCCCTCATGAACTGTGACTGCAGCTTCAGATAATCAAGAGGCCAGACATACATTTTAAATAAAGGCAGGGTATACAGAAATCACTTACCATGTCAAACTAAAAGCATTGGGGACATGAATGAATGAGCATTGGGGACATGATGTGGGACAGCACAAACCTATGTTTGATAGAGATCTCACACACACAAGGTTTTTTTTAAGGATCTTCAGGAGTAGGCACAAATAGCAGCTCTTAATTTAACACATTCACCAGACATTTGTGCAAAGCTGGGTATTGACCCTGAGTAGCAAGCTGTGTAAGAGTAAGATGGGACTGCCCAGTTAGCATTTATCAGCCCCTCTTCATCACATTCCTCTCTGCTGAAATGTCCATTTTAGTTCCCTTTTGTACTGCATACCCCATGATACACACAACTGCCTCTTTTTTATGTCAGGTATTGGAAAGAGATTCTTGTAATACAATGACTCAAAACTTTCTTTAGCAGAACAGATTTTACTCAAAGACACCAACAAAGTAGTCTTGACTACTTCTACACCCCATGTCTACTTGAAGGAAAACAAGGGCCAGGTTAGAGACTACTTGCTTTGCAATAAAGCTGCCTGGAAATTGACTTGCAGAAGGCCCCAGGACTCTATAAAAAGTGTTAGTCTTCAAGTATGCATGCCCTTCTGTTAGTCAATTACTGTCTGAGAGATCTGTTTGCAGAAATATACACTTCAGTAACACTGGACTGGAACATCCCTTCAGTTTGATGAAGAGCCCTTGAAACAACAAACTAAACATCCTTTACCGCCTCATGAGAAGCTCCAGATCAGCTGGCTCCACAGTCTTTCTTCTGGCATGATTTGCATAGGCTTCCAAGTCGTCACTCAGTTGTTTAAAGTACAAGTTCACACTAAAAGGATACGAAAAGCAAGTTAAGCAAGCTGCAGCCTTCCCACATTCCAAGGGATGGCTATGCTGCAAGGCCACAAGAAAAACAAGAGGACCCAGGCCTCAAAACATGTGGCAATGATGGAAACTGACAGCACAACATCCTTCATGCCATATAGCCACACTTTGGTTTTCTTGGTCCAACAGTGTTCAGCTGGCAACCTCTTCTCCCATATCATTAATTGGTATGAAAGGTGTTCACCATTACTCACCAATTCTCCACAGCCTTGAAAGCATCCTTGGCCACTGGCATCTTCACACAGTGGGCAAATACATTTTTTACAAACTTGCTGGGGAGAGCCGGCTCACGTTTTCCTCTGCATGCCCTCTCAGCTGGCTTTGTAGCCCGCTTAACTGAAAGCTGTTTTGAAAGAGACCTCCAAGGGAAATAAATGTTAAATGTATGCAGCAAGCTCTACAGGAACAGATGCAACACACAACACATAATCCTCCTGTTTTACTTTCTCAGGGAAGTTTCACCTTAGTTTAACGTTGAAAAGAGTGAGTGCTTTATGTACATTAGTGGCCTACCAACAGAGGTACACAGAAAGGGAAGAAATAATGTATATAATAGCCAGAAATGGCAAAGTAGTATGAAAATTCAGAATTCTTATGTATTATTATTTAATGAATTTATATACCACCCTATACCCGGGGGTCTCAGGGTGGTTCACAGAAAAGATCAACATAAAAACCACAGTATAATCAAAATAAAAACAACAACCCAATAACATCGCCTGCGTCAAAAAAAGAGTAGTCCTGTGTTTCCACTAGAAAGATTTAACAGATAATTGGCAGATCTGCATTCCCACACCTTTTTTAGCATCAGCAGCTACAATCTCAGGCACTGTTGCTACTAGGATACTAAATCAGAAGAGCTAAAGAATAGTTTGAGGTCAAATTAAGCATGTGCAAAATGTTTACCCATCACTGAGTAAGAGCAACCAGCCATTAAAAACAGAGAGTTGGAGCAGGACTTCCAGGTCAGAGGAAATGACTTCTAGGCAACACATTGTACCTCTTGCATTGAGAAACTGAGCATTGCAAAGAAGCCCAAGAAGCTACAATGCTTGTGCAGACCAGACACCCAAATGTATAGTCCTTTTATGCTGTAGGCAGCATAAGGCAAAACAGCTATTTCAGATTAATAGAAGTCAGTTGCCATAGTCAGTTGCTGAGGCTGAAGTTCTATCCCATTGCAATTATATAGTTACCTGGAGGCAGCCACTTTTGGAGCATGTAGGGCAGACAGCAATGGTGTACACTGGACAACTTTAGTACGTACAAATGCCGGTGTCTTTTCAGTTAAGTCTGATGGGAGAAAAAAAAGATAAGCCCTGTGCATGCCATCTCCAAGAAGCACTCAAGAGTAGGCTGAAAGGCAGTAGGTGAGTCACAGATAGGGTTGCTTGAAGCAACTTGGGATTTCCTCCCTTTTCACCACTGACCTAATACTCCACAGCAAGGGCTTGAGAGATTCACCAGCAACTGATTTCTTAGCACTGGGTAGAAGTCTAGCTGTGAATCCTTGCTGGGAGTTTGAGATAAGGAAATAATTCAAGAACAAATAATGCTCTGGAATAAGGCTGTACAGTGATAAGTCTCTCATGACAGTCCCCAAAGAGCTAAAATACTCTGTTTTGTTCTGAAAATCTGGAGGAATGAGCTCACCAACAGGTAGCTTCAAATTCCATTTGTCTACACTTCCGTGAGTAACCACAATTCCATTCCCCTTCCCAAAACAAATCTTCTCACCAACATTCTCAGAATCCATTTCAGTCTCTGACACCTCCTCAGATTCAGAATCCATTTCAGCTTCTGAAACCATGTCATCCATAGTTTCTGGGTCCAACATTTTTCCTTGAGATGTTCCGTCTTCCATTTCTTTTGTTGGTAGCCTCTCAAACTGCTCAGATCTCTTTCTACTTAAATGTCTGCTTGGAGTTGCAGCTTTGGTACTTTGGGGGTTCTGAATATCTACAAGGAAATAATTCAAGAACAAGTAATGCTCCAGAATAGGGCTGTACATTGATAAGTCTCACCGTGACAGTCCCCAAAGAGCTAAAATACTCTGTTTTGTTCTGAAAATCTGGAGGAATGAGCTCACCAACAGGTAGCTTCAAATTCCATTTGTCTACACTTCCGTGAGTAACCACAATTCCATTCCCCTTCCCAAAACAAATCTCCTCACCAACATTCTCAGAATCCATCTCAGTCTCTGACACCTCCTCAGATTCAGAATCCATTTCAGCTTCTGAAACCATGTCATCCATAGTTTTTCGGTCCAACATTTTTTCTTGAGAGGTTCCGTCTTCCATTTCTTTCGTTGGTAGCCCCTCAAACTGCTCAGATCTCTTTCTACTTACATGTCTGTTTGGAGTTCCAGCTTTAGTACTTTGGGGGTTCTGAATATCTACAAGTCAGAGGCAAATAAGGTATTCATTCAGTGACAAATAAAATCTTAGAGAACTTTTAGAAACACAGTCACACACAATACACCTGGGTCTGCTACTATCCATTCACATATTGCCAAATAGTTTTTAGCTTTGACAGTTTTGCTGGAGTTCAGCAGAGAAGGCACATGAAAAAATTTCCTCTGGAGTCTCATCTCCACAAGAAAAAAGGAATTATGTTCTGGGTACTGGCAGTACTCAATCCCATTTTAGCTCCTGAGATCACACCTGAGACATATGTTCTCTGCAACGTTATGATCCACAAACTTTTCAGACTGATGAGATCCATAGGATGTTTACTTTATTTAAAAGAATTTATAAAACCACTTAAACAAAAAATCTGTAACTGGTGCATATAGGGCAATTTAAAACAATGATCAACATACAAATAAAAACCAGCAAAATTCATAATTTGTTTACATGTCTGTGTAGGTTTGCCAAAACAAAAAGTAGTACTATACATGGCCTGGATTACCATGCTGATCTTTTTGGAGAACAGACAGGGCAATCATTCGATGCTGAGGTGACCATCAATCAGTCAAATCTTCCAGAATGGCAAGTGGTAACTCCTGCAGAGATAAAATCTCTGATAGAGAGTTTAAAATCAAATAAAGTGCCAGGCGAGGACATGATGCCGCCGGAGCTATTTAAGACACATATGGAATGGTGGCAACCCATCTTGGCCAAAGTCTACACCCATAAAAATAATACAGCTTAAATGGCTGGAAATTGAACATCATCGTGCCAATTTATAAGAAAGGGGATAAAACCCTCCCTCAAAATTACCGCCCCATTAGCCTGCTGGACATCCCCTCCAAACTCTATGCCCGTCATCTGCTTACCAAATTAACAGACTGGCTAAGTGAAAATAACACCTTATATGAGGAACAAGCAGGGTTCAGAGCTGGATATAATACTATTGACCAGTGTTTTACACTGTCTCATATCATCAACAAATATACTCAACAGAACAAACGTAACCTGTTTGCTGCCTTTATTGACCTATCTGCTGCTTTTGACTCAATCAACCGTAATAGATTGTGGAAGAAATTCTCAAATGCTAATATAAACCTATGACTCTTATTATTAATTCGTGAATTGTATTGTGACACCGAAACACAAGTTAGAGTGGGCTTAAGGGGAATGATCTTGGTGATGATCTTACTGGGTCTATATTAACAAGAGCAAAATTAAGTTAGAGAGGCATTACAGGTGTTCAGAAAATACAAAAAATAGGCAGAAGGAAGATTCCCAAATTGACAGACACCTCCTAAATGTTTGTCCTTATATATAAGGGAAAGGAGGAAGGAAAAGGTGGAGGGTTTTTGTATTAGCTAAGCTTGTCCCAGATGTGCTCCAGGAGTCATAGCAGATTTCTTATGGTGAGGAAATGAATGTATTGAAAGCAAGAAGAGAAGCATCCAAATCACCTGGAAGGGAGGAGATAAAACACTAATGCAATTACTAGTTGTGAAAGTCTTCAACTTTCCTCACTTCCACTGCAGATTACTTACTGGTGGGCAGATGATTTCCAGGACTTAAGAAGTGCTCCATATCACTGTTCCCATGCAGGCTCTCTTGCTGCCCTCTTTCAGGAGTAACAGTCCTTTCCTGGAACCCAACTTTCAAACCATTTGCATGTTCAGCACTCTGCCTTAGCATCTTTTTTTGATGACGGTGTATTAATCCTTCTTCAGTATCCTGCAGGCTTTGCTGATGCTCTTCTATTGGATTAGCAGCATTTTCTTCAAGTACAGCTTCAATCCCATCAACACAGTCAGTGTATTGTGTGAGTATCTCTTTTTGTTCATTCTGTGTCTCTCCTTCAACAGCCGTATCAGTCTCTGCACCCTGCCAGGGTGTCTGAATAGAGGATGGCAAACTCTCTTTGGCTAAAGACTGCCTTGTCGGGTGAAGCTGAGGATGAACACCAGAAAGCCCTGCTCCACTCTGCCTGCTGAGCTCAGGTTGGGCAAACAACTCTGTATCAGCAAATTGTGCTGAGGAATCATTTGATAACATACTTGGAGCCACAAGGTAACTCTGTGCTGTTGAAAAAATTTCAAAAACGGATTAGCCTTTTAAATGGAGATAACAGTCTGATCATTCCATGCTCCACCATAACAACTTTCAGACACTTCCTTCTGCGCTGGAATATTAATCTCCCCTCTACTCACAGGTTGCTACTCAAATTGACACAGGCACCCGGTCCAAATGAGAACCAAAGGAAACTCACAGCCTTTTGTTTGCAGCAGGTTTTGTTCAATGCCGTCTTCAAAAGCTTTCACATTAACACCTCTGTAATTCTTTGGCCTACGGACTAAACCTTTCTTTCCAGCAGAGCGCAATGGTGGTGGGGTTCTAAAAGAGATCTGAGACCTGAGAATATAAGAACAGAGCACATGAAACATATTGCTTGTTTATCTAGCACTGCCTTCCCTCTCTAATAATGGTCATTGTTGCATGTTAGTATAATGAACAGGGAGCCCTATGCACGGAATCACCAGCCAACTCTCGTATTCATCTTCCTAATGGACCCTGATCTTTCTCACTGAATCCCAATGGAGCCGACAGTTCCCGTATCACTGGATCCATGGAGCTCAACTGTCATAGCCATACTCAAACCAAGCTCAAAGAACACAATCCTGGGTAGACAAATGTGGCATTGGACCGACCGTAAAGTTTCATTTTATGTAGTTAATAGAGGTGAGCCTTGGACAGGTTGTCCTTCCCACTCACTCCACTAGGCAGGAATATTCAAATTAGAGCTGTTCTTACATAGTAGTGGGAGGGCGAGTGAGAGGGAAAGCTCCCCTGTTGAAGGTATCAAAGCTCAAGTAAAAAAGCTACAGCCCCTTAAAAAGGTGTCATGAAACCTGAAAGAAGACAAACCCATCTTTCAGTTTCATCCACCAAGTTAACTCAAACACATCACTTAGATGAGGGGCTCCCAACTGTGGTCCTCAGACCACCAATGGATCATGAGCTTCATTTAGGTATGGATGTGAAGAACATCCATCACTTTAAATATTCATACTGATTTTTAATTGTATTTCCTGTAACTATATTCCTATTGATGTTCCTATAATCCTTGCAAATAAATAAAAATGAAACAACACAAGAGTAAGTACCCTGTGAGTAAATGGATCCTTGCTGTCTTTACTGACAGTTGTATTATATGTTATAAATAACATATCCACAAGTATGCTATTTAGCACTGTTGGAATAAGGGAAACTTATTCAGCCATTTATTTACCACAAGGAAACTCTACTTGTAGACTCATTTAAAAGCCAAAATAACTTCTGGATGTTTATGGCTCTGAAACAGATAACCTAAGGAAATTGGCAGTATATATCAGGGGTAGTCAACCTTTTTATACCTACCGCCCACTAATGCATCTTTCTTGATGGTAAAATTTCCTTACCGCCCACCAGTGCTTGATGGAAGGAGGATTCAGCTTGTGCCGTAGAACCCCCTACCACCCACCTAAAATTCTGAAAGGCCCATTAGTGGGTGGTAGGGACTAGATTGACAACCCCTGGTATATATCATGTGTCAAATGCTGATGAAGCAGAAATCCCTAACTATGGGGAGGCAAAGTAAGAATAGAAAGTTGATAACTTTTACTGGCACACAGTGTGTGTGATGATACTAGAGATGGATTTAGGGGAGCGCAACCAGTTCAGTCACACTGGCAATGGAGCCTTGGGGGTGCCACAATTATGAGGTACAATGGAAAGTGAGAGGCAGAGGAGAGGGGCTGAATTTTGGTGTCACACGGGGTGCCACTTAAAGTTGAGATCCCAAGGTCTGCCACTGATACTATTCAGCAGTGCAAAAACAGTCTAAATATTCACACATAGGTTAAAATCAGACAATTCTCCAAACTAGGGAATAGTTATTCTTTTTTCAGACAGAGGACCACAGTGGCCCATGGCCAACCCACTGGGAGCCACACATAAAAGCAGCCATGGCCTTTTCTCACCCTTATTGCTTATTAATTTCACTTTCCTCAATAAGTACTATCCAACATCACTGCACTTCTACTTTCCTTATTCCTTCGATGTACATTCAAGTTGAAAATTTCATTCACAGCTGTTTCCAGAAACAAGGAAAATAGCTTGGAAAGGCTTTTGCACTGGTTCCAGCTTCCCAGGGGCATAGTGTGGCGGAGGGAGGGGGGCTGTCAGGGCAATTACCCTGGGCACTTTTTTCTGAGGGGTGTGCTGCTTACAACGCCTTCCCCAAGCCAGACCTGTGCTGCTTTGCAAGGCTAGGATCTGATCAGATCCCAGCCTCGCAAAGCGGGACTGGCTCAGGGAGGGTGAGAAGGAAGCCAGGTGCCCATTGATCTCAGCCTTGCCCTTAAGGGGCTGGAATCAAAGGGTGCATGGCTGTTGTGCCCTTCTCATGCTGTCCTCCCTGAGCCACTTTGCAAGGCTGGGATCATTCCAGCCTTGCCAAGTGGCTTGGGGCTGGTGTCACTCTGGCGGCAAGGACTGGTGCATGGTGGGCGCCATTCACCCCCGGCGTACATGCACACCCCAGACACCATGAAACCGCACCCTGCAGCTGCAGCTTCCTCTCCCTGTTGCTAATCCATGAAGGAAAAATTGGGACCACCTCTGCCTCTTATTTCCCGCGCAGCTACTTTTGGCGAAAGAATAACAATGGGTTGTTAGTTCTAAGGCAGCATTACAACTGTGGATGGGGAGCCTGGCCATGCTCCATCATTCCTCCTGCTTCCATCCCATCCAAATCAGGCTCTATAGCTACTTACTTGTATTTCTTATTTGCTCTCCCTTGCTGGCTTCAGTGTCTGCCATTGTTCATGCAAATACCTGACAATGAGGTGAATCTAACTAAGATCCTAGAGGGCTCAACAGCACCATTTGCTGCTTTGCAAAACGTTACAACCCCTCCCCCCAAATATCCAATATCTTGGGGGTTGTGTATACAGGCCACAGCTTAGCCATCCCTGCTCCAAACCATGGTATGAAGGATCAGGAACAAGCAGTGGAAGCCTTAGGCCTATGCACTCACTTCTCTCTCCATCTAGCCTCATAAATAAGAGATTTAGAAACCTCTCCTAATCTTCTTCCTTTTCCTGCAGGTGGGCAGCGGGGAGAAAACAGGCTCATCAGCTTGAGACTTTCTGGTGCTCACTCCTGGTGCTCCAAATCACTGTTTGGAGGATCATCTGAATGAAGCCATACTGAATGTAGTGGCATATAGAGCAACCAAGTAGCTCCAGCACCTCTGCCATCACTGTTGTAGCCCTCAATAGGTACATATCATGAAAAGTGGGTAAGAAATCAAATAAATAAGGAAAATAATAGTTTGTAATTCCTCTTTCATCAGTGTTGACAATGTACTGGATGATGACATTATGTTGTTCAGTAGAGGAAGAATTGTTGTTACAGCATAGTCAGAGCAAAGATAACTTACTTTGTCCGAGATGTGTCGTCCAACAATGAATGAGCTAGAAAACAGATCAAGGCATATACTGAATGGCCATGGTAGTGAAGTGTGCAAATTCTACATCTTACAAAAATATTATATAATGAATCAACTATGCCTTATGATTAATACAGTGGTACCTCTGTTTATGAATTTAATGGGTTCCAGAAGTCTGTTCTGAAACTGAAACCGTTCTGAAACTGAGGCGCACTTTCCCTAATGAGGCCTCCTGCCACCGGTGCCCTTCCACCATTCGGATTCCGTTCTTAGACCGAAGTAAAGTTTGCAAACCGGGACACTATTTTCGGTTTTGTGGAGTTCATAAACCGAATTGTACTTAAACAGGACTGTTCCTTAAACCGAGGTACCACTGTACTGTGTAAATATTTATTTAATTCACTTATACCTTTCCTCTTCAGAGCTCAGAGTGGCTTATAATACTTCCCAGGGCCAGACCTGCTTTAGTTTCAGCAACAAAACTGTATCATGTACCTTCTAACTGTTCTCTAGTCAATTCAGAAATATTAAATATGGAAATTCTCTGCAGTGTTAATCTGAGCCGTATTCATGGGTGAGTTCAGAAGGACACAGCAATTATTCTCACTGATATATTCCAAAGCCTACACATGGCCTGTTCATTGCAAGACATATTTGGCTAAGGCACCAGAATACCATTAGCACTAGCTCTGATTGTTTCCAACAATTCTCCACAAAAGGGAGTGCGCATTGTTCAGTGCACTGGTGCTCCTTGCAAAAGACCTCTTTGGTTATTTCTGCTGCTGCTCCTATTTGTGCACATTACTAGGCAAAAGACAAGCATGAGCTGATTTTTGTTAAATAGACAGATGGGGAAAAGTAGACTACTCACTTATATTTCCTTTGTTCTTTGTCACAACTTCAACAGCCGTATCAGTCTCTGCACCCTGCCAGGGTGTCTGAATAGAGGATGGCAAACTCTCTTTGGCTAAAGACTGCCTTGTCGGGTGAAGCTGAGGATGAACACCAGAAAGCCCTGCTCCACTCTGCCTGCTGAGCTCAGGTTGGGCAAACAACTCTGTATCAGCAAATTGTGCTGAGGAATCATTTGATAACATACTTGGAGCCACAAGATAACTCTGTGCTGTTGAAAAAATTTCAAAAACGGATTAGCCTTTTAAATGGAGATAACAGTCTGATCATTCCATGCTCCACCATAACAACTTTCAGACACTTCCTTCTGCACTGGAATATTAATCTCCCCTGTACTCACAGGTTGCTACTCAAATAGACACAGGCACCTGGTCCAAATGAGAACCAAAGGAAACTCACAGCCTTTTGTTTGCAGCAAGTTTTGTTCAATGCCGTCTTCAAAAGCTTTCACAGTAACAACTCTGTAATTCTTTGGCCTACGGACTAAGCCTTTCTTCCCAGCAGAGCGCAATGGTGGTGGGGTTCTAAAAGAGATCTGAGACCTGAGAATATAAGAACGGAGCACATGAAACATATTGCTTGTTTATCTAGCACTGCTTTCCCTCTAATAATGGTCATTGTTGCATGTTAGTATAATGAACAGGGAGTCCTATACAAGAAATCACCAGCTGGCTCTTGTATTCATCTTCCCAACGGACTCTGATCTTTCTCACTGAATCCCAATGGAGCCGACAGTTCCCATATCACTGGACCCATGGAGCTCACCTGTCATAGCCATACTCAAACCAAGCTCAAAGAACACAATTTAGGGTGGACAGATAAACCCCACAAAGTAGCTGGTGAAAGACCCCTCACAGCCATAGAATTCAGTCAGCTAAACAAACAGCTGTGAATTCCTTTAGGAATTCTGCACATAGGCTAACAACACCCCCCTCCCCATGCAAATAAATAAAAACAAGGACCCCGTGAGAAAATGGGTCATTGCGGTCTTTAGTGACAGCTGTGTTACCCTTTTCCATGAATATGTTATTTAGCAGTGTGGGAATCAGGGAAAATTCATTACTGAATTGCCACAAGGAAAACCTTGTAAACTCGGGGAACAGTATCTTTTTAAAACACACACACACACACACACACACACACACACAATTAATAATCTGGATATTTGTGGTTCTGAAGCAGGAAACAAGAAATTGACAATATGTGTGAAAGGCTGATGTAGCATAGGCAGATTTCCCCCATCCTGTCCATGTTGCAGACCAAGCTGAAATCTCTAACACTGGGCAGGAGAGTAAAAAAAGAGAAAGCTGATAAACATGGCTACTTCCCACATGTATTCCATTTTAATTTCTTTTTAATTAATACCTAATGAATTTCAGTTACCTCAGCAAATGCACCCCACTCCCACATATATCATTTAAATTTTGACAGTGTTCAAAAACAGGGCGTTTTAAGCTGCCTAGATATTCACAAGTAGGCAACATAATCCTCCAAACCAAGCATTAACCACCCCTGTGCCAAATAATGATTTGAAGGATCAGAAGCAAGGAGTTCAGTCCTTGGGCTTATGTACTCCCCTTTTTGCCACATAGGTAAGAGGAGATTAGAAACTTCTGCTTCTAGTCTCCTCTCTTTATCTAAATTGGAGGAGGAAGCTCATCATCTTGAAGTTTTATGGTGCTCACTCCCAGCCCTTCAAACCATGGGTTGAAGGATCATCAGAATGTAGGCATACTGGATGTAGTGACTTATGGTTCAACCAAGTACTTCCAACACTTCTGTCATCATTCCTGTAACCTGCTTTGGGACGTTATGGTGAAGGGCAGATGAGAGATTTAATAAATAATACAATAAAATTTTGTAATTGTTCTTTCATCCCTTTCCACAATATACTAGATGCTGACTTTATGTTGCTCAGCAGGGGAAGAATCGGTTGTTACACCATAGTCACAGAGCAAAAATAACTTACTTTGATTGAGATGTGATGTCCAACAATGAATGAGCTGAAAAAGAAGTCAAGACATGTTTTAGATGGCTATGCTAATGAAGCATGCAAGTTTTCCAGAAATATTATTTAATGAATAAACTATGCTTTACTGCTGGAAAAAGTTCAATTATATCACATTCTAAGACTAGAGAGAGAAACATATTTTTTTAAGAAATATGACCATGCATCAAAGGATTATTTATTTCACTTGTACTGCTCCTCTTCACAGCTCAGAGTGAGTTATGTATAGTTTGTTTTTGTTTTTTTAAATAATATTTATTACTTTTAAAAGTTACAAAAAGTAAAGACAGAAAAGAAAAAAGAGGGAAAAAACAAGAAAAAACAAAAACAAAAACAATACAATATATAAACAATACAAACCCACCCTAAACCCATTAAACTAAACACATAAACAAAGCAAAACAAAAACAATTTAAAAACATCCCTCCTTTTCCATACTCTGTCCTTCATTCCCTTGTTTCCTCGACTTCCTCACACCTCCCTTTTCGTGTCCCACTTCTAGTACTTGTTTCAGCAAATCCTTTCCATCTTTCTCTATTTTCTGTCATATTATAAATAACATATTCTTTAACCTTATTTCCCATTAAAGGTAAAGTACTTATATACACCCAACTTCTTAAAGCATTTCTGCTAAACCCATAAAATATCATTCCACCATTTTTCTAACAGTCATTACTTTAACAATATTTCTAAATAAACGTTTTAAATTTTCCAGTAATCTTCCACTATCTCCTCTCCCTGGCTTCGGATTCTGCCAGTCCTTTCCGTCAGTTCCATATAGTCCATCAACCTGGTAATCTTATATCCGAGGCTCTTAAATCTCTTCCAAGTTCCTTCTGCAGATTTTCTTCATATTCTTTGATGCTCAGGAGCCAATCTCAGGAAAACTCCAGCCTAGCAATACTTTTGTTCCTTCTGGACAGTTCAGCCAAATTTCCAAAGTTAAAAATAAAGTCCATAGAGTGTTTCAAAGCGTATTTCAGGATTCCTCCAGTTCTAGCGACCCCCAAAACTTCAGGCTCCTCCAAACCCAAGTCCATGTCCCAAAAGTCAGTCAATCCCTGGATAAAGGGTTCTTTCCAACTTTCCTTCTTCAGTCCAAGCCGGGATCCTAACCTCAAAATTTGACTTTTGCTAGATTCAGTCATGAAAGACCTCAATTTATAATCCTCAATTTGCTTCTGAGAAATTAAGGATCCCGCTTGTACTACTTTTGGTTTCACATCATCAGCTTTCTCCTTTTCCTCCACCATTTGTCCAACGAGGATATGTTCCTGTACCAACTCCTGAATTGTTTCTGTATTGGGACCCACTTTTTGACTCAAATTAGTCACGTTCCATTCCAAGTTGTCAATTTTAGAGATCGTGTCATCTGTCTTTTTATGGAGCTGTTCCAGCGAGTAGTTTATCTTGTATAATACAGTCACAATAGCTTCTCCTATCAACATTTTGAATGGTCCAAGGTCAGACTCTAGTTTTTAGAATCTTCATCTTGCAGCTGGAGATCTCCCTGTTGCACTCCTGTAACAGTTTCACATGCTCCCTCTAGAGGGAAACAGTCTCTGTTTGTATCAATTCTTTCAAGCACGACTCGAACAAATAACAATAGTTTCAATTTTCGGTTACTTTTTCCTCCATTTTTAAACGCAGAAGAGGACAATGGAAACAGTGCCTTTCTTATTTTAGCTAGCTGTCAAATCCATTCTGTCAATAAACATTCCCCGAATGTCATCTGGCAGCCCTTTTCCAGGTTCAGAGCAGTGGCAATTTGATTTTCACTCTCTTCTGCAGGCACACTAGATCCAAAACTTCCCCCCTCTTCTCCTGCTTCCAAGAGGGGTTATATAATTTTGGCCGGTGGGAATTTAATCCTTTATCAAAAGCTTTCAAAGACTTTAGCTTGTAACGTCTTTGCTTCAATCTATTTACAAAAACGGGAGGCGGACTTCCTGTTTAGAGCCTTCCCGCTTCGGCGCCAAATTAAAGTGTTTCAAGATCCAATTTTCAGTTCTACTCACGGGTAGTCGTTTAAAATCCAATTGTCCACAGGAAAAAGTCAGCGCTCTCCGGCAACAGCAATGCGGCTTCACTCCGTGAAAGAAGCAGTCGATTCAAAGCACCGCGCCACTCACCCCACGTCGCTCCGGATCCCCGAAAACCGGGTTTCCCTGCAAGTAGGGGGGGGCGCAAAGGTGCCAGCCGAATCCCACGTCCACAGGCTTCTCCCACCTGTGGTTTTTGATGGGTCTCTGCCTCGCCGTGGCGGTTCAGACCCTGTTTTCCACGGAGCGGATTCCTCCCGATCGGAGGAAATCCGCCATTGCCAGAGGCGCCAACCCGGAAGTCGAGTTATGTATAGTTTGGATAGTTACCCTGAACATACTTTTCTCTGGAGAGGTGAACAAGGCATCCATCCACCTTGGAAGTTGAATGGAATCTGTTCCGGAAGTCCATTCAACTTCCAAAATGTCCGGAAACCAAAGTATGGCCTCTGATTGGCTGCAGGAAGTCCCTGCAGCCAATCAGAAGCTGTGCAAGCCCTGTCAGATGTTTGGGTTCCAAAGAACATTCACAAAGTGGAACACTCACTTCTGGGTTTGCGGTGTTGGAGAGCCAAAACATCAGAGTACCAAAGTGTTCGACAACCGAGGTATGACTGTAATTGGTTAAGCCCTCATTTTGCCCTAGAGAGGCAAGGAACCATATAACCACCTTTTTATATTTCCCTTATCCTGCTAGTGCTTCCTCCATTTCCGTTTATGGCCAAGCAAATATACAGCGATTCAACAGGTCTTTTTGAGGAAGGAAAACAACCCATGCCTTACAGACTAGCAAAAATCAAAGGTCCCCCCCCCCAAATAAACTGCTCCTTCAGAAAGCTGGGGAAAAGGCATTTGGTGCCAAGGTTGGTTCTGGGAAAGGAGAAGTCTAACTGAAGAAAATGAGAGGGAAATGCCACATTCTGGCACGATTCTTCATGTAACCATTAGGATAAAAAAATGGCACTGAAAAATCTGTGGAAGACAGCCACTCGCCCAGAAATATGGATGCAAATGACAATTTTTTCTATGCTAACAAATGAAGGGGATGAAGTCCTGCCTGGAATTGAAGCAATCTCACCCATGTCATCAAGAAGCTGAATACCAACTAGCTCTAGCTGGGTAGGACTGTTGAGGAGCTTCATGCTAGGAGCATGGGTGTAAAATCCTTTAAGGCGGGCACAGCAGAGGGTTGTGTCAAGGACTTGCAAAAGCAACTAGCATTAGCTGGGTCATGGACATGCTGGAGTTGCTGAAGCACTCACAGTCTCATTGTAAAGAAGTGCATGGTGGAAGAGGCTACGTGCAACAGATGTTATTCTCTTTAGTGCACTCAGAGCTTTAATAACTCTAATGCATTTTTTGTCTGTCAAATAGGTGGCTGTGACTTTTCCATGTCACTGGGAAGAGCGATGGGTTATGTCAGAAAGCAGAAATTTTCACTTTGGCAACAGATATACTAAAATTGGAACATTACCATGATTAGTACGGCCCCTGCACAAGAATGACAAGCGCATTTTTAAGCCAAAAAGCAGAGAACAAGCAGGGGACAAAGAGCAATTTCAGAAAACTAGAAAGGAGAAAACAGATACTCCCCCCGTCCTTCAGACAGAGAGAAAGAGAATATGATAAAACAAGTAATCCAAAAAGGAGAAAATGCAGTAGAGCAGGGGTAGGCAACCTAAGGCCCATGGGCCACAAGCAGCCCACAGGGATTGTTTAACCAGCCCATGAACCGCCCCCAAGGCAAGTCCCCGCACACTGCGCTAAACCAGCACAGCGTGGTGTGGGGACTCGCTTCCATGACGCCGGAAATCGCGTCTGCACTGAAGGAATGGGTTTCCAAAATCCAAAAACTGACTGTGCAGGCAGTTTTAAACTGCACCAAAATTCCTATTTTTCCTTAGCTAAAATGCATAAACTCAAGCCGTTGAGTAAATCCATAACAAAAACAAAGCTCTCTCCCTTATCAGTCCATGGCGGCAATGAGTGACCTTGCCAAGTTCCAGTACAGCAGGGATGATGCGTGTGTGCCTTATCTTATGTGCTGACCACAAAGACGCGCAGACCCACGTCTGGGAATAACGCCAGAGTGTGTTCTCAGAAATGGTCATCTCTGCCTCCCAGATAAGAGTAGGAAGAGGAAGATGCTTTTATGGTCAGAAGTACAGGAAGGAAGATCCTTTTATGGTTGAGAGTACCAGAGCAGGAACATATGTGATGTCAACCTGCGTACGTAGGCCGACGTGGTTGGGCTCCTAGGGGAGGAGTGAGAGGGTGCCTGGAGGATATATAAACTGCATGAATCCTGTCATTTCTTTGGACTTGCTGGGGACTAATCACGCAAGTGCCTTCTGCTATCCGGAGAGCAGAATAAACTCTTTCTTTGAACCAACCTCGGTGTCATTTTGACTTCCTTCCTCCTGTACCAGAGCAACGCAGACCCAATCGGTGAACTCCAATAAGGCTACAGCACAGATGCCGGAAATTGTGGGCGCACGCGCAATTTGACCCATGAAATATCAGACTTAAGGCACCAGCAAACCATTAACATCTCATTCTATTGTTTCCAGCTAAGAAAAAATGCTTGTTGTTTTAGGAACTGGTGTTCCTTCCTCTGCAACACATATAGTGGCTAATTATCCTCTTTAGCCATCACTGCTGCTGCTGCCCCCCCCCCCAAAATTTGGGCACTTGACTAGTCAAAGGAAGAGCATGTGCTGAGTTTTTTATGTAGAGAGGCAGTATCACTTCTGCCTTTCACATTTACTACCCCCACCCTGGTGGTGCATTGCTGTTTATAATTTCATTTGGCAAGCAAGGTTACAGTAAGGTGGATTGTTCCAGGATATTCTCAGAACAAAAATAATATAACGAACCTTTTGGAACTCATTTTCCTTCATAGCTACGACTTAAATGTAACATAATTTTCACAAATGTATATCAGGTAGTTCTATTCCCCATTTCAAATTAGTGTTAGATTGGTATAACCCTACTTTTATTGGTGTCTAAATTACTGAGCTTGGTCAGTGAATTGCAGCCCAAGGGTGACATTCTCCTATTTGGTTTTCTTAAAGTTATAACCTCCCCAAAGCAATGGAGAAGAAGACAACTCATTTAACAGTTTACTTTACTCTGATCTTCAAACAAGAAGATTCATAAAATCCTCAGCTTTTCTAGTGCACCCTAACCTTCAATGCTCCCACTCACTTGAGGCAAGTTGCTCATCCACAGCTCTCTCAAACACAGAAAGACGGACCTTCTTTTTTGACCTGGTGTTGAGCAGTGCAGTCCGAGATGTAGCCTTGGGAGCAGAGTCAGACAAATGGATTTCTAGGTTGCTGAAAGATGACAAAGCCAGTCTTCAGTCAGGAAAACAGTTTAATGTCAACTTCCAGGAAATATGCCAACATTTCTCCAGCCTTGCTGAAGAAAGAATTTGCCTTCATAGTTAAGGAACAAATGAGGGCCTAAAGTTTAGTGTCACTATAACTGGGTGACCTGAGCAGAGCTTGCACAATACCAACATACAGCTGCTCAATCTTACTGTCAGTGACATAGTGGGACCATACCTACAGGAATACTGCCTGCTCAGATTGGAAAGTCAAAGAGAAAAAAAAAGACATTTTACAGTGCAATCCTTTATAAGCCTACAGGGATAAGTCCCACTGAGTTCACTTAGGCTTATTTCCAGAAAAGTGTTGATAGGACTGTAGCCATAATCTGGTAGAACTGTATATTCAGGAGTAAGACATTTGTCAGCAAGTATACAAACATGCTTCATGCACAGAACATCTGAGAAATCACACTCTTATGAAATGTCAGGATACTAGCTATATTAGCAGCATACTGAGATGCTCTTAGTCATTATCCATGTGTCTAATTACACTTCTGTGCTCTGTATGGTCTTGCTGGAAAAAAGCTTTATATATTTCATTGCTAATTAAGGACCACCTACTATTTACAAGAGCAGACAAAACTACAGAAAGAATCTGTTTGCTTTTAGCTATAATTAAAATTATTTATGTAGCACCATCAGTGTTCATAGCACATTATAAAGGAATGTAAGCCCACACAAACTTAAAATAAAATTTGCAAGTATTTTGTTATTGAGCTGTTCTCCCCTTCTCCCAGCCAAGTGCAGAAAGTTCAGTCTCAGAACCACCTGTCTTATGCCAAGTCACCACTATTGCCCGCATCATCTTCTAGCCACTCAGCACTTTTGCTGCCCTACTTCTGTGAAAGTGTCTCAAAATAGAAGAGCTGCCACATAAGCAGTGGGGTTGTTATTAAGCTTCTGAAAATATTTTCCCCCCATTACCTCCTTAAGTAGAGTTTGACAGGCTGTGTCCCTCCAGATGCAGTTAGACAACAACTCTTGAAATACAGCTGCCATCATTCCTGACCACACTGGTGGGGGCTGGTGGGAACTTAGGTCCAACACAACTTCTGAAGGGCCACAGGCTCCTCATCCCTGCCTTAAAACTTCTGTTATTATAAATGGCTGGTTGATTCAATTTGGTCCTCTTCCAGTAGCAAAGCAAGTTAACTTCCAGCCCCCACTTGCCTAAAGCAACCATTCAACAGCTATTCAACGTTTCGGCATCCATCACATCATCCCTTACAAACTGAATAGTCATTCCTCAAACGTCTACATTTTGGTTCCATTACGTAATGTCAGTGAGCACAATATAATGTACTGCAAGAACACAAGAAAACAACCTGGCCAAAATTTACAGGTTTTCAAAAGAATTTTACAAAGAAATATGCTTAGGATTGCAGCCTTAATCATGTTTAGTTACCTGCAGGGTACACTCTCCAAAGGAGCTTGGACTACTGTCTCCACTGGTTTGGGGGAATCAGGTTTTTCAGGAACAAGAGGGGAGACTATTGGCTCTGTTAAAAGAATACATGGACAAATTGTATTTCTAATGGAACTCCAAGCAAATTAAAATTGCAGCAAGAAGATGAGTGGGGAAAATATGTCTAACTGCACTTTTAAAGCAGAGAATGACTGTAACACTGCCATAGACAAGAGAGATTTAACTGAACTGTGACCATAAAAAAGACTTTGTCCTTTACACCATGCTCAAAATAGCATTGTGCAAAACAAACTTTTAAAATGAATATTTAAAGTGGCAGACAGATATGTTCAATTTATTAGACTATATTAGTTTCAGAAATGCATCAGGAGACTGAACTTAATGTGAAGATTTATTCTCAGAGGATGAATGGTATACTGTACTGAAGTGGGTTACTCCTCACTTGCTTTGACACTTATATAAATGACACTTTGTCCCTGTTGTTTGGAGGAGTAACAATTGTCTTCTAGTTTTGGGACATACTGTAGCAGCTTTACCAAAAAAACCATACTGCCGAAATCAGTGGTAGAAGGTTTTATACAGAAGGTCCTAGGTTCAATCCCCAACATTTCCAGGAAGGACCAGAATTCTTCTTCATCCCTGAGGAGCTGTTGCCAATCAGTAATTGTATTGAACTAATAGGACCAATTGTCTATTGGTATAATGCTATTTCCTATGACTGCCCCTTCCCTCTACTCAACAGCACCAGAGACATTCTTCTATCCCCTACTTACGGGTCTCCAGAACCTTCCTGAATAGAGTTCGAGGTGTTACTGGATCCGTATAAATAGAGGCACCAGATCTTTGATAGGCCATGGATCGGAAGGGTCTCTCCTGGGGAGATAAAAAGTCACTCCTGAAGCCAGGTAGCACACTTCTATGTTACAACAGAATTCTAAGGGCATGTCTTAGATTGAATGGATTTAAATCAAAGTGCTTTAAACCAGCAAGAAAAAGGCCAATATAAGCCATTGATCTAAATCAAGTTTTCCATTGATTACTTCTTCAGATATTTCCTAAACAATAGTACAAATATGAACATTAAATCTGTTAATTTATAACCGAGTATTATTGTTGTTTCACGTTTAGAAACCAGATCCTCCATGTCAGTGCATATGTTTCTGAAAACTGTTTCACCTCCTGAGGGAATGTCTTTAATGATTCCTATATACAATCTTTCTTTTGAACAGCAGCCATTACAATGAGGTTAAGTATGGGAATACAAGAACCTGAGCAACGGACAATTCTGTCTTCTGCTCTTCTTTTCAGTGTTGCTCATTTCTGCTTTTCTCTGCTTTGGGTCCAACCCCAGTCCCACAGAAATAAACAAACATGAAATGTCCATGACTGATAGGTTCAAGTAAGGTCTGATAGTTACTGCGCAGACTGACTAGAGGTTGTTTTTATGAAGTAAAATACTCATATTAAACCCCCCCCAAACATTTCATTTATTTACATAGAAGACCCTGATGTAATGCTGATGAAGGAAGTGCAGTGGTGGGTGGGTGTGTTCTCCACCTTGTGTCCTCTGGCTTGTGAGGTGCTTCAGGAGTTCATCATACCACCAAGCTCTTCAAAATCTACATGAAGCCACTGGGGGAAATAATGGTTTGCACTGCCACCAAATGCTGATGACAAGTGGTTCTACCTTTCCTGTCTACCTACTAATCCCAGGGAGAGTATGGAACTTTTGAACAGCTACCTGAATCCTGTTTTGAGACTGATGAGAGAGAACAAGCTGTTCTCTATAGTTCAGATTTCTATTCTACATAGCTGGTTTATACTAGAGTATGCTTTTTTTTTAAAAAAAATGGATTTTATTTTATATTAATAAATTTGTAATAAATTAATAAATTTGTAAGCACCAAGAGGACTTAAATGAAACACATGACTCACTAATACCTTCATTTGATTTTAGCAAACGTTCAAGAAAGCAGACTTAAGATTACAACCTCATTTTAAACTCCAGTTTATGATTCAGTTATAATTTGTACGTATGTGAAAAGTGCCCTTCTTTCAAGTGATGACAGAAGCTCAGCACAGGAGCAGGCCCCACTCTTGCAACACCTACGTAGGGCTTAATTTATGAGTAAAGTAACCACATTAGGAACAGGCTGCTGCAAAGTTATGCCATTTCCTTCAGCAGCCTAGGTGATATAGCAGTTAAGAGCATCAGCCTAAGGGCTGTGTACACACCATACATTTAAAGCACATTTCTGCCATCACAAGGAATTCTGGAAACTGTTCACAGTAGCTCTGTTAAGGGTAAACTACACTTCCCAAACTTGGGGGGGTGGGGTGGGGACGACCATGCTTTAAATCAGTGTTTCCCAAACAGGAAACACTTGTTTTCCCTGGATTGCCAACTGTTTTCAGACTACTACTCCCATCATCCCTAGCTAGCAGGACCAGTGGTCAGGGATTATGGGCACTGTAGTCTATAAACAACTGGAGACCCAAGGTGGGGGGGACTGTTTTAAACATATGGTGCGTATACAGCCCAAGAGGAGGGTCAGATCCCCTATCAGCCATGAAGCTTACTGGAGTGATTACGGACAAAATGCTGTATCTCATCCTAACATACCTCACAGGGCTGTTATGAGGATAAAACGGTAATGCCGTCAGAACGGTCTTTGTAGCCCTGAGTTCCTGGGGGGGCGGGGAGAAGGATATAATACAATAATAGTAGAATATACACCTAAGAAGTAAAAATAAAACAAAAACCAGCTCGTTTGTAAAGGAGATGAAGAAGGGCAAGAAGAAATCACCAGAGTCTGCTCCTGTTAGACCTCAGGGCCAACTCTTGAGATCCCTGTGACTTACTAAATGTTTATTGTTTCACATGCGTGCATTTTTAAAAGTGCATGGATGCTGCTCAGAAAGATACGTATCCTGAAAAGGCGAGATAAAAAAAATTGTTATAACTGATAATTAGGGTCCGTGCTGCCCCGCCCGGTACCTTCATCTTACCTTCATCTCCAACCGCAGAGACCGCCTCAGGCGCCGTGGGGTCTCCGGCTTCTCCTCGCGCGAGCTCCCCCGAGTAGCCATGGCTGCCTCTTTTTGCGTTTTAGTTGCGGACAGGCGGCCGCTGAGGCGAGTCTCTCGCATAGTGTAAACGGCCACCGGCCGGCAGGCGCGAGACTCAAACGGCTGCCGAAGCCAGCTTCTTTCTCTCCCGCTCAGGGATTCAAGCGGCATCAGCTGAGAGAGTCTCGCGAGAATTCCTCGCTTCGGCCCACCACCGGGTCGTCGCCTCCCGCGTTGGTTGCTGGGAGATGTAGTTCTGCCGTTGGAAGTAGCTACAGCGGAGGCTCCTTTGTCTGTTACTGTTGCATGCGCCCTCCCTGATCCTATACTGTACAGAGCGAATAAAACCAAGTACGTGGATGCACCTGTAGAGCTCAAAGTTCACATGGGCGCATTCTCTGCCAACACATACTTCCGCTGACCCCGTTTCCCTAATCTGATTATTTAAGACTGAGAAGGAGAAGGATGTCTAGATTTACAGCATTCCTCGAACTACTGTACTGAATAAACCAAGGATGCAGAACGCGTGGCTCTGCAGATGTTGTTGGACTATGACTCCAGTTAGCCCTGATCGTTGGTCGGCAATATCTGAAGGGCCACTCACAGGTCTCCCATCCTAGGATCAAACACTGAGACAATATGGTAGGCTAGCACTTGGCTGTGCCCTAATAATAAATATTCATATTGCTGTAACTTACAGAGTGGTGCAGCATAAGTTCTTGCATGTATGAAGTTCAGCGCGGGATATTTTAGAATAGTATAAATCCAGAATCACTACTATCTACAGTGAGCCTCAATATATGAAAACATGTCTGTAAAAGGATTAACCATAGAAAATGAACTGAAAGGTCAGTACTCCTTTTGCAGCCATGTTGGTATTTGCTGCATATACACAATACATTCAAAGCACACTATTCTCCCCGAAGGAGTTCTATGAACAATAGTTTGCTAAGGGTGCTGGGAATTGTAGCTTTGTGAGGGGTAAACTATAGTTCCCATGATTCTTTTGGGGAAAGAAATATGGTTTAAATGTATGATGTACAGCCTGGTGCTTTTTGTATTTCATTGCTATTTAACTCTTAACTTTTACATTTCCCTCACACACCTTTGTGGGGGAGGGGGGTTGTGGGTGTATGCATGCATGCCAGTTGAGGATTACTGAATCTGATGAAGTGGGTTTCAGTGCGCAAAAGCTTATGCTGTAGTAAATGTGTTAAGTTTTTGCTGTTTATATTGGAAATTGTGTCCCTAGATATACCTCTAAAGCACATTTGAAACACATTCTTTCCTACAAAGAATTTTGGGCACTGCAATTTAGACCTCACTGAGCTATTTCTCAGCAACCATCAACAAACTACAAGTGCCCAGAATTCTTTGACGTAAATGTTCTTCAAATCTGCTGTAAAGGTATAGTGTATACACAGCCAATTAATTAAAAGTGCTAAAAGCCCCAAAAGCATGGGCAGTTAATAAGGTACTTGCATATATGTAATTTCACTTCTGGTTCTTTTTTGGCCTGTTGCATCTGCATTATATTTTGTTACATTGTGCTTTTAATTTTTACTATGTAATAGTTTTTATTTTTTATATTATTGTGCCTTTTAATATTGTTACAAAAGCCTGGTGCCTACCCCTCTCTGCCGAGTGATGGCAATAGCCCATGAGTTCTCAGGCACACACACAGGTCTGTGTTCCTTTGGATAATAGAAGACGCAGCGGAGACTGTTGTGCTTTAAGAAATATGGTTTATTCACCTATTTACAACTTCAGTCTGCATGGAGAGAGTCAAGATCTTACAGCATGGCCTACGGCATTGCAAGCAACCCTTCCTCTGCCTGGCCAAGATGGATCTCAGCCCTTCTTCCTCCTCCTTCTTCCTAGGAATCCCTGCTTCAAAACTCCCCTTTCTTATCCACTCAAACACACAGTTACCCTGGCAACCTTTATGACATCTGACTCCCCAGGGCAAAGGATCCTTCTCTGATGTCTTATTAACACCTTTTTTTGTCATGCTAACAGGTTTGCTGTTCACCCAGCCAGCCAGACTGGTATGAATACCCCAGCCCAGGAATTCCTTTGCAGCTTGCATTATCTCTTCATTCCACAAATAACCAAAATCCTAGCAGTTATTAATTTCTAGGGTGTATCCACATCTTCAACTTTGATTAAGCAGCAGTATAGAAATGCATTTTTAAAAATGCACAGGCCTACCCCATTCATACACAAAATATGCCCCTAAGTCAGGATTTGAAAGTGAAATAGCTGTTGGGAAAAGTTTCTCCAAGATATTTCCTTCTACAGAGGAAATATTTAGTCTCATTAGGAGAGCTAAGATGGCTTTTTGGGATTGTTCTATGTTCTAAAATAAAGTGTAATTTTTCTCAGGGAGTATTTTCTAAATGTTGATGGGTGAAAGATTGGTTTTCTGTGGAATGTGTGTCTGCTATGTGTGTGCAGCCTAAATTTTTATAACACTGATAGTGATTTACCTTTAACCCTGATCTTCCAGGTCCTAATTCAACACTGTAACCACCACACCGTCTCTCAGGCTGGGAACTGCAACTCTAAGGGTATACTGCAGTGCCCAGAATACGTGTGAAGAATGTACTTTAGCAGTATCGTGTGAACGCAGTCCAGGCTGCAATGCTACCCACGTCTACTCAGACGCAAGGTCCATTGGCTTCAATTGTATTTACTCCCAGGTAAGCATGCACAGGAGTCGAAATAAATTCCAGCAAGGAGCCTTGTTAGTCTGCTGCAGCAAACAAATAAGAAGTCCTGGGGCACCTTAAAGACTAACAAATATTATTACGGCACAAGCCAAAACAAAGACCAACTATTTATATTTATTTATTGCCTCATAAAGCCTCCAGCCGCCTTCCAAAAAAGTTATGGGGCTCGCGGAGCATTGTGGGAAGCTGGAGAGCGCGCGTGGAATCCCCAGCCCGCTTTCTCTCCCGCTCTTCTGTGGCCAAGTTAAACACTCTCGCTGCTGCCCCGCCCAGTGGTGCCTTGTGGGAAACGTAGTTCCGGCGGCGGCGCGGTGCTTTGTGGGGCGGGTAGTTCCGTTTCCTGTGGCGCTGTTGCGGAGAGCGGTCTACTGTGGCGGTGGCGGAGGAGGCTCGCCTTGTCGTTGGGACTCGGCATCGGGAGGCCTTGTGGGATCTGTAGTCCCGGCTGCCTCGGCCCGCCGAGGGAAAGGAGGAGGGCGCAGCGAAACACCACACAGACCATGCCCGGGTTCACGTGCTGCGTGCCAGGCTGCTACAACAACTCGCACCGAGACAAGGCGCTTCACTTCTACACCTTCCCGAAGGACGCGGAGCTGCGCCGCCTTTGGCTGAAGAATGTGTCGCGGGCCGGAGTGAGCGGATGCTTCAGCACTTTCCAGCCCACGACGGGCCACCGCGTCTGCTCCGAGCACTTCCCCGGCGGGCGCAAGTCCTACCTGGTGCGGGTGCCCACCATCTTCCCCTTGCGGGGCGTCAACGAGCGCAAGGGCGCCCGTGGGAACCGGCGCGCACGCCACGCCCCCGCGCCTCCCCAGGCGCCCGCGGTCGCCGCCGCGCAAGCCGCGGTCTTGCTCGCTTTGCAGGAGGGAGCCGCTGCCGCCGCGGCGGCTGGGCAAGGTGTGCCCCGGGGAGGAGGTGCAGGAGATGATGTGAAGCCTATGGACCTGACCGTGCAGGTGGAGCTGGGAGGCCCTGGGACGATGCTCGGGGCCCCAGGGGCGATGTTGGGAGGCCCCGGGGCAATGATCGGGGGCCCTGTTAGCCTGGCGTTCCTTACAGATAACGGGCCCCTGGTGGACAGCCCGCCAGACCACTCCTACTCACTGTCGTCGGGTACCACGTCGGAGGAGTTGCTGCGCAAACTGAACGAGCAGCGGGACATCATTGCTCTGCTGGAGGTGAAGATGAAGGAGATGAAGGGCAGCATCCGCCGCCTACGCCTGTCCGAAGCCCAACTCCGTGAGGAGATCCGGGAGAAGGACCGCCTGCTGCATGCTGCCAGCATGGGAGGAGTGGCTCGCAAGCGCCATGGTCTCTGAGACATACGTGCCCTCCTTAGGATTGGGGTCCTGCTCTTCAAGTTGCTAGTTTCATGTAGGGCAGGGGACCGAGCACAAATCGACCTGTGTGGTATTGTTTGCAAACAGAAGTGGCAAGAAATGCCCAAACAGGACGAAGGGGGTGGGTGGGTGGGTGGAGGCAGGCAGGCAGGCAGTTGTAGCAAGGACAAATGGTGCTCCACAGCTTGGTGTGGTATTGCTGCCCAAGATACATTTTTGGTCCCTTTCAGTCAGGTCTACACTGTGACAGGCAAATCACCAGTTCTTGACTATGTACTGACAACATTTCCTTCTCCTGTCAGGAAGCCCAGGGTGGTGTGTGAGCAGGCCCACACTTAACTGGACCCACACACTCACTTTTTACATGTTTTTCTGTGAGAAGCACCCATCAGGAGTTGGCTACAACAATATTTTTATATACATAAAAAGATGGGTACAGTCTGGATTATTGGTTATCAGCTGATGCTCTACTCGTATTATGTCCTGTTCAAAGCACAGTAGCAGACAGCAGCTGCTTTGGTACTCTCAGTAATGTTGATTCTGTGAGAGCTGGTCCATTTTTAGCATTGCTGGGAAAATGTCTCTAATAAAGCTGGATGTTTCCATTAAGTGGGTGGGTGTAGGGCTATGAGCTTCTGTCACCAGTGGGATTAAATTTAGTGCAAAGCTAATTTTGAGGAACAATAACAGTTACTTTCTAGACAAGCACACTCGGGTTGTAAATCATTTACTCTGGAATAGTCTAGTGAAAGTCATGGCACTTTCCTATGATTATTCTGCAGTAAATGTCTTGGTGATCAACGCCTTAGAAACCATGGCCATCAGTGGATTTTGTTTGTTTCTCTTTATGGAAAGAGAGAGAGAGAGAAAATGTGGGTTGTCATCCCCCACCCACAAACTACTGATATGGAGTATGCCATTTTTGATGCCAAGTTCATTCTTAATCATTAAAGAGGGCAACTGGAGTCTGTATTCCTAGGATGCAGTTATATTTGGTGTTTTGCCCTTTTTCTGTTTCTAGTTTCAAGGGATTATTATGGCCATGCCATAGTTGGATGACTCCCTGCCCATCATGGCATTCAACAACTGCTTCTTTTACT